GTGTATTGACGTTTCAGTTAACATCCAGAGGTAGACACCCATCTAGAAAGCGAATTATTGTACAGGTTTACTTACTCCAATTTATTCTGATCAAAAGGTCACAGGGAATGTGTCTTTGTTATGGTATTATAAAACAAATTCTAAATTGAATCTTAAATTAAAATAATTACAAAACAAAATATTCTGTAGTCAATCGTTTTATTTAATTAAGGAATCGGTCAGATGTTAATGAATACACACACCGACTGTAGGCCTATATAACTATATAGGTAATTAAGGAATAAACATTCCGATGATGCATTCGGTCCCTGAGGCATCACAGGTGTCTGAGGGGATTAAGAGTGTTTTTTTTCGATAATTAGCAAAGTAGGTCTATTTTTGTGACTTTGAGTGAAGATAGCTGAATTAATTTTTATCAGATTGGTGTGAACTTGCTGTAAGGCCGTGTTGAATTGATTCCTTGTTTCTCCTCGCCCGCACGCTTAGGTCGAGGACCCCGAAAATCGTGCGCTTACGTTTTTAACACAAAAAAAAATATTCAAAAAATTACGTTAATAACATCTAAATAAAATTCTACCAAACATCAGAAGTCAATTCTCGTTGTTTATTCCTCGTTACGAACTAAATAAGTAAGTGCAGGGGGCCGCACTACACGCAAAACAAAAATCTACAAGATAAACCTGCGGACAAGACAGAAAATAGGCATTGCACCGAATAAACAAATATCAAATCAAGTGAATGGATCCGGTTGATAATACACATGTAGGGGCCCGCATACTATGGAATAAGTTACACTGTATATGATTGGATGAATTCCTCAAAATGGCGCGTGTAGCAGTCATTTCGGCTAATGAGAAAGCATATTATAAACTGTAAGACAATCGCTAATATTCAACCGCGAACCTGAATAATCAATTTTTCATTGGCTAAAATTATAACACATGTCATTATTATTCAAGTATTACCCAATCATATCTTGTGTAATAAATAACGCACGCCTTACAAAATGGTGAGCTATGCCGGGACATAGGTAAATTCGCGTACTGGTCCGCCTAATTTATTGATGTTCAAGGAAATAATAGTGGCCCCGTTCGCTCGTTCGTTCGTTTCTGGAGTTTAACGAACGAACGAACAAACGCGACCACTATTAGTTCCTTGAACATCAATAAATAAATTAGGCCGACCGGTACGCGAATTTACTTATCTCGACTCGACTTTGGTGGTTATTCCCAGCACTTTCACGTTCGATGATATTATCGAAACCATCTATAACTCAACAAGCGAATCAAATATCGTCTAACTGGAATGTTTCCATTGTATTTTAACACAAGAATACGGAAAATTTATATCAAAATATGGTTATTTCATTTTTTAAAAAGTTAAACAAAGAAGCCACTTGTTACCAAATTTTAGTTTGTTATTAAATTTATTTAATTAAATATTATCTGTGTTTTTATTCTAACCAATAATATAACTAGATTATTTATAATATTATTAAAAATGGTACACAACCCTCAGACTATATAGGTATTATGCCAGACCACTTTGTGTTTTGAAACCCACTTTGTGTTGTGTTTACCGCACTACCGCACATGATTGCCTGAGTGGTGGCAGGAGAAACAAGGAATCAATTCAACACGGCCTAAAGTGCATATAGTAACCACTGGCAATAAGTACAGAAAAGTTTGCATGCTCATCTTATGTGCTCTTTAACATTTAAAATGAAATGAAATGGGGTTTAACGTCCTATGTTGTGCTCCGAACTGGGCTAATGGAGACGGGCATACTCCATACAGTGTCCTATGAGGGGAAATTTTGGTCGGACAGCGGCACTACGGCCTACTCTTATATCGAATTCCAACTGTTAAGGGATCTTTTACGTTCACGCCAGTGTGTACATGGGACCTCGGTTTTCGTTTCATCTAAATGACTAGTCAGCTGTCCTTGCCAGGCCCTCCATCCTGCATCACTGACAAGAGGGAACCACTCCAGGAAATCTGAATGAACTTTCTCGGCCAATGCAGGGATCAAACACCCGACCTCCAGGCTAGCGAGCCAGCGTCTTACCCACTTAGCCAGCAAGGTCCCCCTAACATTTAAAAAAACAAAATCAAAATACTATAGCCAGATAACCCCTTGGCATGGATTCAATCAGGCTAAAAACAGGCCCATCAATTTTTATCAGGCTTATTATATACTAACATGTAGGAAGCAGCATAGATCGATAGAATTTTGTAAATACTGAATGGAATTGAACCATTTTTGACTGATGATATTCCTATTAGAGATTCAACATTCACAATATAGCACTAAAAGCAGAGTCTTAATTCTGTTGGGCATCTATATGTACATGTATAGGTTGTATACAGCTGTACATGAAATTGTAATAACAGACTGTATTTATATACCAGTAATTATTTTAATGGAAAAAACATTGATATGCTATTATTGAATTTCCACGAATGTCAGTAGATTGTTACATATTAAAGAGGCATTACTGGTATGTAAGATTTAGATAAGAAGCTGACAATTTTCTTTGTTAAAAGATACATAATGAAAAAGGAACATATTTAAAATTTCAGTCAAAACAACGTTATGAATGTTGGAAGATTTGATAAGAATAGTGTAGTCTCAATTTCATTGCTACCGTTACAATTATAAACAGTCTTGATCATCCATTTTTAAATTGAATTATTAAATGGAGATTGTGTTTCAATCCATTAAACATGTTCTAGAGATTTGATTATAGGCTTGTCATGTGCTGTCATGTGCATAAATGTCAATTAATAATTTATATAACATTTTTGATTTTAGGCCAAATGAAAGACCTGCACTAGGTAGATTTAGCTCTTACTGATAATATTAAAGAGGGGGATTGACTCATTGAGTGATTTAAATTGAGTGGTTTAGAGAAGTATATATACATTTGTTGATTATTGCTTGTAATGCTTGTGTAGTTTGTGTGTCTTGTCCATAGTTTTGTCTTATATGTGTTTTGTTTGTATATGGTGTGGTCCTCCTTCCCTTTTGTAATATCATATGGTCTGTCATTTAGTCAAATATCGATCCCACGCTTTTACATTACATGGAATAGGGTCGTCTGTCATACTTTAATAATCAAATTATATGTGTGTGCAAAATTTGAGACAAATCTGCCAAGTTGCTTAAATATTGATGTTAATCAGTTGATAAATTTGACCATCACTTAGTTTCAGTGCCATGAAATTGCTAAAGATTGATGAATAGCACTAAACAAAGGTTTAAGGCTTTGACAATGAACAGAATGAGCACTTTTACTTTCTAGAAATAACAATTATAGTTAACTGTTAAAAATACATTATTCAAGTGCTCAATCTGTCTATTGCAGGTCTTTCTTTAGACCTTAAATGTTATATGAATTATTAGACATTTATTAACATGAAAAGGCCAAAATCAACTCTGTAGGCCATTGGATTGCTACGATTTTAAGTAAATTAGAATGGTTTGGTCATTTAATGATTTAATTTAAAAATAGAGAAGTGAGGTTATGTCTTGAACAAACAGTACAGTGGTTACGATAATAAACGATCAAAGCACACATCTTGTTAAACTACAAACAGTGCTAACTTCGCTCAGAATAAAGTAATATGAATGAAATTTTCAATATATTCATTTTGCTGAATCTAATTTTGAACTATTAAAGCAAGAATGACCAGCCCTTTATCTAAATCTTTCTTGTTCTTTGGGAGCACCTATTGAAATTTTACTTCATATTCGTTGCGTGGAAAAAATAATTTAAAAAATAAACACTTGGTATCCTTCTCTAAAGCTTTTAGTTCCAATTTTTTTAGTTGATCACATGACTCCAGTGGCTGTTGATTTATCAAGATCGTGAAGAACTAAAAATTAAATTACTTTGGCCTAAATGAGGGTCATGGTATCTAGGATACAAATTTATAAGTTTGTTACATGGAATGCATATGTACATGTAGGCCAAACATACATATAATAAAAATAATAAAAACAGTTTGTTCATAACTACATGTCTGTATATGTGAATATGGAAACAGAATTAATAATGATAATCACAATACAGTACCTTTAAAATATGCGCAAATGAGAAAACCATACAAGATAATATAAGTATTTCTATATTGCATATTTATCGACACTTTTGTTCAAAATTCGAATACCCGGTACATGGAAACCGCCTTTATACACACTAGCGTCTAGTTTTTTGGATTGTCTTGATGTGATTTCTGGCTAGTCACGCTGTGCGATAACACTCAGCACAAGAGTCTATGGGTCTATAAATAGCCATCACACCTGAAATTCTCTACATATCTATCAACTATTACAGTCGTAAAAAATCTATTGTTGACGATTCTGAATAGCAGTAATATTTAGCTTTTTGGTTGTTACAGCAGCTTTAAAAATTATGTTCGTTTTATTTTTGAAATTGCTTTATCATTAACTATATCGTTAGGAGCGACATCTTTTGGTTTAGTACAAATAATATCTCTGAAACACTTGGGTTAGGCAAGAACATGATACTTGCAGTAGCTTTCAAGGATATTTGATAGTTACTGCCAGGAGTTATTGCCCTTGATCTTTTTTAAAATATATCTTGTGGAAATACTATAGGCTGAAGTTTTCAGTGGGTGAGTGTAATGAGAGCTTCTTTAGATGATATAAACAAGCCAGCGGCACCTATAATCTTGGTTAAAATGTTTTGATGTCCAACTTTTTTAAATCTAATTAAATCAAAGTAGGGAAATTATCTTGATGTTTTGTTTTTGTTTTCTTAAGATGTTGAATAATCTGAGTACATTTTAGCCTGGATGAACTTGATTAAACCATGAAAAATTGAATATTGTCGAAAAAAATGCAAATGACGATCAGCAACTTGAGGTTTAAAAAAACACTTGAAAAATATATAATTTAAGACTACATGTACAGTTTTGTGCATGATGTAAAGATCATTTGAAAATTGATATATAGAATATTTTATATTGCAGCAGGAAGCTTGTGAGTGGTCAATATCCTTGACAAGTAACTTAATATATGGTTACAGCTTTAACTAGAGGCTTATAAATCAAAATGCTGCTAGTTGAGTGACTAGATCAAACCAGTAAAACACACTGACAACAGATTCATCAACTTCTCAGCATTCAGTAATAAGGTAGGTTTAGAAATATTTATTAAAAAAATTATTTGCTAATATATTTGATTTTAATTTGTATGGGCAATTTTCGCAGAAAAACACATTTATACCATAATATGATTGTCTAATTATTTAAGTATTTCTAATATACAAGTACTTGATGGATTTTTCAATTCAAACAAAAGAACCACGTTGGCTCAGGGAGTCAGACTCTGGGGGACTAAATGGAAGTTCTGGGTTCACTCCCTGTGTTTGTCGAGTCGGTAGTGCAGGATGAAGTGCCTGGGGAAGTCCTGTTTACACATTGGTGTGCACAGAAAAGAACCCTTGATAGTTGGAATTCGAAATAGAATTCTGTAGTCTGGCGCCGTGTCCATGCAAAATCTCCCTCTTAGCAAACTGCATGGTGTATACCCGTTTCCATTATGAAAATTTGGCAAATATTGAGGAAGAAATGTTCAGTGATTGAGTGTTTAGATCTGTAATAATGTTGTAGAGGTTTTTAAGTAAGTTTATTCAGGTGCTGCTATTTTAATTAAGTTTATTCAGGTGCTGGTAACCTGATTTCATTGCAGACATGTATGTTATACACCACTCTTAAAGATGCACCATCATTTTGGTGACCATCTTCAATTGTTGAAATTATGATCAATTTGAGACGATTTGGCACATAGCAGCTTGAACAATTCAATGGGCAGCATCCAAAATTATATTGTATATAAAATTTGAGACAAATCTGACATCCATTGCTGAGAAACAAATGGTTTAAAATTCATGAACGTTTCAAACGACAGCAGAAGTAATTTTAACAAGGCGCAGCAACATTCTAGTACCCAGCACTAAATCCAAGTGTAGAAAATAAAAACTGTTCTCTTTATGAACCTACTGCACCAAGCATTATACCCAGGCAGTGACAATTGGTATTGGTGCAACATGTGGTTGAATGTTCTGATGGGTGTAGCAGACATTGTCGTAAAAGAATAGTGACTAATCTCGCTCACCTAAAAATGCCAGAAAGGTGGAATTTTTCTCATGGCTAATAAAATTGTATTGGATAATTATTGAGTATATAATGTAATAATCAGAATATATTCTTTTTATATGGCTTAAAATTTGTTCACGTATTAATCTGCGCCACAGCTTAGATGAAAGACATGTTACAGATTGCTTACTTTTTCTAGAACACCTCATACCACCTGTAGTTGCATTAATGTCTTGTAATTGAGCGCTTTGGATTTGGTTTTGCATTTTAATTGTTTGGTATGTGTTTTAGTTTTGCAGTTTTTCTCAGTTTCAGATTTTTTGAAAATTATTATTAAAAAAAATACCTGTACAAATCCAGAATCAGCAATTTTTCCCCCTTAATAGGCAAAATTAACCTCATACAGTTAAAATGACCCAAGATAAGGAACCCTTGAACATGCTATAGGATGATATAACATATATTTTCTTTCTAAAATTAATCAATGTATCTTTTAAGTGTTCCATCAAATGTAAATTTAATTGAATTAATTTCTTTTTTTTTCTTTTTAATATGATAGCCAAGATGGAGATGATGTCAGTATATTCAGCTGTGCTTGTTGCTTTAGTCAGCGTTTGCTATTACAATTCGCTAGAGTGTGGCTTCGTGTTTGATGATATGTCTGCCATTGTTGAAAATAAAGATTTGAGACCGCATGTACCCATTTCTAATCTCTTCTGGAATGATTTTTGGGGAACACCCATGAAACATGTAAGTTACAGCTGATTAGATAAACTAATATTTATTTTAGATCAAATTTTGATTAATGTTTTTTAAACAAAAAAACTCATCTTGTTGACGAATCAGAAATGCACCCAAAACTAAATGAGATAGATATAATATTGGTTTGAAGTTATAAAATGTATTCCCACAGTTTGATCGGTGATTTTTTTATTTGTGAAAAAAAACCTCAGTTTTTTTCAATTTTAAGAGTGGTCCGGTGGGTATGGTACTGACTAACTAACCATGAGGTCCCTTGGTTTTGATCTCAGTGTTGGCCTAAATAGCTCCTTGAGATATTCCAGTATTGTTTTCACTTTGTCAGTGGTGCAAGTCATTCGGATGGGACAAAAAAAACAACAAGTACCTGTGTACACATTGGCATGCATGTAAAAGAGCCCTTGGCAGTTGCAATACGAAAAAGGAATAGGACGTAGCACCAATGAACAAGCAAACTTTCCCTCATAGACATAGTACACTGTTTGGTGTATGCTCGTCTTTATTAACTAGTAGAATTTTATACCCCACAAATATGATTTATGACTAGTTTGGGCAAAATTCTCCTCCCTAGCACTGCAGACGTGACTATAGAAAAACAAATCCCTGTATGTTAGTCTCAGGATGACCTTAAGTATTGTGTTGATTAGACTTTAAAACTTCATTCTGCTCTTCTGTCATTGCCATTTTGATCAGTTAAACATACATTATTCAAGAGCTAAATCTGTCTATTGCAGGTCTTTCTTTAGGCCTGAAATGTTATCTATGTTATTAATTAGACATTAATTAATTTATCCAGACCATAATCAACTCTAGATGGCATCGCTAGCCTGCGATCTTAAGTGGATTGTAAGCCGATTTACTGCATAACTTTCCTTCTCGATTAAACGATTAAATGGATAACCAAGACTATGCTGTTTATCGTACTGACTTTAGTAATGATGACTGAGGCTAGGCAGAAATTGCATTCGCTTAGTTCTCAGTTCATAGTGGGTCAATTTGAATGAAATTTTCAGCAAATTGCCTTTACGTTATCTAGTTTTTAATTATTATGGTGAGAACTGCCAACTCGTTATCGAATCTCCCATAATGTATCTTTAATGTTTTTGTTTGAAATGTTATAGGAGAAGAGCCATAAATCATATCGCCCGCTGTGTGTGCTCACATTTCGTTGGAATTATGCTGTAAATGAATTAGATCCAATAGGATATCATCTGGTAAATATGATACTTCATGCTGTCACATGTATTATGTTCATGATGTAAGTATAGCCATGTCTTTATCAAAAATATATCAAATTGAGAAATAAGTAATTTGTCGTTTTGACATACAGAAAGTTGTTTGACTTTTTGTATCATAAATATTTTGAAAAAGAATTATGTAAATAAACAAGCATTTTGGGATTAACAGAGCCACACGATTTGTTATTTTATCTGCACAGTTCTGAAAAATCTAAGAATGTTTATAAAAAATACTTTCATTGCCTGGAGTTATTTGATATTTTATATTGATAGAGTATTTTTATTAAACATATGCTATATCTTTAAATAAACAATTTTTGTTTTCTTAAATTGAAAACAGTTTATTTAGTGAATCACCTAGTGGCCACTGCTCCCAAGGTGCTTGCACTGATATTAAAGATAGGTTCCCAGAAAAGTATTTATCGGATGGTTATTTCCAATAAAAGTATGGCAATTTTGGTATATATGGAAAGTAGAGATATCCAATCTTACTAGAAAAATACTGGATTCCCTGAAAAACACTCATAGAGCGCGTATACAGGACAAAAATGTCAGGGTTCCCCTAATCGACAGCCCAACGATTAGGAATATCTGCACGCGTGACGTCAAAGATTGCACGCGGTGATTGAGCGGTTGATGTACATTTTGATAAACTTTATGAAGAGTTAGACATACAACACTTTCTGAGATAAAAATCACGGAAAAAGATGCGGGCAGTGGATAATCTGAGAATTTAATTAGGATTCGATATTTGTAATAAATAATCAGCTATAAAAGACAACATCGTCTTGTGTATGCAATGAATTCTCCTCCGACTTCGCACCCATAAGTCCCGTGACACAAACATGACCTCTTTTGATCAATTTTTATAGCAAGGGTATTCCTTGACAATTACAATGTTTTGAGAAGGATTTGAAGCAAATTTATGATAAATTAATTAGTTTGAATATGTTTTTAGGCCAAATATATCATCAAATCACCCAGTTTGTATGCGGGAATGTATCTTTAAAGCTACAATTTCATATTTTTAAGTTATATTTTTAAAATTTATTAAAATAAAGCCTTAAAATAGATGGTATCCATAAACCGTCCTACCTTGTTAAAGAATAATCCTATTAATCCTATAATTCACTATTGTCAGCTGAGAAATTGGCAAAAATATCATTTTCAACTTCAAATTCCAATATTTGAAGGTAGCTAATGCATGGAGGCAATAGGAAAACAAGGGAGGTAATTGGGTTATTATTTCCTGTGTCAATGATTTTTAAGGGTGGGAAATAATGCCCATGGTCGTATAATAGTGAGTTGATAACCTATTGAGAAAAAGACATAGAAATAATTATGTTTTGACTTTCTTAGAAAATATGAAATTCCCACTTTAAGATATTTAAATTGTTAGGGCTGGCAGAAAAATAGTTTAGATAGATAGTTATGTTTATTGTATCTTTTAGAATGTGTAATATATTTATGAAAGAATTTACAAGTTTTCTTGCCGCTGTTATGTTTGCTGTTCATCCAATCCACACAGAAGCTGTAAGTTTTAATATTTCATACTTTTATCATTTTATACATAATACACATAATTATTTTTATTATCCATAAATGGGGGTTGTGGAAGTTGAGTGGACATATGTGTGGAAGTATCCTCGACAAGAATGTGTGGGTTTGAATCCAGGCACGGGCTGAGAAGAAGGTCAAGATTTTTCAAGCCCAGCTTTCACTTGTCAGAGGTGTGGTGGTGCCTGTGAGACTGACAAGGAAATTGTGCCTAGTTATTAGGCTGGGATTGAAAACCAAGGTCCCCCTGTGTACATAATGCACGCAACTAAAAGAACCCATGATACAGTTGGAGATCAAAGATATTAGGATTACACACATATAATAATAGATTGTAATATTACTTCATAGGTTGTTATCCTTTTTAGTGTCCAGAAAAGTAGGATGTTAAACCCAATTTCAATCATTCGTTCATTCTTTTTAGTGTCTTGTAAATTTTTTATTTACATAAAAGAATCACATTGTGACTTGATAATCTTTATAACCTCTTCAGGTGACTCAATTTTGGTATGCATATTTTTCGTTGTCTGGCAACCTATCTTTTTCATTGAAGACTGACATTGGATGATCATCAATTCTTCGCAACTATTTCACATTATTACAGCAGTATGTCAGATATTGTCAACCCCTGACATACATTTAGTACTTTTTATTATAAAGCTGATCTAAAATATTTTGATTGCTTTTTTATTTGAAGGTAACTGGAATTGTTGGAAGAGCTGAATCTTTGTCATCTATTTTTCTATTGGCAGCTTTCGTGACATATATCAAATCTACAGGATATAGAAAACCAATCAGTAAGTAACTTATTATTTTTTTTAACAAGTTGGTTCGTTAGTCCACTTATCCACGGTTATTTGTGCGAGAGAGAGAAGAATGGGGTTTATTGTCCGTCTTCATTAACCCAGTATAGAAGCAGTACAGTAGGAGGTTAAACCCCATTTCATTTCATTTATTGTACTTGATCTATAGAGTTGAGTTTCTGGCCATTCTGACCAATGTTAACAAAATTTGTATCGTGATCTTATACAACATAGAGCCGTCATCACAAAACTTTGTGTACTCTAAAACTGCTGGCTAGTGTACCTTACCTTGCTTGATAATCTATATTATGTTTTATTTTTCTATTTAAGATTGGCCGTTATTATTTTCAACCGTATCATTAGTAACTATAGCTATGTTGTGTAAAGAACAAGGTATAACTGTTATTGGTATCTGTTGTGTTTATGAAGTTTTTGTTGCACAAAGGGTAAGTTCATTTTTATACCCCAGATTCAAATTTTGTTGCATATTTATAGTAGCAATCTTGTTATTAATTTACTGAAACAAACCACATCAAATCATTGCAGCAAGTTTGTAGTGAATTTAAAACTGTTCTCTCTCCCTCCCTCCCCACCATCTTATAAGACCAGACCAATTCCTTATGTTTTTTATTTTGTGTAATTTCAGTCCTCAGGTCAAGAATTATTGGATATTGTGAAAAGTTTAGTCAAAGGAAAACCTCAAATTCCTGATTGGTTACGAACCTCCATTAGCCGAGCTGGTTTCCTGGTGTCAGGAACTCTCATGTTATTGTTTGCTCGGATTAAAGTAATGGGAGCACAACTTCCTGTATTTACAAAGTGAGTTAACTGTTGTTCCATTCTGACTTGACAATTTAATTAACTCAACAATAAGGTCTGACAACACCTTTATCAAGATAGTGTTCAACTGACTTTTACAGGTTGGAGAAAATGGTTCATGGTTATATTGTTAATACTTCTTTTCATTTTTGGGGGTTATCGTTTTTAAATTCTCACTATTATAACAATATAGACATTAGTTTTTATGCTTTGGTGGGATTTCCCATCATGAAATAATCAAGAGTTTTTGATAGCCTGCTACATAAAGGTCCCCTAAGTCAGTGCACACCTTGTGTATAGGCTGACGAAACAAACCATTTCATTGGCTAATTCCCACATCAAACAAATCTTCCAGATTGTAGGCTATTGTCATGAACACAAATAATACAATAATTTCAACAATAAAGCAACTAAATGAAATGGATCTGTGTTTAAATGGGTTTCGTCTGCCAAGACATTGGTAAATTATTATTATTATTGTATTCAAATCAGTGAAGCTTTAATAAATCTTAATCATATGTAGCATGGCTTGGCAAATATTCTGTCTACTGTTAAATTTGCACACTGTAGCAGTATATTACATGTGTATGTAAGTTTACAGTGTATGAATATATCTGAATAGTTATTATATAACAGGTGTTAAAGTCATTCAGTGCAACATCAGTACGTTATATCTATACAGTATATATTCCTATCTGTTAATCATATCATGTTGCTACTAAGGCCATATGAAGAAAATATTCTGGTACTGAGATAGAACCACATCCTCATTGATAACTGCATGTTCATATATATTCCCACATGACAGACTAGAGGCAACTCTACTAAACATTGCCAGCAGGCTCAATTATCAAGTAAACAATCATTGACAATCATAAATGGCACTGGACAATTGTAAATTACCTCATTATTATCAGGAAATACGTATGGTGACCATCAATAGATCTGCTTAATTTTTCAAGATCTTTTAAGTCCATTGTTTTTTTTTTGATAATTATTCTGTAAACTATATCTAGTAATGAGGAAGAAATGACTGAAATTGTACTCTATAAATTTTTCAAGATCTTTTAAGTCCATTGTTTTTTTGTTTGATAAATATTCTGTAAACTATATCTAGTAATGAGAAAGAAATGACTGAAATTGTACTCTATAAATATGAGAGATGGTTGAAGCAATATTTACTTTAGTAGGAGACAAAAATTGTATACAGTTTTGTCCTTGGCAGACAGTCCCATTAACAATGCTGATTAGATATAATAACATCAGTATTTATGTAGGACCTTGAAATGTGATATTCATGATAAATCAGTTAGTTAGCCGGATAATCCTTGAACAAAATGAAAACACAAAAATAATAGCCTTCATCCCTCATCAATTTTTTTTTTTGGATGGATTGTCCGAGTTCCAGAATATATTTTTGTATGGCCTAATATGTTTAAAGTTGGAGCAATGTGTGTCTTGGCAAAAGATACTCCAATTATAGGCAGCGACAATAACTCTTTAACAAGATAAGCTTTTTCAGAGGAAGCGTTTCTTCCTCTTTCTTGCCTAAACAATCCATCAATATTTTTAGAAAATACATACGATTTTGAAAGCAGGGGTAATAAAACTACAAGAAATTATCGAGTGTTCATAAATTTTTATGGTGGCATGCAATTGAGAAAAACTAAAATTTCACCTAGCTGTCATCCATTGGAGCTTTTATGTCAAAAGCAAGGACCATAAATCTGCAATATAATGTTTTGTTTCTTTTTCAGATTTGATAATCCAGCTTCTGTAGCACCATTTCCAGCACGACAGCTGACCTTCAATTACTTACTGCCACTCAATTTTTGGCTCCTCCTCTTTCCCTCAGAGCTGTGTTGTGATTGGACAATGGGAACTATTCCATTAATTGAATCTATATTTGACTATAGAAATATTTTTACTGTGATATTTTACTCTTCTATGGTTCTTTTTGCCAAATATACTCTCTGTGGTCAAAACAAGCGAATTAGGGCCGTCATAATAGTAAGTTTCTTCAAAATCTTTTTTATATGCTCACGTTTCATATTGTGGCCAAAAATGGAATTTCATGGATTCGGATTGGTTGGGCACTAGAATCTCTTCTCAGTGGCTAAACAGTTTTTGGATTTAAGCGGTATAAAATGAACAATAACGATCCACTTAATTCTAAATAGTCTCATAAATTTTCTCACCCCTGCGCTCTGTTCGTCCACATTTCTTGTAAATGCTCTAATGGTCAGAATTTAACATAGAATATTTGCAAATTATATTTTTGTAATGGGCGACACAGAAACTGTGAGCTTGAGATTTGTTTCTGATTAAAAGTAACATAACTTACCAATTTGAGTACATTTTAGCTGGTATCAAATGTATTCTATGTATCTTATTTCAGAGTATTTCATTCATGGTGCTTCCATTCATCCCTGCGTCTAATTTATTTTTCCCTGTTGGTTTTGTTGTGGCGGAAAGAATTCTCTACACTCCAAGCATGGGTTTCTCTATGCTTGTAGCTATTGGTTTTGAAATTATATCTTCCAAAAAGTAAGTTCAAATACCTGTCCTAGTGATTACATCAAATACTGATTTTACTATTCAAATATTTCACATTATTATTTCCAATGCTATTTGAATATTCAATTGAAAGATCTATGTTTGGACTGTTTTGATTTATTTTCTGTTTGTAGAAATTGTAAATCTTTCAAATCAATATATTTTCTTTTGTGTATTTGCTTACTTTTGAACAATCGTGGAAATCATTGCATTAATATTGTCAAGTGTTTCACAGACACAAAATCAGATCAAATTCCATTAGTTTTCATTGATATCAAATAACAAATAGTAAAATAATGTTTGTATAGCGTAGAAGAACTATACATCTGTTTAGTGTGATTTAATTGTAACAAAACTTATAAACATCTTCATTAAAACTATTGTTTGAAATATGTAATGTTCACGGTATATATCACTTCCTTCCACTAGCTGATCCTGATATTTATAATATTTTATTACAAAGCCTATAAAGGTAAAATGATATTTATAATATTTTATTACAAAGCCTGTAATGGTAAAATGATATTCATTATATTATATTACAGAGTCTATAAAGGTAAAATGATATTTATTATATTTTATTACAGAGCCTATAAAGGTATAACATGGTGTTTAATGTTAGTATTGTTAACAACTCATAGTATTAAAACATTCTACAGAACAGCTGATTGGTAAGTGGACACTTATAACTGCTTTTTCTCTAGCTCCAAGTTTCAGGGACAACATTGACAGTTATTTAGACCTAGTTCAACTGTTCATATTAAACAATATTATTGCCCTTGTTTTACAAAAAGAGTAAACCAGTAACTCATATTTATTCTTGTGGACATGAAATGGGGTTTAACATCCTACTTTTCTGCACCATCTGGATTAAGGAAGACAGGCATATGCAGTGCAGTGTGCTATGAGAGAAATTTTGCCTAGACAGTAGCGTTTCCTGTCAAATTCCAACTGCCAAGGATCTTGTACATAGGACCTTGGTTTTTCGTCCCATCTCAACAACTAGATGCTGTTCCTTTGCCAGGTCCTCCTTCCTGCATCACTGACAAGCGAAAACCACGCTGGAAAATCCTGGGTAAACTTTCTCGCATAACAATTGGATCTCCTGGTCAGTGTGCCTTATTTATGTTGGTGATATACCGGTAGTACATTGACTAGCAACCTATGTTTATTTTTCCAGGAAATCAGAGTATACAATATTTCAAGCAGCATTAAAAGTAAATGATAGAAATGCCAAGTTGTTTAATAATGTTGGACATGCTTTAGAGAAAGTTCCTGATTACGCTCAAGCTTTGACTTATTTCCAAAAAGCTGTCAGGTGAGTTGACTGATTTATATTGTACAATTATGTATATTTACAGCGAAGATATATCAGAACGAACAAGTAAAATTGGTTGATTTTGGAACTGGCCGTATTTTTATTTGTACGTATTTGTAGTGTACGACAATATAAAAGCTCATATAAAACTATTGTTATACTTAAACCAATGACATACAAACTCATACTAACAAATAAACAAAGCCAGACGGATATAGGGGCTCATATAAACATATTATTAATACTTTATACAGTGTACAAATCAATGATATAGAAACTCATATAAACATTTATTCATTCACCTAAACATATCTATATATTTTACAGCCTAATGATATAGGAGCTCATATAAACATATTATTTATATAATTACGGTGTACAGCTCATGATATAGGAGCTCATGTAAACATATTATTTATATATTTACAGTGTACAGCCTGATGATATAGGAGCTCATATAAACATATTATTTATATATTTACAGTGTACAGCCTGATGATATAGGAGCTCATATAAATGTAGGAAGAACATATAATAACCTGAATATGTCAAGGGAAGCAGAACAAGCGTATAGAAAGGCTATAGCTTTATTCCCTCCTGTTATATCAGGTATAAAACAAACGATTTTCATTTTCTAATCATTGTTCATATGCAGTAACATACACTTCAACAGAGATTGTACACTGTCTCAGTTGTCCCGCTATATATACCACAGCTTGTACACCATCTCAGTTGATCCACTATACCAGAGCTTGTATACTATCTCATTTTACCCACTATGCCAGAGCTAGTAGATGAAATCGGTTTTTTGTATCCCTGCATTTCATGTACAAGTACATTTTGTGGGAACATATTAAACACCCATCTGTAGAGAGTTTAGGCGGATTGTTAGAGACACCCAAGGATTTTACAGGGAGATACTGACCTGGTCTTTAAATCAAATGATTTAAAGGTCAGATAATGAGGAACCCTACTGAAATTCCCACCTACCCATCAGTTTCATGCATAAGTATTGTCCCTGCCCCTTCAAAAGGCTGCTGGTTGGTGGCTATGTGATCCTTGCATATCACATCTAGATTTTAAAGTGTTGATTTGAACACTTTGCTTGGGATTGGGTAGCCAAGGTTTAATCCTGCACTTTCACGTAACAAGAAGGTTGCTTGCCTGACCTCGTGGGCTTACTCCTGTTTCCAACAACTTCTTATTATCCATGCATGCAAGGGAAGTATTGAAATGAAAATATACCATATGTTAGTCCCGAAATGACTTGTTTAGTGTTGACTGGAAGTTATAGAGGGGTTGAATGGCTGAATGGTTAGAGCATGTACGTTGTATCATAAGGTCTTATCATTGAGTCAACTGGCGTGGTTTCGATTCTCTCTCTCTCTCCCTGTATAGTTTGTCATTTAAATGATTACATATCAATGATTACAGTCAAGTAAACTATTTAAGTTTAAACAGATGTTGTTGTTTTTTATTTTTGTAGGAAAATCGTACACAGCTAGAATAGCACCAAATCATCTGAATGTGTATCTCAATCTTGCCAGTCTTGTATCTAAAGATGAAAAAAGATTACACGAAGCTGATGAGGTAGGATTCTCATTTTGACACACTCTCTTTAACTTAGGTCAAAAATAGCATTCTTGACTTGATTGCATTTTATATCTTTATTAATTTTGTGAGATAATAAGTTTGAGTATTTTTGTGATATCACATTCTTGATTTTTGCAATTTATATGTGAATTCATTTTGCAAAATAATTTTTGTGAGATAATAATCTAATTTGGTTAAATATATCTCTTGATTAGTTTTGTGAAATACTAACCAAACTTTCCCTTTGTATCGTAAGTTCTGTCATTGAGTCAACTGGCGTGGTTTCATTTCCCCGTTGTATGTGACATGGAGTAGGGTCGTCTGTTCAACTTCGTGGGTTCTCTCTCTCTCCCCCCCCCCTTTATCAGTATTGCAAGACAAAGTGCCTAGCAAAGAACAGTATGTAGTCATTAGGATGGGGCAAAAAAGAGGTTCTATGTACGCATTGGCATGCATGTAAAGGAACCCTCGACAGTTGGCAAATTTATCCTCATGACACACTTTGTGGCGTATGCCCATCTTGATTAGCCTGGATGCTATAGAATGGATAGGCTTTTTATTTCATTTCATTCTGTTGAATTTCAGTTATTAAGAACAGCCATAAGTATGAGATCAGACTATGTTCAGGGTTATATCAATCGTGGTGATGTTTTGGTCAAACTTGGCAGGTAAGTTATTAAATAACCACACTATAATATATATTGATATTAGTTATAACTTTAATATCGCTTCTCACATACACCATTGCAGCACATGTTATTACTTAAGATATATAGAAGACACCAGGGGCTATGTGAAGGGGACAAAATGATGTGCTTTGTGTTGTGGGTTTCAAGTTTTTGTGCCCTCTGAAGTTTCTGATAAAATTGGAAGAGTACTATTTGAAATATCGCCCAAATATATTATTAGCCGTTTCCCTTAAATATATGATATAGTTTATTACTCTATCCTGTTACTAAATGCCTGTAAAAGATCATGATTTAATACAATTGTATAAATGTATTTATAGAATAGAAGAAGCTATCAAGGTTTATGAAGCAGCATTAAAACATGACCCAGAAAATGCAGATCTGTATTATAATGTAAGATATATATTGGCTTTTTATACGCTTCCTTTAAAATGTGGTTTCATGTTGTCATTAACCTTGTCCGTCCTACTGTTGTCCACAATTGCTTGTAGATGCTTGCTCTCTTAGAGACTAAAGTTATTGACTTGGAATTCATACACATATCTATTTATGTTCATGAGATAAAACAGCCTTTTGATTTCAATGATTTACGATAATTACTGTCAGAGTTATGGCACTTGATACAGATCTAATTTTCTTTTTATAGTTTATTCTTTGAAAGAGATTATTCGTAGCCACAGTATTTAAGTTCAGGGTTAGGGCAACATTGTATTGGAACATTCTGTATCAATGCTTGGTAGCTTAAGTGAGTTAGTGTTAGGGTTAGGTCATCAATACCTCAAAAGTATTTAGGAGGTAATCATAATTCATAAACACAGTATTTACGAGGTAATCTTTATTCCTCAACACAGTGGTTATGAATAACCTCTTCCTCAAGAATTATTAATTTAAAATTATAAATTAACCGCAATAACCGGTTGTCTGGCTGGATAACACAGACTATCTACCAGATCAGATAGTCTATATATCAACTATCTGGCCTGATTATCCTGCCGATCCATGATCTAGTGCACCAGCCAGTGCACCAATATATTCCATCTCACACCAGAACATGATGGGTCATCTTATCTAATCTAATTTAGACACTTCTAAAGAGCCCTGTGTGGAAACGAATTATTAAAATGAAATATATCTGTTAATCTCAATATGACCTATTTTGTGTTAAATGGGCATTAAACCACATTTCTCTTGTAATAAGTATTAAACAAATAGTCATATTTCTAGACTAGATTTTAAGATTTAAGTGTAACGGTAACACATTTAAATGTCAGGTTTGATTATAATTAGATATATTTAGCTGCTATAATGTGTTGTCTAAATTTCAAAGATTTCTGTATTGACTCTAATTGGCTAGATATTTTTAATATTGTACTACCGAAACTTTAAAGATGTCTGGTTTGACTATGTTTTTAATTGTGATATTGTACTGCCTGGGTGTTATTGAAACCTATTCTATGTTTTGGTTTATTTCAGATTGGGGTTGTGTACCTAGAAAATAAAAATATTAAAATGGCTCATGAATATTTTACTAAAGCTTTACAACAGAATCCTAATCACCCGGTAAGATCAGTCATTCTTTATTCTATTGACACAAGGGAGCCACGGTGGCTAGGTGGTTAAGACGCTGTCTTGCTAGCCTGGAGGTCGGGTGTTCGATCCCTGCATTGGCCGAGAAAGTTCATCTGGATTTTCCGACGTGGTTTCCCCTTGTCAGTGGTGCAGAACGGAGGGCCTGACAAGGACAGCTGTCTAGTCTTTTGGAATGCACGTAAAAGATCCCTTGGCAGTTGGAATTCGATATAAGAGTAGGCGATAGTGCCGCTGCCCGGGCAAAATTTCCCTCATAGCACACTGTATGGCGTATGCCCGTCTTCATTAGCCCAGTATAGGAGCAGAACAGTAGGACGTTAAACCCCATTTCATTTCATTTCATTTCATTTCTATTGACACAATCAGTCTGCCTTCCCTATATAATTTAGTTTGTTTTGAGTTGATGTTAAACACCATCTCTCTGTTTTAAAATTTAACCTTGGTATCAAAATGAATACAAAACTGTTAATTACATGAAACAATCAACAGACTGGTATCTCTCTCATATGATATGAAATTAAAATGTAATTTTCTGTTGTTTTCAGCAAACATTATTTAATTCAGCTATATTATTACAAGAGACTGGTGATCCTAACAATAGACCAGAAGCTTATAAAAGGTAAAAATATACCAATAATTATTGGATCATATAATATATTACCAGAAGGACCCTGTTTCCTTATGCGTCACGTTTAGTTTGAATGCCTTTTCTGTTTTGAAGCTTCGTTTGCAAGTGATATCAGGTATCCTGTACTCTGTGTGAGATATGCATATTAAATGTCATGAATATTAATGCCTGTGCACGATCTTGTGAGAGAGCAGTCTGTGACTAGCTAACACCCTGTACATTTGAATAAAGTATTTATGGCTTTATCATCAAATGGTGTTGTCTAAATCACTTTAACACAAAGTATGCATACTCTGCCATGTGCATGATGTTTGTTACAGCTTGTAATTAAAGACCTAAAAGTGACCTAAGTTTATGAAGGTAACTAATCCTTAGTGAAATTCAGAATTTATAGTATCACAAGTGTAGTAAAGTATACATTTAAAGAGATGTTAATTCACAAAATGTGAACTCCTCCAACAATTCCATGTTTATATATTTTAGCATGTTTATATATTTTAGCATGTTTATATATGATTCCATGTTATTATATGTTTGTATGTGATGGCATGTTATTATATGTTTGTATGTGATGATGTGTTTATATATGATTACATGTTTGTGTGTGATTACAGATTAAGAAGATTAAAAGAACAAACACCAACAGACTCTAAAGTATATTTTAACCTGGCCATGTTAGATATGGATGAACATAAATTTCTAGATGCAGAAGTCAACTTTAAGAAAGCCATTGAGGTGAGATTTATATCTAAAATGCTTTCTGAAAACATTAATTTATAGCCTGTTACCAACAAACCATTTCGCCATGATATTTTCAAAAACGTACTTATGTACCTTGGCACCTTGCCCATGTTGAAAAGTCATTTATCCAAGAAATGATTTGTCTAATCCATACCTATTTCATATTATATTTGGTAATTGCTGTGATTGACCTTCACAATTTTTTTATGTCTGACCTTGACTTGTAGTGGTGGCACCTGTGGGGTTGACAAGGAAAGTATGTCAAGTCCTTTGGATGGCACATTAAAACCATGTACACATTGGCATGCAAATAAGATTACCACGTTTGTCTAAAAATGACAGCAGTATTATGTTGACGAGACATTAAACCTCATTTTGTATAGTTCATATTATTTTGTATATTTCATAGTATTTGTATATTTTTGTATGTTTCATATTTTTTTGTATATTTGTATAGTTCATATCATTTTTACAGTACATATTATTTATAAACATATAATTTGTATATTTGATCTTATTTTTATATTTTAGTATGATGAGACATTTCGAAGTGCTTTATTTAACTTAGCTTTAATGTATAACAATGATTTAAACAGACCAAGTGATGCTATTCCATACTTAGAACAGTTGTTAAAGGTAATTCAAGTCTCTCATCCAAGAAACATTTTTTCAGACAATATCAAATTTTATGGTTTAATCTGCACTAAAATGTGCTTATAGAGACACTTGAAATTTGATTAAGAAAACAAAACCACATTATTAACCGTTACGTAATCTTCTGACACGGATTCAGATGGATTAAACAGAATCCCATAAAGAGATCTTACAAAACACTGGGTAACACTGGCACTGGTTTTGTGGATGTAGGATATTGCTACAATTCATCATATTGTAAATACTTGATGGAATTAAACTATTTTTGTACTGATATTCCTTTTAAACATCCAACTTTCACAATCCCTTGTAAAAACAATGATCAGTGAACAGTTCATTCCTTTCATCAAACATTCACTATGGGTAAGGCAACCATTACTAAATAGTATAGTATTTGCAAAATATCCCTAGATGTTTAGAATTTGAACAGGCAACTGGCAGTAAGCTCCCATGTACACAGTTAAAAAGACATGAATAGCGTTTCTAGGTCTTTGATGATATTTATTTCTTTAAGAAAAAATATAAAACCAGTGATTTTAATAGGATATTATTTATATGTACATGTACATAAAATGAATTGAATTTCTAAATTTTGTGAGAAAAATGTATTATTAAATCTTTCAGCATCACCCTGATCATATTAAAGCAATGATTTTATATGGAGATATAAATCTGAACCATAGAAAAGATCCAGTAGCTGCTGAAAAGGTAATTTAAGTTTAATTTTAACGTTTTCCATTTGCCCCTTTGTTTTGTTTTTATTATTCTACTGGTAGGACACAAAAAATATTCTTACTAACATAAAGGCCTACTTGATTTATAAGGGAGCCACAGAGTAATAAAATGTTGACATATTTCTGTTCATGATTCACTCACTAATAACCAACATTTAATTATCATTTTCTATCTGCTGTTGTTCAACTCCTGATCATCCTCCCACCCAGTTTCTTATAGATTTACAGGTTTAATTTGGGATATAGGGTTACAAGTTAAGATGTTGCACCTTGTATGAATACGAATAATTAGAGATCAAGCAAGCTGTTAACTGGTGAAAAACTGGTGAAAACCAGACACTACAACTTGTAAATTCAATTTTATATGAAACTTTTTTGATTTTTTATTGCAGAATTTTGTAAGTGTTTTACAGATAGATCCTAATCATGTTCAGGCAATGCATAACTTGTGTGTCGTTTACGTAGAAAAGGGTGATCTTTTTGCTGCTGAAAAATGTCTTGTTCGAGCGCATAATTTGGCGCCAAAAGAAGATTATATATTTAAACATTTACAAATCGTGAGATCAAGGATAAACCAAGCTCAACAGCAACAACAGCGAGTAAAGGAAGCCAATGGCCAAAAACCAGTGACGACAGAACCTGAAATGAATAAAGAGAAGCAAACTCCTTAAGTGTTATTTGTAGAAATTTGCTGTCTAAACAAAAACAATTCTGTTCATAGAGAAAGTTTGCAGTAAAAAGTCAAAATTTAAACTTTTTTTTTGCATAGAAATAAAATTACTATGCTAGTTAATGACTGTCAAGGTATCGAGTATAGTGATGAAATACCTGGAGCAAAGGGATTCTATGGAAATTGTGCTTTGTTGGGGTTTAAATTGAATTTTAGCTGGTAACCCTAAATACCTTCACAAGTCTATTCATAGTTACACTAACTGGTTATATGTTGTGGTACAATGACGAATAGTAACCTGTCTTCAATGTACTGTAATTCATCAAATAGCAAAATATACCATATCAAGGTCATAGAATATTTGTAATTAATGCATTATATTTTAACACAGCTATGAAAGCTCTCATCTCATTTAACAATTTATGGAACAGGAACTGGGTCTCAAGTTGTACTCATCTTGTTGTTGACCATCTGGTGTCGTTCTTCAAAAATAAAAAGCCTGCTTGCATGTTCCTTGGACAATTGTACATTGATTAACAGACCATGAATTTTGATATGAAATCATAATTCCAAGATGGCGGTAATGATGTCATACTCGGTTCCATACTTGTTTATATCCGAGTTAAATTTGTATATGTTGTTAATACTTGTACATGAACGATGATACTCAGTTGAGTTTTTATTTGTTTTTTTTTTTCCAATGAACATATCTCTTGTTATCTCATAATGTTTTTTTTATTATTATTATAATTATTGTTCCCAGATTTTATATTAGATTTATTTCTATACAAATTGTTACACTTTAGACATTCATAATATAATGCTGTAATTGTTACTATTATTAAATATTATATTCACAAAATGTTAAAGTTGCATACTAAACCTGCCCTGTTAAAAAAATTTGTAAATAATTATATTGAAAATAGTAGTTTCCATCATCTGAGGAAATAACAATCTTTTGCAAACAACCAGTGCTTTTACATGTATTGACCAAAAAGGGGACATTGCAAGATAGTCGTCTAGAATAGTGCTTACATATATATATTTAAGATCAAAAGTATTAAGAATCACAAATAATGGTAAATAAAGAGAAAACCTATTTACTGCATATTAAAAAAAATTAAAGATTAGAGTATAAAATACATTAATTAGTAGTTTTAACAGAAAAATAAAGATTACCTATGGGGAAGAATGTTTCTGTACTTAAACTCCAGTATATCATCTGGATTTTTTATATTAAATTTTATCTTGCAAAACCCCTGTATATTTTGGGAAACCCTGTTCTAGAGCGACAGCTGACATCATGTGATTAGATTCTTATTGAAAGACTACTAGAAGGACAAGCATATTGACCTGTCGGATTATCAGCATAATCATACATATCGTGAGTCGTCGCCACATCATTACCCTCCGTCCCTCCAATCACCAAGTTCCATACCTAATGTTAGGTTAATTAAAATTTCAGGATTAAGCAGGGTGTGGTTTGTAAATGTTGACTTAACATAATATTATATTATATTTGTTTTTACTAAACCCAGGGTTGGTTTACCCAACCATAGATTATATAAATTACAGCATTTTTGTTTGTATATACATGTGTATATTATAAAAATATATATTATTTGTCCTTTCATCTAATTTCATTTACTGTTGTTATCGAGACTCTTCCACATTCATTCCATTTCCACATGAACTTAGATTAAAAAAGACATTTTAAGACATTATTCTAACACAACAAGAGATACATCATCTCAATATGCATAAACGTGACATGATTCAAATGCAACATAAGATTGCAGTCATAAATTACTACAACCTTTTTATGCTAGTTACAGCATCTCAGTATTTGTAAAAAGTGCAAAGAACACAATGGTTTCAATATTAATAAATGTAAATGTAACTACACAAAATTAGACGATATTCAGTTTATTGGTGGCATTGCAAGATTTTATTCTCCACTTAACAATCGCAGGGAGACTGTGAACCAGTTTTGACTTTTCTTTACATCTTACCATTTTGTTAAGATCAAACATGTTTATACATATGTATCCTCTTATGTGAAGGACAGTCATGAAGAGATACTAAACATGAATTACAACATAATTTTTATTCATTTTTTTTTTCCCTTCGTAGTTTTGTTATGAATAAAAGGGATTTTATTTTAAACCTACTATTTAATATTGTTAGATTTTTTTTAAAATTTTGTTGTTTCAGTAGAATTAGACATTGTAGTAGTAGATACACATTTTGTATACAGAATATTTGGAATATCAAATATTTAAATAAAAGCATATATAAATTGAATTGTATATAGTAATAAGTTAATTGAAAGCGGTATTATAAATTATGATTATGATCACCATAAAGCATAAACACTAGATTACTGGTAGAAATTTGAAGTGAAAAAGCCCTGGTATGATCATCATAAAGCATGTATATTGTGTTATAGTAGACCTAAGTTAATTCATGACTAGAATCACAATATCAAACAATAAAAAAAATGACAACATCTATGCACCTCATATACTCAGAGAAATAAACGTATATCAATTTTAAAAATCAAAATATTTTGTATCCTAGTAGAAATTATATTGATGTGTATAATTATGAATTTATATAATAATGTTTTATTGTTGAATGTATATGAATCAAAACTAACAGGATATATTTCCTCAGCAGTCTAAAAGTTGCTGAAAATTTTTGGCAAAAAATATCTGATATTTTATGGCATATAAACTTTTGTGGCTTTATCCACAGTAAGATTTACTATAATTGATTATTTACTATTTAATTAAGAAAACAAAGTCCAAAGATAATCTTCTGGCTTGGATTCAATCAGATTAAAAAGAGACTCTCATCAACAGATTTTATCCAACACTAATAGGTGGCACTGGCATGTTTATACCGTCGGCAGAGAATGCTGAATGCTGCAAAATGTTCAGTTTATGATCATCTTGGTAAATAATGAACAAGACTTGAAAAATTTTTGAACTGATAATCCGTTTATAGATTCAACTTTAAAAATCCTATAAATGATGATCAGTGACTTTAAATATATAATCATCAATTAGAAACATAAGTTAAGCTACCTGAAAAAAGGTAAGCAAATGAGTGCATAACATAGCAACATCTGAGTGATATCAACCGCGAACTGACACTCTGTAATATTTGACTTGTTTAATTGTTGCAGGCTTATTAGGCAAAGTTTGTCTATAATTATATTTTGGGTGGTTGTTTCAAATATACTTTCACATAAAAATAAGTTTATAGAGTCGAACATTTGACCTTATTGTGCATGAGGGAATATATCTTTAATTGTCAAATAGTTAAAAATGTATGAAGATAGTGTTTATGAATGAAAATTATATTCTTGAAAGAAAATAAAATCAAAACTATTATACGATCTATATTTTAATCAGAGAATCAGAGTACGTAATTTATCTTAAGAACGTTCATTTTTGTTAGAATTTAAAATGGATTAATTTATTGAAAAAAAACCAAAACAACACTGTTTGATCAAATGTTAATGTGACAGGTATTTGTTCAGAATTATTGTTAACTATAAGGTTAACTGAAACACAATAATTATTAATATTAGGTAAACATACCGGTTATATATTGTAAATAATGAGAGCCATTCATTTGATATTATGCATGCAACATGGAATAATACACCATGCTATCTTTACCTTCACACTATGTTAGTTGCACATGTTCCATATGGGTTGGCCTATTGTTGTCAAATACCTTGTGATGTGGTTATTTCCCCAGAAGCAGTTGAACCAATTTGGCACAGTAGGTCAAAGAAATTTAATTTTTTTGCGAAAAATATACGTTTCTATTTAATAAGAATAGAATGAAGTAGATAATATGTTATAAATATCAGGATTACTTCATTATGAAATTAACATTCGGTAAAATTCTTGCTAAAACTGATGTGTATTTAGTAACCAATTGATCACTAATTCAGATTTTGCATATTGGATTAGGCTTTCATAGGTCTATGTGGACTTTGGGGTAACTAGCATATTGAAGGTTAGGATGGTATTACTTGTAAAACTACATTCCTTATCGTTAAACTTTTGTAACCTAAATTTAATTTTTTCATTACTTAATGCTTCATTTCTTTCTCACTTTCATTTATTTATAGAACTTTAGCTGTTTTATATTTATGTACCACCCAAAATGAAAATTGTTTACCTTTAAATGAATAAACTGGCAGTCTAGCCACTTTTTAAATAAACGAACCAGCAGCAATAAGCCCCACTTTTTTGGGATAGGGTATATGTGTATGTCACATATAATCATTCTTTCCAGGAAATAAAATCAGTATTTTACTCATTATGCATAATTTGTAAAAAAAATCACATCAGGTTTTTTTTAAAAAATGTATTTGTATTGGTGTCGATTTTGTCCAGACCAGTATTGGTTTTTGTCGAAATAGAGACAATTTTGGCTGGACTGATTAAGACTATATTAGTTGAAAACAGTATCCGAGTACATGTAAATATCAATTGCCTAACCTTGTGGGTTTCCTTCCACTTCTAAAGACCCATGCACACAAGCAAATTATTGAAGTAAGATATACACTGTTGTTCTGGAAGCGGCCTAGTGGTGTTATCTCTCTCCCTTCCCCAATATGATACTAAACTTTGGATAAAGGTTCTGCATTTGAGAGAGAATGTTTAAGTCCCACTCATTCAAATGTTCCATAAAGGTATATGTCACACAAACCCAGGATAGAACCAATGGATTGTATGGATAACATTCCTTGTGATCTACAGAGTGTATAATAGACCCCTTGGTCACCCACGTGGCATACTATATTAGGACAATCCAATCTGTTAGTCTTAGACAAGAGTATTGCTTTATGTATAATGACCTAAGATCCTTTAATATTGATAAATGCAGAGGGACGTTATGTACCGGTAATTTATTTATGTCTTTATCATTCTGTTCCAAGTAATGTCTCATTTGTATTTTTTCATAGAAATAAAAAAAACCTTTATCAGTAATTTATATATGGTTTTGTTTTATAGTGATTTTACCCTACAGAATATCTTCCCATGTCAAGGTAACACAGTTCTTCCTTTCATTTCAAGATGTGTATTATCTTGAGGGAACCGCGGTGGTTCAGGGAGTAAGATGTTGGTTCGCTAACCAGGAGGTCTCGGGTTCGCTTCCAGTGTTGACCAACAGAAAATTCTGTGTGGTTTTCCCCTGTCATTGGTGCAGGACTGAGGGCCTGACAAAGAACAGTGTGTAGTCGTCCCCATAGCACAAAAACACCGGAGGTCCCTTGTACACATTGAAATGAAATGAAATGAAATGGGGTTTAACGTCCTACTGTTCTGCTCCTATACTGGGCTAATGAAGATGGGTATACGCCATACGGTGTGCTATGAGGGAAATTTTGCCCGGGCAGCGGCACTATCGCCTACTCTTATATCGAATTCCAACTGCCAAGGGATCTTTTACGTGCATTCCAATGTATACATGGGACCTCGGTTTTTCGTGTCATCCAAAGCACTAGACAGCTGTCCTTGTCAGGCCCTCCATCCTGCATCACTGACAAGGGGGAACCACGCCGGAAAATCTGGATGAACTTTCTGGGCCAATGCAGGGATCGAACATCCGACCTCCAGGCTAGCGAGCCAGCGTCTTACCCACTTAGCCACGTGATCCCCTTGTACACATTGACTTAGAAATCAAATTAAGAGTTGGCCATAGTTTCGCTGTTCATGCAAAATTTTCCTAATAGCACACTGTCTTCATTAGACCAGTCGGTGCAGAAAAGTAGGATGTTTAAACCCATTTCATTTCATTTGCTTTACACAGGCTATATGATGTTCACCAGCACTCTCAATTAAAAACTTGATGGCTGAGGGGTCTCATGCATGTACTTTGATTCATAAGGTCTTTCTTTAATTCAAAGTTTCAATCTGTATGGACTGGGCTCGCACTGGGTAATTGGAGGTCACTTTGCTAACACAGAAACTGAGATTTAACAACATAGTGATGTAGTATACAAAGTAATCTAAGCAAGCAAACAATTAGAAAATCAAAAACTGTGACCATCAGACGCCAAAATATCACAAATTATTTTGCCTTCCTAAAGTGATCGACTCTGGCACGTTTACCATCATTGTATTGTTCTACAGGCCCTGCATAGGACCCAATTACCTCCCGGTTCCTGGATACCCGGACGGTGATGAAAGCCTCAAATGAAACAAGGACAGGCCGGGACCCAATGGCACGGAAGGCCCGAGCGGTTGGCTTTTAGTTTTTAATTCTCCAATTTTTCCAAAAATGTGGACCGATAGAATTCGCTTCTAATCCTATCCAAGCCACTTAGGTACCCACATTCAGGAAGTCACCGGTTTTCTTCTGCTTTACGATCAGGTTTCAGTGTATTTTTTGTTATTAATTTACACTAATTTATATGTTTTTAAGAAAACATTACTTGGCATACCTCTGGGTGTCTCTGAGCCCCTGGACATGTGTCCAAGCTGTTCCCTCCTCTCACAGGCCCTGTGTGTGTTGTGGGTAATTGAAATAAAGATATACCACATGTTAGTCCCAAAATGACTTGGCTTGTGTAGAGTGACCATTACTCTCTCTCAAGACATAAGCATTGTGTCTAAATCACATATCGATCAAATGATAACTTCATCTGCTAAAGTGTCATCCGCAAGTAATTATCAGAAATTACAAAAAAATATAAATTTAATCAAAGTCAATTGAATGGTAACTATTGCCTCTAGAGAATCCACAAGAAATTATGGTAATGTAAATGTGACAATATACAACCACATTGAAATGTTGGCTCATAAACATGGTTACAGATCTCTTTGATCTGGATCAAGACTAAAACCTTGTCAAGATGATCTGTTTTGTGGGATGACAACAATAGATAAAGCCAGTGTTTAGATATAACTAATTTTGTGTTCCACTGTTGACACAATAAGCCAAAAATTACATTAAAATTAGTTAGTGAATAGATTTCTGCTTTGTCATCGAAAAAAACACATATAATTGTATAGACCTTTTCCCATTGGGGGGTTGGATGGCTGAATGGTTAGCATGCGCGTGCTGTATCATAAAGTCTGTCATTGAGTCGACTGGCGTGGTTTCGAATCCCTGGTTGTACGTGACAAGGAGTAGGGTTGCCTGTCCAACCTCGTGGGTTTTCTCCGGGTCCTCCGGTTTCCTCCCATTGCTAAAGACCCCTACGCACAAGCGAATTATTGAAATAAAATTAAACCATATGTTAGTCCTGAAATGACCTAGTTTGTGTCGAGTGGACGTTAAACCCCATTTCTCCCTCTCTCCTTTTTCCTATTACTAATCGAAATAACACATCAGATTAACCCAATTTCTGAACTACATGTACATCAAAGTGGTGAAGATGAAAAGCATTGTTTATTAGTACTACATGTAATTGATAAGATGCATTTATTTGATATGAACACTGTGAACAAAACACATCAATTATTGTGAATTTACATAGACATAAATATTTCATTAAGATGTTATTAATACACCTGGTAAAAGCTGTCTTAATTCATTTAAAGAATTATCGTCCGAACACACAGTGTTCCCCGTAATATTTAAAGTCTTCAAATTGGGACAGGTCTGCAGAACTTTTAAGTCATTTACATCTTGAATTGAGTTATCTTTTAATGAAAGTTTCTCCAAACTGTTCAACCCTCTTAAACCATTTATATCGCAAATTTTATTGGAATCTAAAATCAAATTTTTAAGACATTGCAGGAATTCAAAATTTTTCAAATTCACAAATTGATTTCCTTCAAGACGCAGTTCTGATATAAAGGGGAGCAAACTGGTATGATATAAAACAGTTAACTTTTTGTCTGAGAGGTCTAAACATTGTTGATTCAACCCCAAGGCTTCCAAAGTATTTTCCACAAGAATCTTCGATCTTAGGTCATCGTAATACGTCTTTCTTTTTGGATCAAGTTTCTGTAAGTGGGAGATTTGCTTTAATATTTCTTGTTCATATTTTAGTGGATCAAGCGATTTCATTAATGACATTAAAGTCAGGATAACCCATTTGTTATCTGGTTCTATTTCATAAAGTTCAACTATGGCTTCTAATTCTCTCTGAAGGGTTTCAGAAGTAGATGAAGTCAGTTCATAACTAAATCGATTACCCTCTTTAAAAGGCAATGTAAACAAACTTTCACTTTCATCTGACTTTAAACTCAGCAACTGTGTAATCCTGTGTGTACCCATAAGGACCTGAATATTTATGCTACCATCTGGCATAGCGACATCGTCTGCTAACCATAGAGTTGAATACTTTCGTTGAGACTTTTGATTCTGCCACTCTACTTTAACTTCTTTATCATTTATTTTCAGCGTCACAGGATTGTTACCATCAATCATAACTGGCTTGGTCGTTGTGACCATAACACGTCTATCTTTCCGAGATACAAACATTGTATTGATTTCAAGATTCCTTTGATGTCGTCCAAGCAACCATCGATGATAAAACCAAGCACTTTGATCATTTGGATCTGTGAAAAAAGCATTTTGGACCGTTTCAAATTCCTTTAACAAAATTTCTTCATTCACACCTGAGGGGTGCGTCTTATCTGGATGTAAAATTGGTAATAATTTACTTCTGTAATGCCAAGATGAATAATCAGAGAAATTGTTAGCTATTTTTTCTGTTGTGAATTCGAACTCTTCAGCTGCTGATATCGAGGCTTTTCCCACTACAAATCTTCTATAATCCCAGCAATGAAAATTCCTTTCATCATATTGCAGGAATGTGTTGCACAACTTTATTTCTCGTTTCCAGTCGGGGGTTGGCATGGTTTCCATGACAAATGAACGGTGATGCCACGTCCCATAAGATTTTGGATTGACTTTCAGACATGTTTCTAAAAAGTACAGCTCGTCTTGAAAGGCTTTATCTAGCTCCTCTTTCGGTCTTTTTTCTTTAAAATCATTAAAAACTTCTTTTCTGAAATTCCACAAAGAATAGAAGTCGGGGTTTACAGCAAGAATTTCTCCGGTAATTTTTAATGCTTCTTCGTCGAATTCTCTATTATTTCTCTTCTCGAAAGCCTTCTTAGTAGCGCCTGTATAAATCTTCAATTTTTTTTCTCTTTCGACTCTCTTGGCCTCTTGCTGTTCGGCTGTCGTTCGGACTTTAAGGCGGCCGTGCATTATCTTCCAGGAATGATTGAATTATTATGATCGGGGTGTTTCCCGAACAATTTCTACTTGCGTTTATTTATCTATCTCGGAAGCGTACTAATTGACACGTGATTGTTCAAATTTAGCACTCGGATCATACACAATAATTTTGCTAAAAAGAAATCAAACATACCACCTTTGCTTTTCTTGGATTATTCAGTTATTACTAATTATATTTAAAACATACAGTTACACAAACCTAACTATCTCCCCCGAATTATTCGTTGATTGAATCACAGTTCTTAAATTGCGGCATTTTGCCATGTGCTGATTCCTAGTCTACTATTTGGATTATTTTAAGAAATTGGGAAGATAACTCTTATGACAATAATTAAAATTCAATAAACACGTGCATGTGTTTTGGTTTAAAACAAGCGCAAGTAAGCACACAACAGTAAAATAACTTCTCAAAATGGATGAATCAGAAGCTGGTACATCAGATGATCAAAATAAGCTGGAACATATCGATGATGTCAATGTCTATTCTCAAACTGCCCTGAAAAATGTTTTGGAAGCGACAAAAAATTCCAACAGTTTACCAACAGGTGATGACTATGACTTCTATTCGACGTTCCGATCTGTACGCGATGTGTTAGATATAGAGAGTCAGAGAATTCTCTCCTTAATAGACAGTTTATTAAAAGAACAGTGCATCAAGGGCAGGGTGTCTCATGGCTCATCAGCAGTTGAAATTGATGACAAGTTTGATATTTTAACCGAAGCAAATGATCACATTTTAGAACGGATCGGGAATAATTTAGACGAAGCTTCAGGAATTAAAAAGACACAAACCAATTTATTAGTTAAATCTGTAGAAACGAAAAGTCAGATTTTAGCATCGTGGAATAAAAAGAAAGGCAGCAAGGATTCACCAACCAGTTTTCGCCTTTTGGCAGCAAAAAATACGCCAAGACCACAATTCAAATTCAAGGACAAAGTTGACAATTCATCAAATCCCTTTGTGCCCCTGATTAAGGAGAAACCAAATGCCTTGGTGCCACTTACAGAAAGTTTGAAAGTAAATCAGTCTGAAGATCCTAATATGGATACAAACTTTTCTTACCAACATCCGTACCAGTTCGAAATATTAGAGTTTCAAATTCCGACTACTCAGCTTGAAAAAGAAGAGCCAAAAATGCCCTTACTGTTGTCAACTACACCGTTTACTTTCATCGATACAGTACCTCAATTGGAAACATTGTTGACTAAATTACAATCTGTTACAGAAATAGCTGTTGATCTTGAAGCACATTCGTACAGAACCTATCAAGGTATCACTTGTTTAATGCAGATTTCAACTCGTACTGAAGATTTTATTGTTGACACTTTATCACTGAGAAATGACTTGCACATCTTGAATGAAGTTTTTACAAATTCAAACATTGTTAAAGTCTTACATGGTGCCGATATGGACATAGTTTGGTTGCAGAGGGATTTGGGTCTCTATATTGTTAATATGTTTGATACAGGACAAGCTGCAAGGGTTTTGAACCTTTCCCGTCTCTCTTTAGCCCATTTGCTTGATGAATACTGTCAGGTGACCGCAGAAAAGCAATACCAATTAGCCGATTGGAGAATGCGACCACTGCCAGAGGAACTGATCAAATATGCACGTACAGACACCCATTATTTGTTGTATATTTATGACAAATTACGAAATGAACTTTTGGAAAATGGCAACGATCAGAAAAATTTGTTGTGTTCTGTTTATGACAGAAGTAAACAGATTAGTTTGAAAGTTTACACAAAGCCCATTATGAACGATGACAGCCATCTTGAACTTTACAGAAAAAGCCGAAAAGTTTTTGATAGTCAGCAGTTAAGCTCTTTGAAACAGCTGTATGCCTGGCGTGATAGAATAGCTAGATTGGAAGATGAGAGTACTGGTTATGTTCTTCCAAATCATATGTTGTTACAGATTGCGTCAATTTTACCGCGGGAAAAACAAGGAATTCTTGCCTGCTGTAATCCAATTCCTCCAATAGTGCGTCAATACTTGAATGAACTTCATGCCATAGTAATGGATGCCCGTAGCATACCAGTGACAAAGAAAGAAAAGAAAAAAACTGTGTCAACATTAAGTAGCAAAACACCCACGTATGGAGATGATACCTCTATTTATTGTCCCCATGATTTAAGTGAACATGATGCGTCAGATCATTCTATCCCAAAATTAGACACTAAATTTGTAGCAACAACTGCTTCTATGTTTCAGTCGCCTAGTTCATTCCTGGTTACATCAAAGCCGCTAATTACTGCGTTTAGTCCACCAGAAATGGTCAAAAGGCAATCCAAAGCTATGAAAAAAGCGACTGAAATAACAATTGCTCTTCAACAACCATTTGACATGTTCTTGCCAGGCGTAGAGAGTAAATGTAAAAAGAAGTGGTTACTAAAACCAAGCACAATCAAGACTGAAGAGCCAGATGCGACAGCACAACCTGAGTACGTTCCCCCAGCTAAGAGAAAGCGTCCACAAGAAAACACAGCTCCTTTACGACATCAAGTTTTTCAACAGAAGAAATCGAAACTTGAACCGAAAGAAGAAGTGAGTGAAGTTAGTGAACAGTCTGTGAAAGAAAAGAAAAAGACAAAGCCCCACAAAGATAAATCTTTTAAATATGATAACTTTAAACCATTTGATTATAAAACTGTTGATAAAAGTATTTTTGATGGCAACGGTAGTAAAAAGCAACATAAATGCAAGAAATGAAGCTTTTGCCAAATTAATTTGTAAAGTGTTATTTACTTGAAAGATCCTGATTTATAGTTAACTTGTTTGAGGAGTACACTATTCCTACCACATTGGATGTATGTAACCTATTTAGGTTACAGTAATAGAGGGTATTCAAAACATTTACAGACCTGAAGGATCAAACAGTCGCATAACCAGAATTTAAGGGGGTTACTCAGGGTTGAATGACCAAAGGTGATGACACAAGGCTCTAGGGGGATTGCGGAGCATGCTCCCTGAGTGAATTTTTATATTTTGACACCATTTAATGCCATCTTGAGAAGTCAGTTTGTTATTGCTCTCACAAATAGGCTTAGCCTGTTAAAACTGATTTTTTAGTATGCTTGGTTATTTGATTTCTAGTAAAACTAATGTTATGTGATCAGTTTTCAGGTTCCAATAGGACATATTTAATAACAAATATTTTAATATAAAAAACAAATGTAGGAAAAATATCAATTTGAAAGGTTCACAATTTTCAAGACATTGGAAAATGAACTAAAAATTGACCATCTGAATTGTATTCGAATAATGACTTAGAATATTCAAAATAAATTTGGCAGCATTTGAACTCACCACATGTATATACAGTATTAATGATATACATGTATTCATTTATGAAGTGCTACAAGTAAATCAAGAAAACCAGCTCATGGTGTATTTATTCATTGTTAAATGCAAAGGAATTTTAATATGAAGTACTGGATTTTTTTTTTAAAAAAAAAAAGCATTAGTAAAATTGTTAGCTACTGGAATTTGAAAAGTGTTACAATAGTACAGACTACAGAGACATTGTTCAGTACATTACAGATACCTTTATCTTCAGTTTGGACTAAAATTATGAAATACCTGTAGAAGTAGCATACATAATACATACAATCTATATAATTTTGTTTTGTTATGATTTGTTTTGTAAAAAGATGTATTTTATGGATAATGTAAACCTTTATAATATAGAATTCTGTTGATATTCGTTCTGTAAACTTCTTCACATCTATTCCTATTCCCCCACTGGTCTAACAGTCAACAGCTTTGTACTGCAGAGTTTAGGCAATTCACCTGGTTTGATCCCATGATTGTATGAGAAAACCAGCAGACTCAGATTCTGACGGGATGCACAGTTGAGTTTTGGTTTTTGAGGGACTTTAAGGTGAGTCTTTCTCATAGGCGTACGGGGCGGGGGGGGGGGGGCAGCTGCCCTCCTAACTTTCGGGCAAGCTGACTTTTCGGGCAGAAGGGTAAAGTGAAAAAAAATTTTTTATTTCATCTACTTGGCTAAATAAAGTGCCCGAAATCTAATAAAACCCTAATTTTACGGGCTGGAATAGCAGTAAAACGCGTTTGCGGCCGTCAAATATTCCAAAATTTTCTTCGGGGGTCCATACAAGGTCAGTTCTGCTTACCTCTCAAAGAAAACCAGCGCCGCTGTCTGTAAATCTGAAATTTTTTCGGGCATTTCTTGTTTTTCTTCCCTAACTGTCATTGAGCCCTAATAAAACACTAATTTTACTTTTCTTTTAATTGAATACCACAAATTTGTACTGAGTTGACTATGGATTAAAACATTTTGTCTGGAGCGACTCTACTTTGTGCGACATTTTTCGAGCATCGATTATTATTTGTGAATGCAGCTGCAACGGTCTGATTGGATGGTTGGAATTCAGAATGGGATTTCGGTTACAAAACCATTGGATACTTTTGGAGTTGCTTACACGGGCTAGAATAGCAGAAAACGCATTTGCGGTGGTTAGATTTTAAAAAATTTTCTCCGGGAGGGTGAGGCCCCCCATACCCCGCGACGATTGCTTGGTTGTTTGGAATTTGGGTCTGCCAGGTAGGCTATATTGGACCAAATTGAATAGCAGGAAAACGCGTATGCGGCTGTTAAATTTTCAAAATTTTCTCCAAACGGTCCCGCCTCCATGGACTGTAAACGATTGATCTTTTGATTGGAATTCGAGTCAGCCATCTTAATTAGGCTATATTAGACCACTTTGAAGTTGCTTTGTTCACGGGCTGAAATAGCAGGAAATTGTTTGCAGCCGTCAAATATTCACGAATTTTCTTGGGGGGGGGGGGGGTAGAATACAAGGGGAGCTCTGCTTCTTCGCCTCTCAAGGAAGATCGGCGCCGCTATTTGTACACCCAAAATTTTTTCAGGCATTTCGGGTTCTGCCCCCCTAACTGTCATCGAGCCCGTACGCCTATGGATTTAGGATGTATTTGTTACTTTTAAGAAATTGTTTGACCATGCTCCATTCAGCTGCTCATTTACACCTGTGAAGTGCATCTACATCAAACTTGTGCCTGTTACACAATTGTACTGCTCAGTTGCAATAACCCAAAAAGTAAAATTTAATTATTGATTTGCTAGTTAACTAACCCTTTAACTATAATATATACATCAGTTGGATATTTACTTAAAAAGTACCGTAATTTATTCACAGAACTAGAACAAATTTATTTGACTAGCTCCATTCGGTTTTCTTTTTTAGAAACTATAGTTGTTTTCATCCTCTTTGAAAAATCTTGCACCCCTGACAACAACTGAAAGGTATTGGATAAACAGAGATCTTTATAAAAACAGAAATAAGAATGTCACAAACTGTTACACTATCCTGTATAACCCATGAACACTTTGACCGGCTTGTAACGTGCACAGCCGTGGCACATATATACCTACAGTTTGAGGCAGTTTCGGTCTGTTAAGGGATGTTCCCATATTCGAAAGAAATTTTGCCCAGCCAGCAGCATTTTCAACTACCCTTCTTTGAATTCCAACTGAACGAATAGATGATTTTCCTCGCCAAGCTTTCCATTTAGCACCATTGACAAGGGGAAACCAGGCTCACTAATCAGGAGGTACCACAGGCATAATACATAGGCTCCCTGTTTCATCCTAATGTTGGCCAAAAAAGATCCTCAGGATTTTCCAACCTGGATTCCTCTTGTCAGTAGAACAGAACAGAGAACCTGGCAAACAAAAAGCATCTAGTCGATCAGATGGGATAAAAAAAAAACCTCAAGGTCCATCCATCTACTTGTTGATGTTAATATAAAGGCAACTTTGACAAGTGGAATTCGATGAAGAGTTGGTGTAAATGCTATTTTCCAGGTAAACTTTCACTCATAACAAATTCCATATACATGTAGTGTTTTCATTAGATATTTTATTTCAGTTTAAATTAGATAGATTCCTTGTTGTCCAGTCAGAGCAGAAAAGTAGGATGTTAAACCCCATTTCATTCTTGTACAGGGGATAGGATACTTATGTCTGGCCCCTGGATCCATTCACTTAATTTGATATTTCTTTCTTGCAATGTCTGTGTGGCTTGTCGTATCCCCAGGTTTGTGTGTAGTGTGGTCCTCATGCACTTACTTATAATGGACATGACTTGGATTTGTCATCCATCCTATCTAAACGGCAAAGTAGACTCTTCTTGTCGGATCCAAGTTTGAAATACCCTTCAATGTCTACGTCTCCATGACAGAATTTTAAATACCTGCATTAAAGAACATTAACTAAAAGCCAAATGTGGTTTAACATCCATTCAACACAAATTAGATTATTTCAGGACTAACTTGATAATATTTCTTTCAATAATTCCAGTGTAATGGTCTTTAGCATGGTGAGAAAACAGGACTAGCAGAAAGCCCACAATGTTATGCAGACGACCCTATGCCTAGTCACGTACTAGCCTAGGATTGAACCACGCAAGTTGATTCAGTGACATACCTATTGACCTAAAGTGCAGTCTTACACCACTTACTGCACCCATCCCGGCTAACAATAAACTTTCCAAGATTGAATACTGTAGTTGATAAAGGGTTGCCATACAAACCAAATAAAAATCTTTAATTGTTTATATAATCTTTTCAAGTTTGCTGCTTTAGAATTTTTTTGGGGTGTATTTCCCGATTACCCCAACTGTATCACCGAGATCCATAATTAATTGTACTGTATCTTGGGTAGCCATCAGTGGAATGGATAAGAAAGAGAGAGAACGTCCACTCGACACAAACTAGGTCATTTCGTGACTAACACATGGTTCAATTTTATTTCAATAATTCGCTTGCGCCGTAGGGGTCTTTAGCAGTGAGAGGAAACCGGAGGACCCGGAGAAAACCCACGAGGGTGGAGAGGCGACTCTACTCCTTGTCACGTACAACCAGGGATTTGAAACCCTGCTAGTTGACTCAATGACAGACCTATGAAACAGTGCAGTGCGCACGTGCTAACCTTTTGGCCATCCAACCCCCCAGTGTAATGGGAGTAAGGTGTTATTTCATCTACTTTATATACCATTATTGTAAATCGTAATGCTTTTATTAAACTTTCACTATTTATTTATTTTATCCAATGATAATCATTAACATTTTTTATTATTCTAATACATTATATTATATATGTACTTCAATAATTAGTATTGGATGAAAATTTGTTAAATTATATAACTGGACCACAATTCAGAGGTCTATCTTCAAGCTGGTTAAGATGTTATTTCAGAACTGAGTATTCCTGCAGATGATATCAATGGGATATGGTCAAATCAAGTCAGTGCCACCTACAATAATCACTAATCTTCTACTGGACCTCTTTATTAATCTGATTGAATTCAAGCCAGGAGATTATCTACTGTTAGATGTTTTACTTTTTATAATAAAATATTAAATAATCAATCTGAGTACATTTTAGCGTGAATTAAGACGTGAAAAATTAGATATTGTCTCCCACCCCCCAAAAAAGGCAAATGACACTCAGTGGCTTTAATCCATTGAATGAAGTGGAACACTCTTTACATGCATTATATTATGTACATATAACATCTCTGGTTCACTTTCTCTTCCTATTGATAACTTTTTTCTTAATGTTCTTTATGTCTTTTCTACTTTTGTTTTTATCTTGATTTTTCTTGGGTACATTTTTATTGAAATCTGCTCCTGCTTTTTTGTTCAATTTCTGTTTTTTGAACATTTCTTCCTTGTCCATTGGTTTAATAATTGAACCAAGTTGCGTGACGACTTTCGGTTGAATCATTCTATGGAAAGCCTTCTCAGGGTTCCAGGTATTTCCGATTGGTTGACTTATACTCTGTTCAAATTGTTTAGTATTCAGGAATTGTCTTGGTAACTGTTTCACCTGTAAAGATTTTTAAAAAGTTAAAAATGATGGAACTTATTTTTTTTAATACTGCTGCTGAAATATGAAGCTGTTTGAACTATATACCACAAAAAAACCCCAAAACAACACCCCCACCTGGTTGCTTAAAATATGTACACAAACTTGTGACATTTGGCCAAAGGGGTTGGGAAAAATATGCTAGTTTAACTGTGAGCAAATGGATTGGTGGGTCCCAAGCAAATTTCAGTCCAGTTTTAAGACAAACTGTCCCAACTGGCTTATATGGCTGGATCAGAACTACGGTCTAGAGGGCATAGTGTCACACAATTTTTGCAGCCAGATTCCCCACTTCAAGTGCTACATACCCATCTGTAATTGGACAAACCAGCTTAAGTATCATCTGATTACTTGAATATAAATCAAATTAAATTACAACTGTTACCTGATGTTGTGCTACAGCGTCATCTTTCTTTTCATGTAAAATAACATTTGCCATTTTAGAATCTTTTCTCTTGACCCTATTCTTTTGTCTTATAGTAAACCTATAATATTATTTAAAATATGTTTCTACAGTATTTAATAGAGACACAAAATATTTCAATTTCCTTCCCATAACATTTCTTCGTTTGGCGTGGGATGAAAATAATATGAAAAATATCAATACTGTAATTAACATTATTAGACAATTAAATAAAATCTATTCTGTAATACTTGAGTAGCATTTTGCAGTAGAACACAATAAAAACACAAACATTTATATGGAATGCAATCATTGGTTTGTTATACATTTCAGCATGACTTTTCACCAAGTGCTCTCTGATCATTTTAAGGCACTATATGTCCCAAAAAAACAGTGACTGTATTCCATATAAATTGCCTTTGTGTTTTTAAAACTATTCTGATTATTTCCTGCTTACCTTTTCTTTTTCTTTTTACTGGGTTCTATATCAGCCCCACCCCACTCTCCCCAACCAGGTAGAACTAAATCTATATCCTTTGGCTTATCTTGATCCACTATCTCTCTCTTTTCTAGTTTAAACTCTTCAATAACATCATCATCAGCGAATGCTTGGGCTATAGTCATTCTCTGTTCTTCTTCCACATCTAACATGTTATCTCCATCCTCATTGGTCACGATTTCAGCCCCATCTGTAGATTTTATAACCTCTGGCCCAATAGTGAACAATTTCTTTGGGTCAATTGAAACCATCTTAATGTTGGGTGCCTGGGAAGATTCTTCGGAATTCTCCTGTTTCTTAACCTTTGCTGGAGTTTTATCTTCTTCTTCGGCCCAATTACTCTCATATTCCTCCATCGTACGTTTTCTAGTCATAGAGTGGGATAATTCTTCATCATTGTTTACTTCTAATTCACAGTTTTCTTCCTTGTTTGATTCAACACTTGATTTAGAATTTGCTTTCAATTTTGTTTCTTTTTTTGTTTTTTTGTTTTTTGCGTGTCGCTTCTCTACGTTCTCCAAAATATTAAATAAATCTTCCACATCTTTTTTGTCTTCGGAAACATCTGTCGTTTTTTCTTCACCACTCTTATGATTTTTTTTCTTCTTTTTTCTACCTTTTTTACCTGGTGTGACCAATTCTTCCTCTTTCAAGGATTTTGACAATTTTTTCTCAAGTTCATCATTTTCATCACCATCTACTTTATCTTCATCAAACTCCTGTTGTTCTTTTCCTGAGCTATCAATATTAGACATATCAAACACTTCGACATTTTGTGTTTTATTTTTCAATTTCAGTTTTTTTTGGCGTTGAGCTTCCAACTCCAGTAAATTCTTATCAGTATTCATATTGTCAGGGTGAAAGGTCAAAACTTCCTCTTCCTCAGAATCAGAAGCCTCAGTATTTTTTTTCACTTGTGTAATTTTCTTTGGTCTGACAAAATCGGATGATTTAGTTGGAGCTTTCATCCATGGGTTGTCCCCCTTTGCATCTAAAGCAGCAGACAACATCCTAAATTCAGCATCATCATCCATACTAACATCCCCATCTTCATCCTCATCACTAGATTCGTAGTGCTTTTTCGTCAATTCTTTATTTTTTTCAATCATATCTTGAACAGCTTGACGGGCCTGGAAAAAATGAAAATATTATCAAGCATATGCACTAAAAATAAAAATTACAAAACAAAGTTCTTTATGTACAGTGAAATCTGTACTCCCGATAGTCCTCTGGTTTACCATCAGGGCTGCCGACAACCAGTATCGCAGCGCAATTTGCGATACATATTTTGTCCGTTGCTAACCAAAAATTAAAATCTAACGTTTTTGATTCGCAGTTACTGCGAATCATTAATATGCCTGTCATTTGGGATATTGACACAAGAATAATCCACATTTTGAAGACTAGAAGGCTTACTCAACACTTTCAACGTGTATAAAATGTTGAATAAAATTTTATAAACAAAACTGAATTCCCCGTGTGACATTTTCTTCTCGAACTACCCAGACACAATACTATATAACACAGGGACATAACTCTATGAATAGGGACTATTAAACCAGAAATAGGGAATCAATTAGTACCACTCACGTTGCGAGACATCAAGAAATTATATCATATTCATTTTGAAAGAAATAAATCCAATGTATTCCCCACGTATTGTAAATAAAATATAAAAAAATAAATACATGTTAATGTATTGTAAAATGATAAATCAAAGTAAAAATTCACGTAAAATATTATTGTTTATATCGCGTGTGTCCAGTTAATCGAGGTGCGCCCGATTGAACAAAAATAGAAATACACGATAAAAAGCAGACGAAATTGTTTTCTAACGAAGATTTCTAACGTAACAAAAAAATAACAATTAAAATGAGTGGGGCTTCGGAAGTCACTGTCAAGAATTGGCTTCAGACATAAGACCTAACTAAATGTCTACATCACATTTACAAACTGTTACAAGAAGTACTTGTGGCAGTGCTAGGGTGGCCCATGTACTCACAGAAATACAGTCCACCGCTGATAGTTCGAGACTACCACTGAAGCGTGCACATTCGCCGTGCCGAGACCAACTTTCTGACAGTATGATACTATAAATAGCCATGGCACGTGCAATTCTCTACAAATCTATCAACTATTACAGCCGTAAAAAATTTATTGTTGACGATTTTGAATAGCAGTAAAATTAAGCTTCTTGGTTATTACAGCAGATTTAGAAATTACGTTCGTTTCATTTTTTAAATCGCTTTATCATTAACTGTACCGTTAAGAGCGGCATCTTTTGGTTTAGTACAAATAATATCTCTGAAACACTCAGGTTAGGCAAGAACATGATACTAGCAGTAGTTTCATTTTACTTTTACAAGCTTCTTAAAACGATTGTTGAGCTACCTAACGTGCATATTTCTAAATTCAATTTCTTGTTCTAGCTTTCTGTTATGTTTCGTAAAAACGTAGTCTTGATTATCCCGACCTGTCAATCAGACGTAGAATGGTCGATAGACTGGTTAAGCGAGACTAATTTCAAAACAAGGGCACGTAACCTATCTTTTACTCAAAAGTGTCTGGATGTCATGGACGACTCTTGGAACCAGTTTTCAGTCTAATATTTATACGTGATTAATGGCCATAGCTTATTAAGTACAACATGATCGTTTATTTAGTGACTATAATTGTGTGGAACTGATTTGAGGCTTGGCATATATATAAGTATTGTGGCGTAATTGTCGAGATATATGGAGATATTTATTTATGGTGGGTCACCCTAGCAGTGCTAAAAAATCTAAGAATAGTCAGAATGGAATCTAATCATATTTGTTATGAATTAAAGTAATATCTTGTTATTTAGGTGTTTAACGTTGAAACTAAAAAAACTGCTAATCAATTTTTAAATTTGCTAATCAAATTTGGCAAAATTGGACTTTTTGATTAGCAGTGCTGCTAATCAACTGTGAAAAATTACCATCAGCCCTGTTTACCATGTACATCGCAATGCATACTCTGATGGTCAAAGTTTCTATCATGTACACTGCAATGTATATACCAGTGGTCCTAAGTTTTAACATGTACACTGCAATGTGTATACCTATGGAACTGTGGTTTACTATGTAAACTGCAATATGATGATTAGTTTGCAAAAAAAAAGTCAGTTGTGTCAGAAATTCAATTAAATTTCAAAATTTCACAAGAAGATAAAAATGAAATGAAATGGAGTTCAACATCCTACTGTTCCGCAAGACGCTAAAAAGCTTTCTGCAAAAATTCCTCATGGCCCTCATAAACATCCAAACTATTTGATGAAGTCAGACCAATTTTGTCAGGTTTATCTGAAAACAGGTTTTAATATCCAAGATGCCTAAACTATCACTATCAGAGAGAATAAAAAAAAAATGACTTACCAACGGGTCGTATCTAGCGTACATCATTTTCTTTCGGGCAAATTTACTTCCACCTCTATGCTTCAAACTCATTCTTTCCTGAAAATATATTACAAGAATACAACTGTGGTAGTTAACAGAATGGAATGGAGTTAAATGTCTCATCAACACCAAACTTTTAAAGACAAACACATTTTAATTTGTATTTCTATGTTAATGTGTGCAACATTGGGTAGGAGATATTTGTCCAGTGGGTGTCATTTCTAACTACTCATCGTTGATTTCCATCTGTCAAGGGCTCTATTATGTACATGGCACTATGTGCAGAGCCAGTATTCCAACCTCGGTCATTCCCTATATGTTAATTAACAGAATAAAACTGATTAAATTGGTTACAGACGGTAATTAGATATTTCAGTGTTTCACATCAATCAACACTTTTCATGCAGACAATGGGACGGTTAAAACAATAAAAAAAAGAGAGACGAACTTCCGTGACCTTTAGAAAAGTTTAAAAATTAAACCAATTCGTACCTCTACTCTGGCTCTATCAGCATATTCTATTTTCTCTAAATATGATTCAGGATCGGTTTTCTGTAAAACATCCAATTCTTTTTCCTCCTTCTTCAGTTTTTCCTTCCGTAAAATTTTATGGAATCTGGTATATAAAATAATAATATTTTAAGGAATCTGGTATAAAAGATAATAATATTTCATGAAATCTGGTATATAAAATAATAATCTTTTAAGGAATCTTGTATAATCAATTAAATTTGAAAGTATGTCAGTAGTTGCTGGTGATACATTACATGGGTGCTTACATTCTTTGACAGAACCTATATGAGGCTGCTTGAATTGATGAAATTGCAATCATGTGACATGGTATTAACTCCTGTCACGGTTCTGCATATTGTGTGAGCAGAAATGGAACCTAATCAAATATTTGGCATCTTCAGCAGAAGGTATATAAACAGGTCATTGTCACCTACCATTATATTTTGTTTTTTTTAAGTAATATCAAATAATCAATTTGAGTACATTTTAGCGTGGATTAAGCTGTGAAAACATAAGATATTGTCACAAAATTGTACATTAAAGATTGGTGTCTTTAGGATCTGGTTTTTTTTTTAGCCAGATTGAGAAAAAATATTATTCATTGAAATTTTCAATCTTCATACCTTTTACTCTTTATTTTCTTTTGTCGTCTAAATTTAGCCTCACTGTAGGTCATCAGAGCTCTGTATTTATTTAATTCTGCTCTTCTTTCTTTTGCCTATAATACATTACAGATATTCTAAATCAATGAAAACTGAGATTTGATTGTTGTAAAGTTTTACACAAGAACTCAGACAAAATTATCCACTGCAGTGATCAAGGTATACAACTAATATAATAGGTTGATGTGTGTAGAAATTGTCACAAAGACATCTTGAATGGTTTATAGAAACAAACTTGGACGGATCCATTTTCAATATCTCCCCCTTAAAGTAGCTAAGTCCCTAACTCAATATCATCCAAAATCTTCAACATTGAAAACACGATTTATTTGTCAAATTAAATCAACATTCATGTTGTGATCTTACCGGAAAAAGATGGGCTTTTGATATCCAATATTTAAGACAAAATAAACATTTTACCATTGGTACACGAATCGTGTACCATAATGCGCTTCAGCCCCAGTTGTATCAAGAGACTCGAGGGACGAGGCTAGACACATTGCACCAAATCAAACGGCTTATGTAGACTGGAATAATCAGACGCTAGAAATTTGCACTCGCTTGAGACTGCTGGCTTATTTCGCCGAACATAACTGATTTGAAATTAGAGTAAAAACGGAAACCATTGAATGTAAATCAGTTTATATACATTCATATTACAGTATTATATGCGTTGCGACCCACTTTTGTCAATTTCTATGTCCCAAATGTTAGCGATTTAGCTCCTTTAAATAAATGATGTAGTAATCAGTGGGCTAGTGCTGGCACGGCAATGCGTACACCAGACTTTGGTTTTCCATTCCCTCCAAATGACTAGATACTGTTGCTTGCTAGTCCCTCCATCCTGCATCACTGACAAGGTGAAGCCACACTAAAGAATCCTGAAGATTTTTCTCAGCTAACTCTGGGATCGAAACAAGGATAATCTGGTTTGTAAACCAGTGCCATATACATTGAGCCACCGTGGCTCTAACCTTGTTGGTAATTCATGTTACATATCACAATACATGGGTCACGATACAATATGTCTTGTATGTGTGAAAACAAGCATAATAAAATGCTTAGGATTCAACACTATTCTCTGAGCTGATAATGTCCACAGTTATGGAAAACACCCCTTTAGCTGTCAGCCATGATTGAAGCGTACATGGATAGGCAATTAGAATCCTGTGTTATATTCCCTATTAGCTTTTCATACAGTTCTATTTTGTTGAAACGTATACACACATCACTATCATTTCTGGTAAATTATCATATTATAAAACCTAACAGTAAACATTGATGGCTTCACTCCATTTCATGCATAAAATACAAGATACAAGTATTGGTAGTAATAAAGTAAGCCTATACTATATCATATACACATGTAAACATCTGTCATGTCCGGTGCACTGGATAGCATTATTGGAAGAACGATTGATCAGAACAATTACATAAAAAACCACAAAATTTATAATCGCTTGATAATATGTAGCAATAAGCGATGCCAAAACGATAATATACTAATCCACTATGTTGATGCCCAAGTGTTCCACAATAAATCATAATACAAAAGGCTATATAACATTGTACATGTGTTGTTTTTTTACCTCTTCTAAGCTCATAGCTTTTAAAGCTCTTTCTTCAGCTGGTGTTAACATTTTTGTTTGTTTTTCTACATAATCACTACCGTGTAATAACATTGCTATTTCTCTCTCTAATGGTGTTCTTGCCTACAAATAATCATAATATTATTTTAATTACTGATCAAGTTAAAAAAAAAAGCAGTCTCAGACCGGCCTGTAGCCATCAGGGGGCAGACCATAGCTCTGAAATACCTACTGTAGACTGTGCCCCCCCCCCCCCCCTGTAAAAAAAAACTTCACGACCCCTCCACAGCAAGCAAGCTGGCTACAGGCCTGGTCTCAGAGGGGAGGTCTAAAAATTAGGAAAAGTTTGCACAGGACAAAGAGGCAGTAAATAAGGGTAGGGAAGTTTGTGAGACAAGAGTCAATTTTAGGATGCTGATTTCAAAGATCGATATAAAACTGACAAGTTTTCCTAAAAAAGCTCCCCCAGTTTGAACAAGGTTAGGGATTTGGAGAATAAGGTTAGTTATATCATAATAAGGAGAATGCATACTTTCATTCATAAGGTAGGGGTACAGTACAATATTAAGAGTCTATAATTATAGTCAGGACTTTTACACAGTGACTTTAGAGCATTTGTCAATGATATACAAGCCAACAGTGAGGCTGATGTCCCCCGCCGAAATAGGAAAATAATTAGAGGACACATATAAATTTATCACAAATTATCTTTTACAAAGTATTGAACAATCAAACAGTATATCTTTACTTATAGTCTAAGCATACAATGTTTTTGATGGAATAATTATAGCATATTAAGGGGAAAACATGCTCTATGCCTACAGATCTAGAGTTTGGTTGTATCAACGGGTCTATTTTCCATCTTGCTGCAAGTTGTGCAAAGTTCACTGTTTTCTTTCTGTCATTAAATTTTAATAGTTCCCTGCTTTCTTCGAAAGGCGGGGGACAATAAGCATGAACATTTACTCAATTCGAAGATCAACCAATCAAATTGTTTATCTCTGCTTACCATAAGCGGAACGGACAGACAGACAAACAGACAGACGGACGAACCCATTTTAATAGTTCCCTGCTTTCTTCGAAAGGCGGGGGACAATCAAAGTAGGAGAGTTATTGTTTTCCAAAGTCTCGACAATCAAAGTAGGAGAGTTATTGTTTTCCAAAGTCTCGACCAATCAAATTGCGTATCGCTCTGCTTACCCTGAGCAGAAAATGCTCATTATCAAACTTAGTCAAGGTATTACTGTAATGAAACTATACACCAAGTTTCATCAATCTCACTTAATTAGAACTAAAGTTATCGTGTCCCAAAGCATCAACCAATCAAATTGCTTATCTCTGCTTACCCTAAGCGGAAAATGCTCATCTTCGAACTCCATCAAGGCATTGACCTAATCAACACATACACCAAGTTTGAACATTCTAGCCCAATTAGGAAGAGAGTTATCGTGTCCCAAAGCATCAACCAATCAAATTGCTTATCTCTGCTTACCCTAAGCGGAAAATGCTCATCTTCGAACTCCATCAAGGCATTGACCTAATAAACACATACACCAAGTTTGAACATTCTAGCTCAATTAAGAAGAGAGTTATTGTGTCCCAAAAAGTGTGACGGACAGACAGACGGACAGACAGACAGACAGACGGACGAACCCATTTTAATAGTCCCCTGCTTTCTTCGAAAGGCGGGGGACAAAAATAAAATATGAAATTATGGGGAGCAATTTGCAGCTGATAGATCCTCAAAAATCTCCTTAATCCAGAGGCGTGTTGGCACTCAATTGATCAGCTCAATAAACAATGACTGATAGAATATAACTGTAAGAATACCTGAAAGCGTTTTGTCATCTCGTCTGATGTTTTTAGAGATAAGTTGGGTTGCTGCAAAGGGAACGTTAACTGTTCTGCTTTTCTGTTCTTCTGGACTAATGGCTGCCATTTTGATATTTCTTCAGTTTTAGCTTGGTATGCGATACTTCTCGTTAACTAGACATTTCATAAATTAATACATTAGAAAAAAAACAAAAAAACACAGCAGAATGGCAATAAAAATAAAGATTTTTTAAATAATAGACAGATATGGAGGGAAGAGAAACAGACTAATAAAGATGGGCATATGCCATACAGTGTTCAATGTCAATGAATGAAATTTTGCCCAGTGTTTCTGCCTACCTTTCATTGCATTTCAACTGCCAAATGTTCTTTTAGTACATGCCAACATGTATGCCTACACAGTACCTCAATTCTCCTTCCCTTCGAATAATTAGACACTGTTTATTGCAATGCTATCTGCCTGTATTACTGACAAGGGAGAAACCTTGCTGAAAACTCTGAAGAACTTTCCTGGACAACACTGGGATTGAAACGCGGGAGCTCTTGGTTAGTGAGACAGTATGTTATAATCCTTGAGTAACATTTAGCAATTAACCACAATAAACACAACAAACATAGAATACAATCACTGGTTTATTATACATGTAGCTCAACGATTTGACAAGTGTTCTCTTACCATTTTCAAGCACAAATTTTATTGTAAATTAAAACATAATATATATAGTAATGCAAACCAATAATTGTACGCCATATAAGTATGGAAGACCAAATGGGACAATATCCATGATTCTAGTTTCTACATTCCAGTTTGAACATTTTAGACACCAACGCAACATTCTAAACTAATGATTCTTGTTTCTACATTCTTATGTCAACATTTCATGCACAAAATCAACATTTTAAACAAAAAATTGACTTTATATTTCATTTTCGGCGTTTTATCGGTAACTTTTATATATCATTAAACATTAAAATTAAAAAATAATTTCTTAATTTTACACGACAAAGAAATCAATTCATTGGTTTCTAAAAGTATCTAAAAAAAAATCTGGAATTTGAACTCTTATGAAAATATTTTCTACGTTTCAAAAAGTCTTGAAGTTAAAATCTTGAAATGAAAATGTCCAGAAAAATATAATGAATTATCAACATTATTACACCAGAGGGCGTTAGCGTATGTGTACAACTTTGATACAGACTATAGATTAGAAATCAAAAGAATAGATTCCATTTAAAACACAGCATTATCATCCATTTTTGCCATATAAGAAAAACGTGTAGGTCTAATTTGTAAACATATGAAAAAGTAAACAAATAACAGCAAATATGTAAGAAAGGCCTTTGTCCTAATTTTTCTAGCTGTTTAAATTATAGAAGTTATTTGTATTGTTATTATATCTCGAGCTTAATTTCTGTTTCATGCAACTAATTACGGGTACTGTAAACACAGCAAAGGCCCACTTCCACTCGTTTAAAAGTCTACTTTTGATTTCTAATCTATAGTCTGTATCAAAGTTGTACACATACGCTAACGCCCTCTGGTGTAATAATGTTGATAATTCATGATATTTTTCTGGACATTTTCATTTCAAGATTTTAACTTCAAGACTTTTTGAAACGTAGAAAATATTTTCATAAGGGTTCAAATTCCAGATTTTTTTTTAGATACTTTCAGAAACCAATGAACTGATTTCTTTATCGTGTAAAATTAAAAAATTATTTTTTAATTTTAATATTTAATGATATATAAAAGTTACCGATAAAACGCCGAAAATGAAACATAAAGTCAATTATTTTCATAAGGGTTCAAATTCCAGATTTTTTTTTAGATACTTTCAGAAACCAATGAACTGATTTCTTTATCGTGTAAAATTAAGAAATTATTTTTTAATTTTAATATTTAATGATATATAAAAGTTACCGATAAAACGCTGAAAATGAAACATAAAGTCAATTATTTGTTTAAAATGTTGACATAAGAATGTAGAAACAAGAATCATTAGTTTAGAATGTTGCGTTCATGTCTAAAATGTTCAAACTGGAATGTAGAAACAAGAATCATGAATATTGTCCCATTTGGTCTTCCATATATAAATGATTGTTGTGTTTTTATTTCTATGTACCGGTTGTTGTTGAAACTACATTATTTAATTTATTTTACGTACCTGTTCTTGTTGAAGTTTAACTTAAGTGAGATTGAAACTACATTATTAAGTTATTTTACGTACCCGTTCTTGTTGGGGTTTAACTAAAGGTACATCTGCTACTTTTTCTTGTTCAATAGTTTTAATGTTTTTCTTCAGTTTACCAGCAGAAGTGGAAGAGTTTAAACTAGACACCAATTCACTTAAATTCACCTGGGACTCCTCTGAAAATATAAGAATTAAAAAGATTTAAAGCTGATTTTCTTTTTTGAGAGGAATAATTATTTTTTTATATACTAATTGATAGTAGGAACACAACACACACAAAAGGAAATCCATAAGACAAACCCACGAACATGGGTGAATGGAATGAGGTTTAATGTCTTACGGGTACTTCTAATTGCTAATGGAGACGAGCATATGCTATATATTGTGTCCAATAAACAAAGTTTTGTTTGGACTTTAGACTATTTTGTTTCTGCCTACACATTGTCAAATTCCAACTGAGAAGGCCCCTTTTACCCACATGCATATGAGACCGTTTTTCATCCAATCCAAGTGCCTAGACACTGTTCCTAACCAGTCCCTCCATCTTGAACCACTGACCAGGGGAAACCATGCAGGAAAAACCCAACTGAAGTTTGTTGTCCAACACAGGGATGGAACCTACAACCTGCTGGTTAGTTAGCTAACGTTTTACTCACTAAGCAACTGTGGCTCCCCTGCATGCAATAAACAACAATGAATAAATATTGGGGCCAGTCGTCCATTGAGGTCATTTCGGGATTAAAAGTGTTATGAATATATTAAATTCATTAATCTGCATATAACTTACTCTCATATAATTTACTGAATCCATACTCTGATACATCTGCAGAAGCGACAGTTCTTTGATGTGTTTTTTTGCTGTATAAAAAAAAAGATGGGTAATAAATTTCCTGGTTTCACTGGATTTATGTGCAGTACATATATATACATCTAGCAACAGCTTTTTTCAAGACATAATAACAATTACAAAACTATTAGCAATGCAGTGGTATCACTAATTATTGGTGAGATGAAAGACGGGGTATTGTCAATCTGTTTCACAGAGAATTACGAGTCTTCTCTAATATCTCTGTAAAAGACGACTGCCTTTAACACGTGCCGTCACAGCTGAATGGCGCGTGCATTGTTTACGTAAGACGTTACTGCTTAGGGCAGAATGCTGCCTTTTAGTCATATTTATACCCATTTACACTAAATAGGAAATAATTTTTACCTACAAATACGTCAAACGTCTTTATTTATTTTTCTAATGCATCAAAACAATGTTTTAGAATTTAATTTGTCCGTGGAAAAAAGTTAATATTTGAGACTCAATAAATCGCATTGATGTCATCCTTATCAGTGATTGTAGCAACATAGCGAATATTCACAGCTGATCAGTGTGGGGTATTGTATGCCATGCAGTGTGCTATGAAGGAAATTTGTCCTGGACAATGGTGTATCTGGCCACTTTTAGTTGAATTCCAATTGTCAAGGGCTTTACATGTACATACACATTTTTTCATCCCACATTGCTTTGTGCTAGGCACTCCGTCCTACACCACTGACAAGAGGAAAGATAGGTTGCCTGGCAACGAAACATACGCCCACAGCAGCTATATCGTCCGGGCAGTCAACAAGAGTTGCCGCATATTTTTACTTTTTTCGGTAATGGAACATTTATAATACATTAAAATCTGATTAAGAGTAACAACTCATTAAGTAATTATCAGAAAACCATTAGAATTTGTTTGGTTTTTATAAAGTCTTTCCCCATGCTAATGTTTAGTATACAAAACTTTTAACATCATGGATTTAGCTGTTCAAGTCATAAAGATTCATTGAAAATCAATATACTTGTTCGTCTCAAGAGTCAAGACCTTAAACACTGTGTATCAATTTAAAGTCAATCGGATATTAACTTTTGCCTCTAGAGCGTCCACAAGATTTTTCAAAGTGATCAAGGGTCATAACTCTGGCAGTAATTATCAGAAATCTCTGAAAATCAATAGGCTTCTTCATCTCACGACCTTAAACACTGTGTATAAATTTAAAGTCAATCGGATATTAACTTTAGCCTCTAGAGCGTCCACAAGATTTTTCAAAGTTATCAAGGGCCATAACTCTGTCAGTAATTATCGGAAATTGCTGAAAATCAATAGGCTTCTTCGTCTCATGACCTTAAACACTGTATATAAATTTAAAGTCAATCAGATATTAACTTTAGCCTCTAGAGCGTCCACAAGCAATTGTGGACGCCGGACGGACGGGGGCGACGACAATATACGACCGCATTTCAATGTGGGCGTATAAAAACGCTAAAAAATCCATAGGAATTTTCTTGGCCAACACCGAGACAGAAAATGAGATCTCCTGGTTAGTGAGCCAGTTGTTTACTTAATAAGCCCCTTGGCTCCCATTATCTAGTAGTAAATAGAGCAATGTTTGTGACTTGGTTTTAAGAAACAGAGGAATTTACCAAAAGCAAAGCAAGTTGGAGTCTTGATAATTAAATAGCTACGAGGACCATGGACAAGTTGTTTTTTAAATTTATAAACTTTAAAATGTAAAAAGAAAAACAATTACTTTTAAATTACTCCCCCAAACAAATATGAAGAAATTTTTGGGGTTCCAGAAAAACAATTACTTTTAAATTATCCTTTCCCCCAGGTAAATAAGAAGACATTTATGGGGTTCCAGAAGAACATAAGCCAACAGTGAGGCTGATGTCCACCAACTCTTCAAAGTTTTATCACTCTTGTCTTACACAACCAGAAAGTTATATTTCAAATTATAAAAAAAATCAAATATTGGTTATATCTGCTTACCCTTGGCAGAAAATGTTCATCATCAAACTCTGTCAAGGGATTCACATAATAAAAACCTACACCAAGTTTGACCTTTATATGATGTCGCAAAAAGTGTGACAAACAGATAAATCCATTTTAATAGTCCCATGATTTCCATGAAAGACTAAAGGCTGGGAACATAAAGTAAAACTGGTGTGGCCTATGTTACTAAATAATAAACTATTTGGAGTCAATCGCCATATTTATTTTTCATATTTGATTGAGAGAACTGTAAGATCAAATATGTGACTAGTAAGTTTGAGGTTGTCAAAATGGTTGACGATTTTCGAAATAAATGTATTAATCTTGTATTAATGAACTTACTGTTTTTGATCAGCTAGAGATGTTATAGATGATAGAAGACTTGCATGATGTTCATCATCAACATCTTCCTATATGACACAGTAAAATTATAAAAACATCAGCAAAATTATCAACATCAGTAAAAAAAAAACATTATCAACATCAGTAAAATATGAAAATATATAATGCATTACATGATTGAAAATTGTGTTATAAATATGAATGGAACAAGACACAATGTGTCAACACTTTACAGAGGTCATGCCGAGAGTAACATGATATCATTTCTCGTGTTACATACATGTATGCAATGTATTGGAAAATGTTTCTAAAGACACAAATACCACAGCTAATACACTACCAATTTGCACCAATTTGAATATTTGTCCCAGACACTTTCCTCCTGGGCCCCAGAGACACCACACCTGATTAGTAAGAACTAGTTTTGAACGATTCTGAAGGTTTATCTTGTTTTCAGACATTCTGTTTGCAAGTCAAGTATCTAAATCACACATACACTATTTTCCTAACCTCCGCCACTGCCACCCTAAATATGAATGGTCAGACGCCTATAAATTTGGCATTCTGGTATATATACTGAGCGCCATGGAAAACGCATCACTTTTTTTTCCCAAATATTTTATTACTAGGTGGTTTTGTATGTATAAAATTTTGTATGTCCGTGTGCAAAAAAAAAAAATTGCACGAGATGCACATGAAAAACCCAATATTCACATGCAGCATTGTGTGTGAGCCCTTTAAAAGCATGTTTTCAACTTAATGTGCAGTATATTAACTGTGAAATGTCAATCTGTCGTAATTTGTTGTTGGACGTGTGAAGGAATCGAGCTAGAGATGCCGAGACTTACTGAAAATCAACGGAATGAAGCCATGGGAATGTCCAGGGCTGGCATGTCTACACGTGCTATTGCCAGACACTTCAATTATCATCAGTCCACTATTGTAAGGTTGGTGGAATGTGTTCGAGTTACTGGATCAACACGTGACCGTCAACGTCCTGGTCCACAACGCGTTACAACCCAGGCTCAAGACTGCTACATCCGGGTCACTCATCTGCGTGACAGATTCCACCCAGCGACTCGAACAGGTGCAGCAGTCGTCAGAAGACAAGGACCAGTAAGTGCCAACACCGTAAGACGTCGTCTTAAGAGAAGTAGGACTCCATGCATGACGACCTTATGTTGGAGCTATACTCAGGGATCATCATTTGATATGGGCTCAAGGACACCAGATATGGAGAAGAGTAGACTGGCAAAGTGTGCTCTTCAGTAATGAGATTCGCTTTCATCTATATCACGCTGATGGCTGTCAACGTGTGTGGAGACATCTTGGGGAACGTCTTGCAGACTGCTGCGTCTTCAAAACGAATCGATGGGGTGGGGGAAGTGTAATGGTGTGGGGAGGCTTCACATTTCATCACCGGGCCGCCCTACACATTTGCAGGCGTCGCGTTAATGCTGTAGCCTACCGTGATGATGTCTTGCAACCAATTGTTGTTCTGATGTTTCGAGCGCACCCACAACTTCAGCACTTCCAACAGGATAATGCACGTCCGAATACCGCCCGTTTTAGTATGGACTACCTGGCTGCTAACAACATCAATGTCTTGGACTGGCCAGCCATGTCTCCGGACATGGCACCGATAGAACATGTCTGGGATGAGATTGGATGCACACCATTGCTGCTTTAGAAGCTGTTCTTGTCCAAGAATGGAACAATTTGCCCCAGGCCTTCTTTCAAACATTGGTAAATTCCATGCGACGTCTCTGCACAGCTTGCGTAAGAGCCGTGGAGGACACACGCGCTACTGACATCTGTGTCATACTTTTGGTTTTGACCCCCTCTAACTTTGTACCGTTGATTGCAGATTAAAATTCCATAAGTGTACAAATGTGTTGTTATTGATGTGTTCCCATTTGAATATTGTTCACAATAAGAAGCAAAATAAATAAGATATGTTTACAGAATCATTTTGTTATACGAAACACTAAGTGATGCGTTTTCCATGGTGCTCAGTATATTTGTACTTTGTATTTCAAATAAATCAACAAGCCTGGTGCAAATGTCAGGGTTTGATTTCAGAGACAAGCATGAACATTTATGTAGATCTCCAAGCATAGTAGGCCAACAAAATAACACAAACAAAGATTTAATTTTAATTAAATCAATAAATATATTAAATATTAAACAATTATACTTTAACTTACATCACTAGATTCATCATCCATAAGATTTGGTTGAATTTCATCATCATCCTCATCTTCCTCTACAGTTGTCACCTATAATGTATAAATAAAATACATTTCAGAAAGGGAAAAAATTGTTTTGGAGTGTAATGGAGCATAGCTGCAAGAGCATTGTTAGAAATGTTTCATAAAAGATGGGGCCTGATACCGGTACATGTACCTTGTATATAAATAATAATAAATAAATAATTTATTCAGTAATTAGGTAATGTCGATATACAATCGATATGAGAACGCTTTGTCTAACTACCTCTCTATTATTACTGGAGCACAAATTTGAAAAATTTTGCCTATTATTAAGGGTGTGAAATTTCATTGGAAGATATATACATCTTAGATCATTTAAATATTTACTCAAGTAAAAAATGATAAAAATCCTCTATTTCATGTCCACATAAGAGATATACAGGGCTGGCTATCTGCTTTCATTTGTATTGATTGCAGTATTTTACAGATACATGTATGTTTGTTTTGAGCTACAGTATCTAGAGCCCCTTTGTTTCACGTTACAAAATCATTATGTTTCTTAATGCCGGTAATGTTCTTGAAAATAAGAAATTTCTATACATTCTGACAAATTAAACATACCCAGCCCAATGTAGATCTATACATATACAGGTCAAAATAATTCAAGCTGAAATTGACAGTTCATTCATGGTTCCAATGCATTACGCATATCACATAAAGCATACTAAACTTACAATGTCTACAATAAACTCTGCTTGAGAACAGACACAGAGCTAATTGATTGACATTTTAAATCCTACATCAACGATTTTCAGTCAAAATTACTACATGTAAGAACAGGGTTCTTAATCCATTTTGAAACGAACCACCAGAATTGGGTCAAATGAGATCCCGGTAGGAACTGGATTATAAAATTTTAAGCTTCCATTCCCTTTAATATAACCAGAATTCAACAAAAAATAATTCTTGGTAATATACTCAGCCAAATTAAAAACTTGACACTCGGGATTTTTGGGACTAGATTTTTAATATTTGGTTTGTTTAAGGCAACTATTTTAGTGTTATGTTGTGCACAGACGACCTTGACATCAACAGAAAGCAAGAATACGTCTTGCCGAAAGTCCTTGACATTGATAACGTTTGTGATGTCACAGTACCCCCCAAAATAAAATTCACAGACTTGGAGAACAATCGGAATAAAGTGTTTAGTAACGGTTGTGGTCTCCTCTAGCATCTCGTACTGCCACACAACATCTTCTCATGGATCACAGAACATTAGTAATCACTACCCGAGGAAGACGTCGCCACTGCTCAGCAAGAGCATGTTGAAGATCCTGCAACATCAGTGGTGGATTCACTTGCTGACGAACACGTCGACCCAGTTCGTCCCAGATGTGTTCAATAGGATTAAGGTCGGACACCGGCATTTCTTAAAAAATTCTGGGTAGCAATTGCTGTATGGGGTCGAGCATTGTCTTGTTGAAACATTCGTCCAGGCCCATGTCTCTGCATAACCGGAAGAACAGGTTGCAAAATCTGATCCCTGTACTGGACAGCATTTAAGTTCCCTTGGACAACAACAAGAGGAGACGTCCATGTGCACAAAAAGAATCCCAAACCATGACGCTGCCGCCACCAAATCGGTCAACTTCTCTGACGCATACTTGAGCGTAACGTTCACCTCGTCTGCGGTACACTCCGACCCTGCCATCGGCAAATCTCAAAGTGAATCGAGATTCGTCACTAAAGACAACCGAATTCCACTGTCTTACTACTTACTACCATTAGAAACACTTTAAAATTTATTTGACTTACAGAAAAAAAAATTTGTTGAAATTCATCAGTGTCAAGTTTTTAGCACAAAAATAATGACAAATAGGTACACTGTTTGGAAAATTTTCCATATTTAATTCACGTACCGGCTTGAAATTCATGTCAGTAATATTCATTCCTGAATAAATTACTGTATTCGTTTGTTTTTTTTTCGATGGATATAAGCTGATACGGCAGCGTGGTATTTCTTCAGAACACAATTTGTAGGTTTTTTCTGTAAAGTAACTTGCAAATGTTTTTATTCATTTGTCAATGACAGACACACGGCACAGTAATCACATGACAACCATAATTGAAATGGCTTTAAAATTAAACTCCATACAACTGTGCCATATAGCTTTCAATGATAATAACAATATTTTTAAAAAATAAGCCTCTGTCAGCATGTGTATAAAATAAAAAATCATAACGGTAAACGCTATTTAAAACTAAAACTAGCATCGCTGGTTTACTGACCTAATTCCAACCGATATCATGTGTCATCTGGAATTCGGCATTAGAGATTCATAATATATTATTAATGACTGTTTTTCGGTGTATTCGGTGTTCTATTCGAGGATTATATTCAACTAAGATTTAAATTTAACTAGAAACTGGTCAGTGAAACCATTAAATTATGATCCAATTATTATTTTAATATCAACCGGTATTCATACAAAGCGCCGAAGACGCACGATAGATGCACAATCCATGCTGAGATCGTCTTCCTTCGATTGCTGCGTGGCAGTTATAAATAATCAGCAAGCTTGTTCTGTGTTTTACCAGCCGATTATCAAAATTACGGTTACTTATGCTAATTACTTGGTTTATATGAACTACATGGACGATTTTCACTAAGGTATGACTGTTATTGCAGCCGACAAGCAAGTTGATTGACTAATTAATTAACAAGTAATAATTAACCGGTTGTAATTTAGTTGGAAGTAGATTGATTTATGATACCATAGTGGACGGTTCATTGTTCTACCAATCGGCCTGATTGAACTTCAAGTGGCTAAAGCCGACAAAAAACAGCCGATTAAGATCCCTGTGTAAGAATATTTTGAGAATTTATTCTGCTCCATTTTCATATTCAATAAATCTAAAATTGCTTGGTAAAAGTATGTTTTTTCTCACAGATTTCATTCGGAATCAGACACATTGCAGAATGAAGACCCCATTGCTTTAAATTAAATTTGAAAAACAATCTATTACAAACTGTAGGTTTTCAGAAAAGGGGATATAACTCCAGGACTGGAAAGTGATGCACACCAAAATGAGATTTTAATAGAGAGATGGCCATTCTTGCTATAACAGTTCAAAAATAGATGATAAAAGAAGAATACATGTATATTGAAAATTTCAGTCAAATTACTTTATTCTGAACAAAGTTATCACCGTTGTAATTTTTGACTAGAAATAGGAGTCAAATCCCTCTTCACCGTCTACGAGAATGCAGGCCGTTTGATTGGCAGGCGTTAACTCCACCTACATAATCTTGATTATCAAATAACGTTTTCAATTCGTATCACATTTATTTTTACTACAAATTAAAAATAAGACTTTTATTATATAGATAAGAAGCAAAAGTTTTAAAGGAATAGACCACATCAATCTTGTTAGCCTGCGCGTATTCCCGAAGCAGACAAATTGAAATAGGAAACATTGTATTGATCCAATGGGGCTGCATGGGCTGCAATTCAACTGGGGTGATGTTAGCTGCGATGTTTATCAATTTCTATAATTTTTCTGTAAACGCAAATGACAAAAGAGCGTAGGCCTATAATACCGACATCCAAACTCTCATTTTAACCACAAGTAAACATAATATGAAGGCCGTATTATCGAACTTTCAATCAAATTGACCTACATATGCGGCCTCGCTTCGTACACTCTATCATTCAGCCTCGATCTAAAATTTCCCGGAGTATGACGTCAACGTAACGGTTAATCTCAGCTTACGACGCCATTTAAAAATTTAATCAATCAATGAAATCCTGTTTAACTCCAAGCGAATCCAAGCCATCTGTGGGTCTACAGAGTTGATTTTGTGCCTGTTTTGTAAATAAAGATCTAATTTATAATTTCTATGACATCTGAAGCCTAAATAAAGACTTGCAATAATCAGATTTAGCTCTTGCATAATGTATGTTTAATGTTAGGTTTCATCTGAGAGTGAGAGGACAAAAATTGTGTCCTCTGGAGAGTCTTAAATATTTCACATTTTGCATTTTGTGTAAAAGGCAGGGGTGATAACTCTGGAAATGGATTCAGGGGGTCCAATTCCATACAAAAATCTTTAGTAAGCTTAGTTATTCCAATCTTCCCTTAGTTCGATGGTGGTTGCACATGTAAATCAGTCAGGCCATTATTTTGATTGTTCCTTGGTAGATATATTAGACTGATATTACCAAATTTACTGAATCATGGCCAAAACATTCACAAGGTCATGCTGGTTAATATGACACAACATATGTGGAGGTGGAAATGAAATGAAATGAAGTTTAACGTCTTACTATTCTGCTCCTATACTGGCCTAATGAAGACGGGCATATGCCATACAGTATGCTATGAGGGAAATTTTGCCTGTGCAGCGGCACTATCGTCTAGTCTTATATCGAATTCCAACAGCCAGGGGATCTTTTACATGCATTCCAATATATACACAGGACCTTGGTTTTTCGTATAATCTTAAGGACTAGACAGCTGTCCTTGTTAGGCCCTCCGTTCTGCACCACTGACAAGGGGAAACCACGTCGGAAAATCCTGATGAACTTTCTCGGCCAATGCAGGGATCGAACACCCGACCTCCAGGCTAGCGAAACAGCGTCTTAACCACCTAGCCACCGTGGCTCCCATGTGGGGTTGGAACACCCTGACGAAGTGTGATGGGCGAACATACATACATGTACACATGTTAATGATCATGTTTGTTCCTCTGTATAATCAAGGTCCGTCAAACGTTCACTCATTGAGTCATTGCTTGTGTTTGATACTCATTGATAGTCACCCTGAAAACTTTTAATATCTGCGACAATGATTGAATGCGATATATTTCGGAAGTGGGACCCTATTTCTAAATCAAACTAGTCGAGATGCATCAAAATTAGCTGCTTATTGCAGTTGTAGGAAGATGCGGACCAGGAGTGCAACGTCTACAAGGAGATCTCGGACTGTTTTTAATTTTGTGGGCCTGACTAGCGTAGCCAATTTTACGCATGATGATTAAGGGGACGAAATCTGGAATTAGTTCAAACAACGATTTAATTTTAAAATGAAAATCATATTTACAACACATGCAATATTTCTGAGCGTGTGTTCTCACCAATAAGGATTCCATGTTCTTAACCAAAAGAACACAACGTCAAATCTTATCTTTACTGTCCTCGTGGTTCTTGTTTATACAGATCTATCACTGGTTGTCGTAAAATAGTCGAGTTTTTCATTTTAGATGATATTTGAACACTGATCGAAGACATAACTACAGGTATGAATATGTAGTTACAAATTTTTTAAATGAACTCGAATTACGGCGTTGTAAAAGCATTCTCTATTCAGCTAGTTTTAGTTCATTGTCGTAGTTCTAAATTACTTTAATTTAAGGCGTAAGATTTTGATCGGATCGGATTTGGACTTCGAATGGCTTGTGTCACAGCTGACTTATTCCAGATATTAAACATAACCTAATTTTTTCTAAATCCTTTATTGAAGTGCTCATTCATATATATTCAATTTAATCGTACAAAAATACAATATCTACAAAAATTCATACATTTTTTTAAAAATTAAAATTCTCAGAGACAGGACAAATATAGACTCTGATACATAAAAATAGCCTACATATATTTGCACAAACGTTGCTTGTAAAAAGCACATTTTAATAGTAATTAAGTAAACATGTCAATTTCGTAATCCCTTAAAAAAAAATAATGCTGTTTTATAAATTAGAGAACCATCTCGAATCGCAAAGATTTCGTTGCTCTGAAACATTTGATTGAAAACTAGAAATTAATGCAGCTAGAAACCATGTACAAAAATCTAAGATTTATGTAATAAATATATAAAAATAATGTAAATAACAACAAATGTTTTTGAAGAAAAGTTAAAGAAATTGGATATAATAGTTCCAAAACAATTGTTTATCTGCTCAATCAGATCTTAAAAACAACCCCAATGTGTATAACAATGTCAAAAATTCTAAGGGAAATAAAATAACCAGTTAATGTAAAATGCCTTTTAAAGCCCATCTTCTATGAGTCATGCAATTTCAACTTGTTACCGCGTATCAAATGACTGCAATTAATAGATTATATATAAACCTATCCTTATGCTTATCTTCATTTAATTTCACCTATTTTCGAAGCTGTTTACAATTTTGTTGTATAATCTCATATTCTCTGCTAGTCACATAGTTCAGGGAGGAAGTTTATCTGACTAAGTCCCAACCATTTGTTTGATAACGATACCTGTATGAGTATTGAAACGTAGCATGATAATAAAGTTCAGAAGTAGTACATCCACATAAGTGTTCTAATTTCCAGTGAAATCTATTTCTATATGTCTTTTATAAGAATTATACCTCTTAAGAATATAAAAACCATTACAAAAAAATAATTTAAAAAAAAGAAAATGAATTCAAGTAATAAAAACATTAATTAAAAATGTACAGAACAATTAATATTAGTAAATAATTAGCCATGGAAAAACAATAGTCAACTAAAAATTGGACAAATCATGAAAATCTTTATTATAACAACCGGTATTCACAGACAGTGACGGTATTCACAGAGTCACTGTCTGACGGATAACTTGACCACAGATCATCATTGATATCCCCCATGATAACTGGTTATTCTCATATCTTTGACCTTTGTTGGGATGAATGCTGGAGCAGCATGTTGTAATGTCATGCTAAAAAATTTAAAGCATGTATGAGGTTCATCATGGAAATCTTGAGATATACACTGGAAGTAGTTAATATGGAAATATCCACCCTAAATTTCAATGCAACCAACCTCTAAACTCTGTTATCCTCCTGCCTAAAAATCATCAATATTCATGAAAACACTGCAATAAAAATAAATTCAAACTATTTTCTTTGCTTCTACACCAAAAAGAGAACAAAAACGCCACGCAAAGAGTGGAAAAACAGTAAGTGAGAGAAAGAACTATATTTGTGGGTAGAGTAATTAATGGTGATCTGTGCCCATTTAGGTCAAAGGCTGTAAAAGACTAACTCTAGAAGAAAATAAAACTTTGTCTGCAATATCACCCTAGGTGGAAGCAGACATTAACCACCACAAATGAACAAAAATAAAACAAAAACAAAATAAACAACGAAACATAGGCCCAGAGCAGCTAAGGCGTGAGAGCAGTCAACAATGAGTGTCGCATCTTTTGTCAGTAATGAAAACATTTACAACACACTAAAATCTGATTAAGAGTAACAACCCATTAAGTAATTATCAGAAATTATTAGAATTTGTTTGGCTTCTAGTTCTACCCCATGCAAATGTTTAGTATACAAAACATTTAATATCATGAATTTATCTTTTCAATAGATTTTGTCGTCTCATCACCTTCAACACTGTGTATAAATTTAAAGTCAATCGGATGGTAACTTTGGTCTTGAGAGCATCCGAAACATTTTTCAAAGTCATCAAGGGACATACCTCAGAAATTGTTAAAAGAATCAATAAGGTTCGTCGTCTCAGGACTATAAACACAATGTATAAATTTAAAGTCAATCAGATATCGACTAGCCTCTAGAGAGTCCACAAGATATTTCAAAGTGATCAAGGACCATAATTCTGGCAGTAATTATCGGAAATCGCTGAAAATCAATAGGCTTCTTCATCTCATGACTGCAAACACTATGTGTAATGGTCAAGTCAACGGATATTAACTCAGTGATGACAATATGTGACCACATTTCAATATGGGCATATAAAAACAAGAACAGACTAAAACAAGCGGTTACCAAGCAAGATAAGCCCATATTTTGCAAGAGATGAACAGAGAACAAGCTAAAATAAGAAAAAAATGATTTTTTGTACAATCAGGGGCCATGATCCAGAAAGGTAAGGTCTGAAATATGTGAATATCTAAAGGAACCAAGATCTTTGGGATATAAACATATACTTTAATTTTCGTTAAAATCAGATAAAAATTGTGACCTTTTACAGTATTTGTGTACAAGGAGCGTCAATTTTGCATTTTGCCAGGCAGATTCGTTCCGATTTTTCAAAATTCGAACTCAAACATCATTATGGTGTAACGGTGATATATTTAAACGTTTTTTTAAAAACAGATAAAAATTGTGAGCTTGAGAGGGTTCACAAGCCTAAAAACGTGATTTTTCATACAATCAGGGGCAATAATCCAGGAAGTTACGATCTGATTTGCACAAATATCGAAAGGAACCAAGATCTTTTGGAGATAAACATATATTTCAAGTTTCCTCAAAATCAGATAAAAATTGTAAAGTGTCCACAAACAAATTGTGAACGGATGGATGGACATGAGCGACAACAATATAGAACCACATGAAAATGTGGGTGTATATTAAGAAATTGGATTAAAGAACTGATATAACAAAAAATTAATTACAAATGTAAAGAAAAATTAATATCAATTAGCCATTATAAAAATATCAATTATTTTAACTGGACATCAACACAAAACTGAAAAATCATCATCATTGTTCTTTCCAGGGACATTGACAGATAAGTTAGATCTTAAAAGAAAAATATCAAACAACTTATAAAATGAAATTAAAATTTATGAAAGTACTGGTAATCTCTATCTAATTAATCAAAATGTTCTCTATACAGTATAATTATTTCTTGTTGTCCTCAATTAACCATAACACATTTAATATTATGGTAAAAAAGACATAAAAATTGATCCATAAATTGGGATAATGCTATCTTTGAAAAAAACAAATGCCTTCCCAATCTTCCAAAATTTGTAAGAATTCAACTTCCAAAATTTTGATAAGAGATTCTTGGATTGAATAGAGATTTTTCTACCGATCTGCAATCATAAAAATAATATTTTAATAAACTTGAATAAATGTACAACTAAATAATATATATTACACAAAAAGTAACAATTGCCAAAAAGCACTTATGGTATATGTGTTAACAAAAACAAAATGGAAATAGAAATAAAAAAAGACTTCGCAAAAATAGTAAATTTCGCCCAGATGAAATGTTTTTCGCTATAATGGATTCTAACAATTCTTTTTTTCTTTAAGTTTCTTGAATAGAAACCAGGTCAACAATACACATAAATCTAGTAGATATTATAATTATTGTATAGGTGATGTGTTGTATAAAAACTATCAAAGTTGTTTCGAGGACTAGTTTAAATTATTTTTATATGATCAATCAATACATGATCATGTTATCTCAAATTATGACTAATATTAAATTAAAACTAATACTTTTGATTTAATCTCATTCTAATTCTCCGATATAAAACAATTTAAACAATATAAAAGTATTAATGAAAGATATGCTAGACATATTATGAATGGATGATTAATTAAATTATCCCTTTAGTACACCCCTTTAGATGTATTATGAATGGATATTATTGGTATAAATGTTAACAATTTATTCATTCATTAAAACAAAATAAATATAGTCTAGCTCTCATATTCCAGAAAAAAGAAAATTCAGTTTAAAATCCACAAATTGTTTGACTGGTTAACAATTGAGAGTCCAGCTCTAGTGATATCAAATAAACATAATCTTGTTAGTACAAGGGAAAAATTAAATATTACGTAAAATTTTAAACGCAAATGATAATATTTCATATAGAAACTTGAAACAAAATATCAAAAATCTGAAGACAAAATGAGAATACCCATAATCAAGTACAAATGTTATGTAAATGTATAAATATATATATTAGATATTATGGCATAAAAGCAAGCTCAAAAATAAATTGAGAACACCATTAAATATATGTTGCCAGGCAACGAAACATACGCCCACAGCAGCTAAGTCACCAGGCAGTCAACCAGGGTTGTCGCAAATTTTTTCTCTGTTAGTAATGAAACATTTACAATACCAGTACACTAAAATGAGATTTTTCAAAGTGATCAAGGGCTATAACTCTGGCAGTAATTATTGGTAAACGTTGAATATCAGTAAGTTTCTTTGTCTCATAATTACTGTGTATAAATTTAAAGTCAATCTGATATTAATCTTAGCCTCTAGAGCATCCACAAGATTTTAAAAAGTAATCAGGTGCCATAAATCTGGCAGTAATTATAGGAAATCCTTGAAAATCAATAGGCTTCTTTGTCTCATGACCTTAAACACTGTGAATAAATCAGATATTAACTTTTAACATCTGGAGCGTCCACAAAATATTTCAAAGTGATCATAATACATAACTCTGGCAGTAATAATCAGAAATCATTGAAAATCAATAGATTCTTCGTCTCATGACCATAAACACTGTATAAATTTAAAGTCAACCGGATATTAACTTCAGCCTCCAGAGCGTCCACAAGATTTTTCAAAGTCATCAAGGGCCATAACTCTGGCAGTAATTATCGGAAATTATTGAAAATCAATAGGATCCTTCATCTCATGACCTTAAACACTGTGTACAAATTTAAAGTCAATTGGATATTAACTTCAGGCTCCAGAGCGTCCACAAAATTTTTCAAAGTGATCATGGGCCATAACTCTGGCAGTAATTATCGGATTGTTGAAAATCAACAGGCTTCTTCTCATGACCGTAAAGTAATCAAGGGTCATAACTCTAGAGGTAATTATCGAAAATCGTTGAAAATCAGTAAGCAGCTTCAGACCAACCAGCGGACAGATGGGGGTGACGACAAAATACGACCACATTTCAATTTCAATGTGGCCGTATAAAAATAAACAAATAAAATCATGACATATTTAACTGTACACGTAGGATTGGGTGTTTTTCTGATATTATCATTAGCTCGATGGCTGTCCCTATCAATAATCACTTAGAATCAATCCAACTGACAATCAATTTTATGAATAAACCAGGCACTACATATTTTAGAGCCCTTGAAATCGAGATTAAAAAAAAAATAAAATTACTTCACAAATTGGGGCTCCTAAATATTAGATGCAAAAGAATACAATTTTCCATTCTCGGTTACCCAGTGTACTCACGTGGACATAAAATTCTGGGAACGAACGAACGATTCTAAATAAAACTAAGGCCACACAAAATAAATGTCTTGTTTCTCGGGCAACTGACAGCTGAAACTGTAGGGAGGGAGGGCGGTTTCTTTTTTTTTTTTACTCATTGATGGTGCAAAATAAAATTTGGCTATTGCTGAAAATTGTTGGGGCGGGAGGGCGGTCTTTCTTTTTTTTTTTTTTTTTAAATGAGAAAGTCATTACTTGTTTACGTTTTTGCTTTCCGTTATATTCAACTTTATTGTACATACTTAAAACATAAACCCAAAATCAAGTCTACTAAAACACTGACTGAAAGGAAAATAATTTTCCATATTTAATTCACATAATTGAAATTGGTTTAAAATAAAATTCCATACGACTATGTAATAGCCCTCCATAAAGACAACAATATTTTTAAAAACTAAGCCTCTTTCACCAGGTGTATCAAAAATAATAATCATGGTAAACAGTATTTAAAACTAAATCTAGTATCGCCGGTTTATTTATAATTATTTACCGAATTCCAACCAATGCATGTCACACCGTGTCAACTTTATTGTACATACTTAAAACATATCAAGTCTACTAAAACACTGAGACTGAACACTGACTGAAAGGAAAATAATTTTCCATATTTAATTCACATAATTGAAATTGGTTTAAAATAAAATTCCATACGACTATGTAATAGCCCTCCATAAAGACAACAATATTTTTAAAAACTAAGCCTCTTTCACCAGGTGTATCAAAAATAATAATCATGGTAAACAGTATTTAAAACTAAATCTAGTATCGCCGGTTTATTTATAATTATTTACCGAATTCCAACCAATGATTGTCACACCGTGTCATCGGTATTGGAGATTGCCGGAAATACTGTTTCTTGGGATATTCGGTGTGTTTCTCAGGATATTCGGTGTTCTATCCGGTGTTTATATTGAATGACTATTTAAATCTAACTAACAACTGGTCAGTAAAACCATCAAATCGGTAATCCAATTATTATTTTCCGGATTATCGAAACTACCGTAAATGTGCTAATAATGACCCAGATTCTAAGGTATGCATTATGACGACTATCGTCATCGTATCGTATTCTTAGCTATAATTAATTAACCTGTTCTACGGTTCATTATTTTATCAAAAGGACCGACTGAAGCCGGCAATAATGAGCCGATTACGATCGAATGATTGAAATATTGTCGCCAATGACTTTTAACACGAATCAAATTCTAGTTTATCAGGGGAGGTAATTAATATCACGTGATACAAAATGGAGGTTCTTTCGATATCAATAAAAAAGGCAAATCTGCCAAACTTCGCCATTGTTCGGATAAAAAAGACAGCATGTTCATCTGAATCAGTTTTAATACATTTGAATAGATATACATGTATGGCGGATGTAGGTACATGCGGGATATTTTTTTTACGACTTGCTTGTCGATGTGCGGGCGGGCGTTACATATTTATTTTTTTTCATCAAGACTAATAAATAGACTGCACGCGCAACCAATTTTGCGTGCGGGCGGTGCCCGAGAAACAAGTTATTTTATTTGTGTTGCCTAATGACCCTACATTATTATATGAACATCTAGTATTCATTAACATAATATATAATTGGTTGTTAATAATTACGCATTTAGAATAGGCTAACTCCTAACATTGTCCGATGAGAGTTACTTACCTTTGCCAACTTCCTTTTCAAATAACAATTTATGGGATTGGTCGATAAAAATAGCACAATCATCAAGGGCGGATAATTTGAAAATGTGTCTCCCCCATAGATTAACCCAGGGTATAGTGGAGTAGAACGGAATGAGTACACTGGGTAACCGAGGATGACAATTTTCATTTGGCTTTTAAAACCATGACTAGTATATAATACAATTCAACAAAATAACAAAAAAAATCAATAAAACTGATTTAAAGAATAAAACTATCAACATCTTCAGTTCCGATGTCTCATCGTTTTTTTTTTTACTCATCATCTTCTGCTTCCAGGAAAATTGATGGTTCTGCCTCAGTTGATGGTTCTGCCTCAGTTGATGGTTCCACCTCAATTGATGGTTCTGCCTCAATTAATGGTTCTGCCCCAATTGATGGTTCAGCCTCAACGGGTGATTGCACCGTTTCAGCTGTGACCTTTGATTTTATAGGAGATACTGGTTTATCCAATGGAACCAAACGATCCAACTGTTCTCTGAAATAAAATATTTATTTAGCAATAGAATGTTGAATATATATTTCTAAATGGTTTATTATCAACAAAAAGTGTGAAACAAATTAATCATGTCATTCATTATATACTATTCAAAAAAAGTAGGGGATATTTGATTTTTAAGTGTTATTAAAGTCACCTAATGAAACTGACGAAGAAACAAATGACAAAATGAAATGAAGTTCACATTCATCGATTTATTCCAAATGATCGTTAGACTAAGTAAGGCACAGACTGACCATTATAAGGGTAAAATGATACCCGGGGTCAAACAGCAAAGTTACCACAGCATCAGAACCAAGTCAGTAACGGGTAAATCCTCCTCTGTTTGCCAAACAAGCATTGATCCGACATGGCATACTCCTAATGAGACGTCTAAGGTCATTTTGGTCCAGATTGTCCCATTCCTGTTGCAACGCAGCAGCAAGTTCTTGGACATTGGCAGGACGTTGTTGACGTTGATGTAACCTCTGTCCAAGCATGTCCCAGACATGCTCGATGGGGGAGAGGTCGGGACTCAGTGCTGGCCAAGGTAATGTGGTGATGTTCTGTTGTTGGAGGTAACCTGTAACGATCCTGGCCCTGTGACGTCGTGCGAACGGCACAACATGGACTGCCAAGATGTTGTCCCGGTAGTACTGGCCTGTAACACGCCCTGCAACAACATGTAAAGCCGTTCTTCCAGCAACAGTGATGCCTCCCCACACCATAACAGAACCACCCCCAAATCGATCATGTCTGATGACGTTAACGTCTTGGAAGCGCTCGTTTCGACGACGCCACACCCTCCTACGTCTGTCCAAAAAATCAACAGTGAACCTTGACTCATCTGAAAACATCACATTGCTCCAGCGTCGATTATCCCAGTGTTGACGATCCCTACACCAACGACGTCTTGCCTGAATGTGATGATCTCTCAAATAAGGGATCACGCGAGGACGTCGGGCGCGAAGGTGACCCCTATGCAGTCGATTCCGAATCGTCTGGCCACTCACTCTCACACCAGTGTCTGTTTGAAGACGAGCGCTGATCTGATTTGCTGTGATGACACGATTTCTCAAGGCCAAGGTACGGATAAATCGATCCTGGGCTTGAGTTGTCGCCCTTGGTCGACCTGAGCGTGGTCTGTCCTGTACAAATTGTGTATCACGGTATCTGGACCATAGCCTGCTTATGACAGACTGAGAAACATTCATCGTCCGCGCCACAACCGCCTGTGTTGTGCCGATCTGTAGCATGCCAAGGGCACGTAACCTTTCATTTTGGGTAAGCCGACGCATATCAAAATTTGTTTTCTGGTCACTAAAACAACTAAACTGATGTTTCCACCCTGGAATTCAATGCCACAATGACTGTAACATTCAAAGTCAGAGTCGTGCAATCTTGGGTTGGACCCCCATGATGATCCCAAGCATCACCTGCATTCCATGCGGTAGCTATTGGTGCGTTTGGGTGTCACATGTAACTGGAAATGTTTCTTCTGTTAGGTTCTATAGTGACTTTTTTCGTAGTCATTTGCATATTTTAGTATTATGCCCCCAAAATCAAATATCCCCTACTTTTTTTGAATAGTATATTATATTACTGCTGGTAATAAGGAACAAGTTCCTATGAATGCATAAAAATGCAGTTTTCAATTGTTATGTGTGTGTGTCCCCGAACCCCAATCCCAGACACCACAAAACATGCTTAGAGTCGGTCTGTAGATGATCCGAGTTACAGTATATGTTTTGCATTAGTTGAGAAATATGGTTATGGAGTCATGAACAGTCTTGACAAACACTAAAAAGATTAGCATGGAAAACCACATGATTTTTTCCATTTGAGAAGAGGTGCATCCCCATCACTTAGCCCATGCAAATCGACAGAACTATCAATAATTATTATCATTAACAGAAGAAGAAATCAACTTACTGCATCCTCGTTAGAATATATTCCTGTCTAGCCATTCTGTTTCTGATCGTAATAAGATTTAATTTATGTGAGTCAAGTCCATCCCAGATATCTCTTATATTTTTATTCATTTCATTTAATGGAGGGGTTTCCCATTTCTCCAGTAAATCTTGTGGACTTGTGATGTCTTCTTTCTCTTGATAATACTTCACTCGAAAACCCTACAAAATATAAAGTAGAGCTCTCCTATTAAAGAAATGCTCACATATCAATTTTACTGGTATTTTGGATATATATATCTTAAGATAGGAAGACTTTCTTTTAAATTAATGAATCAAGTTTTTTACACATTAACCCTTAAGCTCCCTTAACCGCCTCTGAAACATATAGATCATAAAAGGTTCACAGCTACAAGTACATGTATTCATTTGACTCTGGAGATTTGAGGCAGTATGTTCCAGTTCTTGACCTTCACCAGTATTCACAATTCAGATTTAAAGCACTTTATCATAACTGAATTGTGAAACAAAATGACTGATTATATCTGAATAAGGAGACACATGGCTTCTTAAAATATGTTAAGTCTTGAAATTACTTTTTGTGTCGAGCGGGGGTTAAACATGATCTGCATGAGGACGTTTGGGCTGGAATAATTGAGACTATTTTGTCTTGACCAATATTCATTGCCATTGAACTGGAGAACCTTAGGACTGGAGTGATAGAGATTAATAATGTGAAAGATACTATATATGTATTCATTCATCTTTGACTGTTATAGACTGGTCTGGTTATATCTACTTTACCTTTCCAATATATAAACTGTTTAGTTCCACCCTGGTGATAATCCATGCTCTATTTAATTCTAATCCACGCTGTGCATCACGTTGTACGTGTTGATAAGTATCACTCAACTGGGCAATTAGTATATTTAATAAGACAACACAACAAGTAAATAGAAAGATTACCATTAGTATACATCCCAGGGTACTGTAAACACACCATTAAAACATTAAATACAAACTGTTATTATTCAAGTTCAGATAGAAAATGTTAATAATAATCTTCAAAACAAATACTATATGAACCAGGACAGAGCCTGACGTCATCTCAACCATCTTGGAATTGAGATCATATATCAAAAATCGAGGTCTGTCAAGTTTTCACGTTGATCTTAAACAATTTGGCGGACCCTTAGATTTTATTGTAAGAGCAACACTCCAGGAACAAGAAGATTACCTAGTGTATAAATACAACCAGTTCCTAGTTAAAAACTAAGTATTTTGATGGAGAACACTGCATGACCGAAAGTAAGAGAGATAACTTCTATAGAGTGATAATGTGAATAATAATATAATTTTAAAGCCATTTGATTTCATTCACAAAGACTACTTCATTTTAGAAATCAAGGGAAAATATTATACATTTTGATGAAAGCAACAACAGAAATTACAACATCAATGAAAGAGGCATTCTTATGATCTGAACGGGCCTGTAATATAGGTTTTTCGATGTATTAAAACCACCAGTGACAAGACTGAAAAAAGACAAATCTGTGCCAGACGTAATGGCAGTATATTTTATACAGACATGGTGGTAGACAAAAAATAAAACTGTGTCAATTGCAAAAGAACATGATAATATAGCTGTATTCATAAAAACACCTGACGAAAATCTTCAAGCAATGATAATGTTTAGTAAACAAGCACGTAAATGATTAATTTAAGATCAATTTCAAGGCAAGTGCAATAACAATTTGTAAGCTAGTGTTAACGGAAATGGGACAGGGTATCACTTTTAACATTTGAAATTTAATGATGGTAAAAGAGCTGTTACGATATATCCGCCCACAATATGATACAAAATACATTGTCACACTTCAGAGATAAACATAATAAATTTGATATTTTGAAAGTGATCATGCTATTCTTTTCTAAAGCCTTCATTTCACAGTCATGAAGCCATATCAATTTTCATAACCAATGACAGTTCTCATCAATGGTCTAACCATAGATCTTGGTTTTTATGAATATCTATTCAAACTAATGAATAGACAGTAATAAATTGTGTTCTATTAGCTTAAACGGATATCATGTGGTATTATAAAACAGATTGTGAGATTGATTTATCGTAGCAACCCTTGTTGGTACCATGTGTTTCTGATGCGTCAATTAAAAATATTAAATTTTGTACCTAAAACCATTTGGTCCATAATATTCAACAACCGGTTCACCTTCAATCAAAATACGTATCCCAGTGAACAATATCTCCCAAAATGAACTGAAATAAATAAATAAATGGTATTTTCAATTATAACTACATTAATTGATAAACACAAAGACTTGTGACATAAATATCCTGGGCCACTGTACACCAAAAGTTAAGTTAAATTCAAAACACAAAAATAATCAAATCGAAGAAATTTAACAAAAGACAACTGGTATAATAGGCTGATGTTTGTACAAAAATTAGTTTCAAAAAGATATTGCTTTGTGAAATATGCTGCTGAAACAAAGCTGGGATAGCGGGAAGAATGCACACAGACCAATTATAAATATCCCACCCTTATCTTCGTTTGACACAAGAAAATTAAGATTTTCATGTTGTTCAATATTCATGATGTAACCGTTTGATTGAAATACCATATTACAAGTTTTCTAGTGTATCTTATTTTCATTTATTTAATGTTTTCTTACATTGTTCGTTTGTTAATATTAATTAATATATGTCATACAAAACATATAACACCACTAAGCAGTAAATTAATGATTTCAGCCAGTATAAAATTTATTATTACTTAATTGAATAAAGAATGTCTATCTACCTTGTTTCTTTGTGTGTTACTAAAGAGTTGTCTCCCCTTAAGGCCAATACAAAGGAACCACTGAATGCCACCAAAAATACAGTAAATACTGTTAAAAACTGTAGAAAATCATGCCCTATAATTCTCCATAATATTTGAGCGTATGCTCCTGTTTGTCTAAAATAGAAAACAAAGTAATTATGGTAATGACGAATTTCATACATAGTGAGCACTTTCATAAGCGGATTTATGAGTGGACTGAGGCAAGTTAGGCCCTGGGGTGTAAGCCTCCTCACGTCCCCACTCTCATCCCCCTAAAACAATGAAACATAGCAATAACAAAAGCTTTCATACAAAGGTCAAATATATTCCAAAGAAGCTCAAATATTATCAATTCTGATAAATTTATAATATGTAAAAGGCACAAGTGGATGGCTTATGAGATGTGCTCTGGAAACAAAAACTATGACAGAAGGACAGACAAATGAATACCCATTTGATTTCTTCAAAATTTGTGAGCAGAAAGTGCTTTCAGTGTTTTCTTGTGTCTCTATATTTTTATTTGTGCACAAATTTAATCATACTCAACCAATGAACATACTTGTTTTATAGAAGAAAATCTACACCTCTCTCACACACACACAATGCTTTCAAGGAATTCAGGGTCCGTTCCTTACCTAAATACAGCAGCATATTTGAAAATCCTTATCGTCCACAATAAATAACCAACTGAGAAGACATGCCATTGTTCCATATGATGTGTAAATCGTAATGGTGCTACAGCAATTAACAAGCTGGATGACAGAAAATCTAACCAATTAAATTGGTCCTTCCAGTAATCTAACCTGTGCCTACAAAACAATTTTTTTGAATAAGTGACAAGTCTGAAAGTGATTATCACAAATCATTTAATGTCATTAGGCTTGTGTGTATAAATAAATGTAATGAATCAATCAAATGGTAACTATAGAATTGAAAGAGTGGCCACAAGGTATTTCAAACTAATGAAGGCCAATAACTCTCAATGGAATTAACAGAAATCGCTGAAAATGTAAACAATACATCTAAATTGAAAGGATATTGGATAATAATAGTGACCTCTGGCCATGAGTTCACAAAGCATTCTCAGACGCAAGTTAAAAATTTACTCAACTTTCAATCACAGTTCATGAGAAATATCTTTGATCCAGAAACACAAAACTTTGCACATAGTTTCTTGTTGATGTATTTGATACATTAAAACAACAAAAGTTCATAAAGGGTTATATTTCAGTTCAAATAAGGCAAACAATTTTGAGTAAATTCTTAACTTAAGTCTGAGAATGTTTTGTGAACTCTGGGGCCTGGGGTTTCCACAAGGCAAAAGATTATGACAGACTGAATAACAAAAGAAATTATAATCTGAATAACAATAGCTTTTATAACTCTAAAAGATTCATACTTCCTCATTTGGTTGATCTCTAGGCAGAAGGTGAGAACAGCGTGGATATACCACCATGCTTCAAACACAGCACGACTAATATGTAGTGCTCCCTTATATACAGCAGGATCTTGTGCTTCAACGGCCACGATAGCACTGTACGTCATAGCCATTAATGTCAGAAAAAACATTAAACAGTTCATTCTGAAAATTAAAAACATATAGGGATTTTAACTAGACAAACGCTAACATCAAATTTATGAAAATTCTTTTGCATTATCAAAATAACTATTTAAAACATTTGAAAAAAAAAAAAGGGGAAGGACAGTTTTAGAACTTCTGCCTGTTTTGCATGCAATTTTGCTGTGAATGGATAATAGTGGAACAAAAAAACCCAACCCAGTGCTCAGTAACATGAGTTAATTATTTCTATATGAAATATCTCTAGACGCTAAAAATCTAACGCTATTCAGGCTTCCACTTCAAAGTTTTCACTGCCGGTCATATTTGATAACGCACGAAAATTTTGTAAAATAAATTCATATTTCATGTTTTTTATTCATGGTAGGGTATTGGGATTTGATGTCTCTATACCACTTTGTCAGCATGTTATACGCAAAAAATTATATATTGGACTTAAATATGAAATATTAGTAATGCTTATCATAAGTATTTATTAATGAAATAATCCCTTTTGGCTACTTAAATAATCGAAATAGCTGAATTGGCTGTAGAAAAATCATTCCAGTAGCTCACATATATTACCAGGTTCTCCATAGAAAACACACTGACCATGATAATTTTGAGTTGTAATACAATAACTTTGAAATGAAGATAAATATATAATTATCCACGGTATATTCCTCACATTTATCGGTTATAGACCATCTCTTACCGCATTACGAACCGCAGAGTTGTGACCTAAAACCCAATAATGAATAACTAAAAAACTAACTTCACAGCTAGCAACACTAGCTGTCTAGTCATTTGGATGGGACAAAAAACTGAGGTCCTGTGTACACTTTGGCATGCACGTAAAGGAATCCTTGACAGTTGGAATTCAATATAAAAGTATATAAGTGTCGATGTCTGGGTAAAATTTCACTCATAGCAGTCTATATGGTGCATGCTCATCTTCATTAATCCCGTCAGAGTAGAACAGTCGGACATTAGACCCCATTTCATTTCTAATGCTATTCTATCTGTAATATTTATTAACACCTTGATTAATAACCACTTGGGAACTACAATATAGTTTGCTTACTGAAATCGGAATCTAGCATACAACTTCCATTTTCTTCGTATGAGTAGTCGTACCACATCATGGAATACCAACGTCTGAAAAAGAGTAGATTATCTCATTTTGGATTCTGGATGTTTTGAAATTCCAGCGAAACCATTTCAATCTATTATTTGATCAAATTGGGTTAGAAACACTTTCATTTCTATGTGCTATGGTCTGAAATGCAAGATGGATTGAGAGGATTTTGACAATGGCAGTGATTTTTATATTCCATCCCATCTAAACAACTTGACAAGCTTACCTTATCAGACATTTCAGTTACTTCATGGCCCATGATAATACAGTTTACTTCGCATAAGTCGAATCTAACTGGACTGAGCAATTTTATCCGATTCAAACGAAGATCCAAGTTAGCCGAAGACCGAAATTCAATCTTAGCTCGATTAGAAATAAACTGCAAGAGCCGGATAATAATTGATTCAAAGGCACATTTCAAGCTTTTGTTCGTATATGCGAGTAGACAACTTCCGTTTTGGTGCGAGTAGATAACTTCCATTTTGTCGCCATCTTTGAAAAATGTCCTAAATTTTCTCGTACAGCAGACAGTAAGTTTCGAATTTTCCAGGAAAATTCTATTATTGTGTTGCGTCAAATAAGCTGATTTGAGTCAAAATCATAGGGGAAAGTATTTTGGGGCGCTGTGCATGGAATACCTAACCGCGTTTTTGACCATCGGGACAAAACTGACTTAGTCAAATTCTGAACATACTGTCGATCCGACTTGGGCAAAGGAAAAAAGCCCGAATTAGATCAAATGGACCAAACATTTTAATCCGAGTTGAGCAAAGATCCGACTTACACACAGAAATTTAATAAGAAAAACGTGCAGGATCAAAGGGTCCAAATGATTTTATTTGAGTTGAGCAAAGATCCGACTTGTACGAATCCGACTTAAGCGAGGTTTACTGTATTTGAAAACCAGCACATTTTATAGAGTCATAGGTAAAATTTTGTGACGAGATCACTGGGGTATCATTAATAATCATCCAAATGAGTTTTTAAAGTCAGGACATTATGATTCAGAACCTTAAGAACAGCTATTAGATTCTATCCTTGCTCAGCTAAAAGTTGTTTCAAACATAGTGTCAGGAATTTACCTTAAGCCCTCTTTTAGACATAAGTTGAAGACAGGATTTTGATGTGCTGTCGAAGTCTTCCTGATGTGGAGATCTTCCATGCTCGTCTGCTTCTAATACATGATAAAATACTTGAACATGTCCGCTATCACCTACTGGATCTATCATACAGTCTAATACACCTAGTGCCGTTCTCTACAAAAATAACAAATTTACATTGTTTGTTCTCTTGGTGTTTAATGTTCACTTCCACCGAGGGTGATATCGTATATAAGTTATCATATTTTCATAACCTTAGCGCATGCGCAGGGGTCTTTCCTGTGGGGGGAAACAGGAGTACCGGAAGTAAACTCATGAAATTGAGAAGGTGCACCTATTTCCAAGCCACATACGCTCACACCTGGGATCCAAATCACGACCGCAATTTAGAGGTGACCGGCCATCTAGAGCTCGAAGCACGACACTCTAGACCACTAGGCCATCCCAACCACCCTTATTTACATAGAATCACATTGCTGCTCTTATACTCAAGCTTGGAAATCAGGCAACTGTCATGGACATTGTCAGGCAAAATTGAAGCTTTGTCAGGCACAGTTCCTCTGATGCCTGCCGTTTTCCTGTCACAGATTTGTCTTTTCTCTGTGTTTTGATTGATATGTTTATTACATGTCTGGCACGAAGTTCTAAAATGTTGAATACTACTCAGTAGTGCCTGACAATTTGTCAGGTATAACTAAAACCAGGCCTAATTATACTTAATGTACTTTTATAATATGTAAATATATATTGAATAAACAGTGTCAGAAAAAGAAAGAAGTCGTTTTCCTTAAATGAGAGAACAACATGAGTTGAAAGGTTATAATGTAATGTTTAGAGAATCGAATGTGAACTCTACTTATATACCCGCAACTGTGCATATTAAGACTTCGTCTCGTGATGCCGTATGAAGTATATTTTCATGTATTGTAATTATTAGCAGTAATGAAGGCATTAACTTTTTATGAACCAATCCTACAGTTTACAGATGCATTATATACTACGATATCATTGATTTATATAAACTATTGGTTTGAATCCATTACGCGTTAAATCACGCATGTTTTAAGGTGCCTTGTATATTCAAGGCCAATTAAAGTGTTACCGTCTGTGTGACAGCAAATAGTGACCCTCAAATAGTGTCCTTTGGTTGGTAATCTATAAACAATTGGAGATTAAAAACCAAGTTTAACTATTTCTACAGCATTCAAGTCTCTGAACAATACATAATTATCCAACCTGTGTTGCTTCTCAGGTAAAGCTTAAATCTCTTAATCTCCTAATCTCTTTCTGTGCTCATAGTTATCTGGCTATCAATCCTTTAAAACAATGCGTTTCCAATTAAACATCTAAAATAGTATTTTTCTTATTAAAAGTAAGATGTGGGTTTGTGGATATTTTACTCTACTACAGTAGTAGTCTTTCAGTGGTATTCATAAAAGCCAATTTAAGTGACCTATGGGAGGTACCTTAAGGATAATAATGTCTAACCGGAATACACCATGTAGTAGTAAGTCCGTAAAAAATTATTTTAAAAATATGGGAACTAAGATTGAATTTTTGTTGATAATATCACCGAGCGTAATCATGTTTTCTACAACTGATCCATAATAAAGTTTGATGCATTAAATTCATTTGTAAAATTTGACACTGTGATGGCATTTTGTTGTAGATTTTAGCAAAAATTTATACTATCGCATGACACAAGGCAAGAATGTTCTTTTTAAAAAAAACATTCCCAAATACATAAATTTGATGTGGATTGACAGTGGTATTGTTTGTAATATGTCCTTGTCTTCGTTTGTATATAAATTTACAAATATATGATGATGATTATAGCGAAGCAAGAACCAAAAGTTTTACAATTAATTTCTTGTAAGAATTTGTTGTGTTCTTTGGTCCTTACATTTAGTATCCAGTCAACACCAGGCAATTGGGATTCTAAAGAGCCTAACACTTACAGAATTTCTATGAATTTCACAAATAATAGATTGATAAACAACACCGAATGATGTTTTCAGTCTAATTTAAAAGCCAAATAGCCTTACATATTGGTACGTTGTTTTCTATTCTTTATACATTGTTAAAATAATAAAGTTTACAATATCCAACATTATACTACCACGATTCAATAACTGCAATTGAAATCTATTAAGATCAAAATAAAAACCTCCCCAGAAAAAATGTTCAGGTAATGCAATGGATGGGTACTATCAAATATAGTCATAATATGTTCATGTGTTACAACATAATATTTCAACAAATATTTTCATAGTGGGACTCTTAAGGCGACATAACATGCATGCAAAGTTAGAAATTCAGGATTTTCGGCAGTTGAGGGTATTCCATAAGCTAGAAATACATGCTTTTTGGCAGTTGTGGGCATTCCATAAATAAGTGTGCAGTTACATACTAATAGAACTGGTTGAATACATTCCAAATATAATTTTAACACAGAGATCACACCAAAATTGTCCACTAAGTTTTTCACATAGCCACGGATATGTAAATTACAGCCTTTGAATACCATTTTCAGCTTACTGCAAAATTGGTTAAGTTGAAAACATAAGCATTTTTACTTAACTTTAAGAAAACCTTGGAATACAGGCCCAGATCTCTACTAAAGAGCTAAAACCTGATTACCTCTGAGCTCTATAAATCTTATGCTACCCAGAGAGCAGGTTCTTTTTGTAATGGCAAAAAATTGAATGTAATCATGGCCTAAAATACTCATGTGGTCATGCTCGTTTATTTGATGGGTGAACACACAGACATCTTTTGATTTTATTTATATAGATAATAATTACCTCCATATTTAAATCAGCTGAAATGAGATTATGTAGACATAATTCCGACGGTCCTTTACCGGAACTAGTATACAAGGCTCGGACACTATAATGGAAAATGGAAATAATTTATCAAGTTAAAATAGTATGCAGGGCAGAGGTGGGAACAAGTCAAAGGACCTACAGTCCAGGTTGACTCCTAAGTCACAGCACTTCGAGTCGTAAATCGATAACTACTGTAAAGTGTAGGGGACACTTATGGCTGGCCCTGGGAACCATTCACTTGATTTGATATTTGTTATATATTTCTTGCAATATCTATGTAGTTTGTCCTGTCTGCAAGAGTCAGCAATTCATGGCAAATTAGAATTAGCCCATCCAAGATGCAAGCTGGCATGACTGCCGAGCCTGTGTCGAGTCTTGCTAAATATTTCAAGTTGAGTCGCAGGCTGGGTCTCTGATGTGAATCGGGTCCGAGTTGTAGCAGTCAAGTTCTAACCAATTAGTACTTCCCCATTTAATAATTGGAATTTAGTTGATAACTGGTACAGGAAGGTGGGGTGACCATAGTGATCAGTAAAAAAAAGGTTTAATTATGTAACCTTGGATTAACAAAACACAAGCATTGATAATTTGTACATATAATAAAGTTCTGTCATGTTTAAAGGGACTTAATGTTATTATTTTAAAACATTATTAAATTTAAAGATACATTATTAGAGTGAATGTAAGTTACATTATTCTGACACAAAATATCCATGATTGGCAGATGGAAACTCCACCTACTGTTCATATTCTCTATTAACAAGTACCATTGCCATTGTTAAATACACTAAATATCAAAGTCATACAATGGCCTGTAGAGTTGATTATAGGCTTGCCATGTGGATAAATGTCAAAATAATAATTTATATAACATTCGAAACCAGAAATACTGCCGGCAATAGACAGATTTAGCTCTCGCACAATGCATCTTTCAACATGACTTACGTTGTATTTGGCATCTTATCCAAAAGCATAGAAGCTATGGCATCGTTGCCATTTTCTAATGCAAGGTGATATGGCATCTTTCCATCTTTATCTCGACTATGAGGTAATGCCTCATACTCCAATAATCTGCTACAAACACTCTTGAAATTTCGTTTAACTGCGTGATGTAACGGTGTTTTCAATTCACTGTCACTAGGTGATGGATTGGCACCTTTATGAAGTAAAGCCGTTATCAAAAGCACAACCTGTAAAGAAACCAGCCAACTGTATACCTTTAATATTTAACCCCCGCTAATGAACAAATCAACTGTTCTATGGTTCCCAATTTTTTAGTGAAACAACGTAAAAATAGTCATCATGGTTGGATAACATTCTCAGTGACATCATGGTGTCACATGAAATTTACTCAGATTAAAATTTCTTTTCATAGTTTTTTTTTTCTCTGACTTTTACAGTGTGATCAGCTAGGCAGTGTGCTATTTATAGCACATCAGTGTAATGTATGTAGTCCCTACATACGCTACATGGAATATATTTCAAATAAGATTGGCGGGAGACAATGAACGTATTATTTAAGTTATTGTTTAACTTTAAAGTGACTTAATGCATGTCCTTAAAATCATAAATTCGCTTGCTTCACATCATGTTTTTTTTCCAGGTTATCCAGTTTTCCACTCTATATTTTACCTTTAGCTCAACAGGAGACTGGGTAACCACATGTAAAAGAGCTGTATCTCTTCCTCCTGCTTTAGCTATTAACCTGTCTATTACCACTTCCAGCTCTGCTTCTTGACGACCAAGCATATGAGTCTGTGTTTTCTGGGCTACCTACAAATACAATCTTAAATGCAGAAAACCTTATCATTGCTTGATAAAGATACCTGTAAGAGTATTGAAACGTTGCATGTAATAAACTAAGAAGTAGTAAATCCATAAAGTTGTGTTATTATGAATATTATACCTCTACTTCTAAATGCCATTTAAGGATATTAACTGTATCCTCAATCGTAACTTTTTGAAAACATTTTTTTCAGCTTGATAGATCGGTGTGTGAATTTTGTACCATTACAAATATCTTTTGGGATTTTCTTCATATTCAAACACACAGTAGTTTGGTATATCATGTGTTTGAAAAGTATCCTTTTAGATTCACATGTGTTAGATGCATAGACGATAGGCTGACAGACAATGAAACATAGAATCCCACAGCAGCTAAATCGTCTGTGCAATCCATAAAGATTGTCACATTTTTAATCTTTTACGAGCAACAAGAACAATTACAATACACTCAAAATTGATCAATGGCAACAACCAATGAAGTACTTATCAGAAATAATACACAGGCTACTTCGTCACATAAACATAGGGTAACTTATACTATAAGTTTCAAGTCAATCAGACTGACAGACATACAGGGGATGACGACAACGAGTTGTCAATGAAAAGAGTAAATAGCCCATTTCGAGAAAGGTCATTAATGGCCTAAAGAAAGGTTATCTTTTTATCATCACTAAATAAAAATTACCTCAGCATAAAATTGATCATCCATAGCTTCATCTCCTAATAGAGCACTGGTTGATATAGACTGAGGTAAATCTGAATGATTCAACACTGCATCCTTATTACCAGGTGTACCTTGAAATAAAACCATTCAATTAAGAGGAAATTGGGGTTGAATGTCCTATCAACGCAAACTAGGTCTTGCATATAAGGATGTTTAGCTGTGGGAGGAGGCCGGAGGAAACGGAGAAAACACACAATTTTGGGTAGGCGAGCCTACTCTTTGTCATGCACAAACTTTTGATCGAAACCATGCCACTTGACTTTCTTATGACCTAAAGGAAATTTAGGATACTAACCATCTATGATAAAGATCATTTATTCCTTCAAGCAATTTGACCTCTATCATTTTCAAAGGGATTTCGGAAAAGGGGGTCCCCTCATTTGAAACAAATGCATTAAAGTTTGTTATTTCCACAAGTTTTTCAAAAAAGGGTTCAAACTCTGGGAAGGACAGATGTGGAATGCTGAATATCGATATTTCTTGTCCTCTCATGACCTCAATGCTTCACACCAAATCAAACAAAAAACTTTCAGTAAAGGGAGGGTAACTCTAGAACAGAAGGTTGCGAAACACTAATATCAATAGGGTACATCTTATCATGACCCCAATCTTTTACACCAAATTTCAAATAGATCTGTCAAAAACTGTAGCGTCTATCGCGTTCACAAATCAATTCTTGACAGATGGACAGACAGACAGGGTGCCGACTATATATGTCCAAACTACATCTGGGCCTATGAGGGTAACTACGGCTATATAGAAAAAAGTAATGCATGAAATGCGTAAGGAATTGCAAAATCAGCGCAATCATTTTAGGCCATACTCACAAGAATGGAGTTAACTTGGAACTGAATAATATAAAATAAGTGAAATGAACTCATTGACACCATACAACATCAGCTATTATAGTTGATATTTTGGTTTTGTTTCATTAATTAAATGTTAAATAATAAATCTGAGTACATTATAGTGTGGAATAAGGCAAGAAATGTTTGATATTGTCCGAAAAATGCAAATGTAAAACAATTTTTTACTCAGGATACCTAAATGCCGAATGGGAAACAGATTTATCCTGTAGTATAAAGAATCCACCGTATAAAACCCCTCTCCCTGAAGATCAGCTACATTAAACATAAATCTTACCATCCAAAAAATCTAAAGGAATATCCTCAATTTCAATAGGCCTAGCTTTTTTCAGTTGATGTCTTTTCGAATGGTTATCTGTTCTTCCTTTATGTTTATATTTCAGAGGGTGGTTATGTTCATCCATCTTGACCGATTTCACCGATTCTCCTGAGTTACTGTCTGATGTAGTTTACTGTTTGACCTCAATATCAACCTCATAATCAAACCTGACCTTGTTCTTGCTGTAGATTTATCATTCCTGTTAATATAGAATAATAAAACTAATTAGGAGATGGACAGAGTTATTGTGGAATTGTCCATCTATATTCAAATCAAGTCAAATCGAAAATTATTTATCTACTGGCGAGCAAAAACCTCCAAAGCACTAATACCTCTATAAGCAGGTATTCTTAAGTTGTTTAATGAAAGAGGGATTATTCAAGAGCTAAATCTGCCTATTGCAGGTCTTTCTCTGGGTCTTAAATGTTATATATTCATTAATTAGACATTTATTAACATGACAAAACTATACTGAGCGCCATGGAAAATGCATCACTTTTTTTTCCGAAATATTTTATTACTAGATGGTTTTGTATGTATAATATTATGCAATTCTATGAACTATTGTTTCACACAATGCTCCCAAATGCAAAAAATATCAGCCCGTGTGCACAAAAAAAAATTGCACGAGATGCACATGAAAAACCCAATATTCACTTGCAGCATTATGTGTGAGCCCTTTAAAAGCATGTTTTCAACTTAATGTGCATTACATGAACTGTGAAACGTCAATTTGGATGTGTGAAGGAATCGAACTAGAGATGCCAAGACTTACTGAAAATCAACGGAATGAAGCCATGGGAATGTCCGGGGCTGGCATGTCTACACGTGCTATTGCCAAACACTTCAATTGTCATCAGTCCACTATTGTAAGGTTGGTGGAACGTGTTCGAGTTACTGGATCAACAGGTGATCGTCAACGTCCTGGTCCACAACGCGTTACAACCCAGGCTCAAGACCTCTACATCTTCGTGACAGATTCCGCCCAGCGACTCGAACAGGTGCAGCAGTCGTCGGAAGACAAGGACCAGTAAGTGCCAACACCGTAAGACGTCGTCTAAGAGAAGTAGGACTCCGTGCACGACAACCTTATATTGGAGCTATCCTCAGGGATCATCACCGTCAGCGGCGTTTTAATACGGGCTCAAGGACACCAGACATGGAGAAGAGTAGACTGGCAAAGTGTGCTCTTCAGTGATGAGAGTCGCTTTCATCTTTATCAGGACATGGCACCAATAGAACATGTCTGGGATGAGATTGGACGCCGTCTGTATCGGATACCACAGATGCACACCATTGCTGCTTTAGAAGCTGCTCTTGTCCAAGAATAGAACAATTTGCCCCAGACTTTCTTTCAAACATTGGTTAATTCCAAGTGACGTCGCTGCACAGCTTGGGTAAGAGCCCGTGGAGGACACACGGGCTACTGACATCTGTGTCGTACTTTTGGTTTTGACCCCTCTGACTTTGTACCATTGATTACAGATTAAACATCCATAAGTGTACAAATGTGTTGTTATTGATGTGTTCCCATTTGAATATTGTTCACAATAAGAAGCAAAATAAATAAGATATGTTTACAGGATATACGAAAAATTAAGTGATGCATTTTCCATGACGCTCAGTATATAATCAACTCTCTAGGTCTTCGGATGTCTCCGATTCTAAGTAGATTAGAACAGTTCGGCCACTGAATGATTTAAACAACCAGTACGGTGGTTATAATAAGAAACAACCAATGAACATGTTAATCGCAGATTTCACGTCGCAGACAGTGGAATGCGCAAATTTGTCTCTAATTTCCATTGACTAATCTGCGAGCACGGAGTTAAGTTTGTCCAGGGCATTTAATGGATTACCGTGATATCATTTAAAGGAAAAACTGATAACAAAGTAGCTAAAAGTCCACCTTCTGATACATTTTTGACATAACACCTATCAATGATAACAGAACTTTCAACAAATATAAAAGTGAAATATATCCCCCAGAACTAATATTAGATAAGAAAATTCGGGCACTAAAAATGCATCTGTTTTTGATTTGGATATTAATGTAATTAACAGTAAATTTAATGTCAGTATTTTCAACAAAACTGACAAATTTGGCTTTGAAGTGGTAAAATACCTGTTAATTTATAGTAACATAGATGTCACGCTATATAATGTTTCTATTCACAGGCATTACGATTTTTAAAAAAATGTAACAATAAAGAACTATTTCTTTCTAGAATAAAATCTCTTTGTTTTAAGTGCACTGCCAAAGGCGGAACACAATTACGCATTTTAAACGAAATTTCGAAACTTGTACATACCAAGTATATAACAAACTTCCTATTGGATAATGATCTAATTTAATAATTATTTTAATTTTCTGCAGTTTCCTTATTCTATCTGGATTATCACCCTTACTTTATGCCTTTATATAAATACACTTTCATAGTATGATTTCTTCAACATGCCTGATCTGCATTTCTGATAGGTGTATTACGTATTATAATTTTTGTGCAATCACATAGCTGAATAATTTCGATTAATTCCTAAATTGATAGTTTATTAACCTTTTGACATTATCTTATCTGGATTATTGCTCTTTTTATTGTGGTTTTTATTACATTTTAACTCTTGATGTCATTTGGATACCTAGCGCCTTTATGTCATTCAGTATTGTTTGTTTTTTTCCTCTGTTTTTGTGGTAAATGGAACATATGCCCTAACTTTATAGCCAATATACCTCAATTCTTTTGAACACTTAAAATGTTTCTCACTATAACATAGGCCATACCGATATGGTTACTTGTATAGGTAGTTTTTTACTATAATATGCTTACATTCATATTTCATGTGGTATATAGCAGATCATGACTCGTACTAGTATTTCACAATGTTTTTCTCTGGGTTATATTCCTGATTGTTTGTCTTTCAATTTTGAGTTAAGTCTATATCACTACAAGCCCGGGACTTACAGTGCGTTGGACGCTTATGGCTAGCCCCCCGGATCCATTCACTTAATCTGATATGTGATTTCTACGTACTGTGTCTTGTCCGTAGTTTTGTGGGAGCCGATGTTAAATAAAGCAATTTCACACAATAATAATCCACCTAATCCTACTCGATATTCACCATGGATCTGCGTTAGTTTTATTTGTTTTAATGAATTTTGTGACGGTAAGTTTACTGGTACAAGTACGAGCAAGGTGATACGGAAAGAAAAGTATGACCACACAGTTGATTACCTTTAAAGGAAGAAGCAGTAGCGATAATTCAGAAACACGTACATTGCACTTTGATAAAATACTTAAAGATACATTATGGGAGATTAGATAAAGAGCTAGCAGTTTTCCCTAAAAAAAAGTTAAAAACTAGATATCATAATGTAAAGGCGATTTGCTGGAAATTTCAGCGCAGATTGCAATCTGTCCGAGGAGTGAAGACTGCACCCAAAACGACATACATATTCAAACTAATTAATCCATCAAAATTTTGCTATATAATACCTCTGCTATAAATGTTTGTGTCACGTGACTTGGTTGATGCGGTACCTAGCAACAGGTGTGAAGCCGGAGGAGAATAAATTGCATATACAAGATGATGTCTTTAATCGCATTCCATAATTTATCATAAGTTTAATTATAAATTCTTGGATTATCCACTGCCCACATCTTTTTCACTGCTGTAAGTTTAATATCACCATCAAGTTAATAAACATATACATCAACGCTCACCAACGCGCAACCCATGACACTCGAGCAGACATCCCTAATCATCGGGTTGCCGGTTAGAGAAACCCTAAACATTTTTGTCCTGTGTTGCGCCCCATGGGTGTTTTTCACTCAGGAAATCCAGTATTTTTCTAGTAAGAGGATGTTACTAATTTCTATGCATACCAAAATTGCCCATACTTTTATTAGAAATAACCAGTCGATTAATACTTTTGTGGAAAAGTAACTTTATGGGGAGAAGTTATGTTGTAGAGAAACAAGATAAAAGAGAAAACAAACATTTTGCCCTGGGGTGTTGAATTTCATAACTCTATGGAGTCTATGTTTACAATTTCTTTATGTTACAAACCAATTAATTAAAGCCAACAATCATACCCAAACATTAAATATATGAAAAAGTTTGTCTATAGCGAATCACATTTGCGTTATGGATGTTAAATTTTATATTTATGATTAAGATTAAGGGGGTTCAAAATATCTTACACCGGTTTCGGGATTTAACTTTTTGGGTGTTTGCTTCTTGCCTCGAAAAAAGTGGGGGGTTTTGGCATTGACACTGTCTTATTTCCTTTCAACTTGACATCCCTTCCAATTTATGGTTAGTTGCCGTAAGTCGTCAACTCAACACCATACTATACTTACAGTTGGATTCGTTATAGATCTATTATTATCTCGTCCCTGGATTTCTTTTCCATCTAGAGCCACTGTCCTGATGGTGAATTCACCAATTCACGGTAATATATGGTGCTCGATTATCAGGACATCGTATTTATAACGAGTCTGTTGGTGTGCCTGGTAAAACTAGACTATGTCGAATAGCGAAGAAACACCAGTGACTGACACTATCGTTTACATGCCGTCAGCATTCGTGAGTGATTAAGGTTCATCATGGACCTTATAATATTACAGGGGCGGATCCAGGAATTTTTGCAGGAGGGGGTTTGCCAGGTCCCAGTTAAGGAAATTTGACAGTTGACAATGCGTGATGCCAGCATCGTCTCCAAATTACGTAGGCCTACTCGGGGGGGGGGGGGGGGGCATTCTCTCCACCCTGAGCGTTTTAATTAAAGAGTGAAATTAGGGTTGTGACAATCAGACACATTTTGATTCAGTAAGAATTTGACCGGTGTTTTCTGGGGCGAAAAACATTGTTCTTCGATAATTCGGTCGGGGCTGAAAAGGAAAACGTTTTTTTTCGGTCGGGGACCGGGCCATTTCCAAAATGGTGGACAAAATGGCCGCCAAAATACAATTTTTCCAAGTTTTTTGGAGTTATTCGTTAATATTTTAATGTAATATGTCGATTTATAGATTTTCTGGGATGCTGAATCCTAAAATGTGGTTTTCTGTTTGTTCTGACATAATTCCGCCATCTTGATTTTCAAAATGGCGGACAAAATGGACGCTAAAATGCATTTTTTCAATGTTGTTTGACTTTCTCTAGAATATTATCTCGTAGTATGTCGATCTATAGGCTTTGGGGGTCGATGAATCCGAAATTGTGATTTTCTGTTCGATCCGACAAAGTTCCGCCATCTTGATTTTCAAAATGGCTGACAATATGGCCGCCGCACTAAACTGCCTATGTTGTGATTGGCGTTTGTCCGGATTAGTATCATGTAATATGTCGAGGTATAGGTTTTGGGGGTCAATGAATCTGAAAATTTGGTTTTCTGGTCGATCCGATCAAATTTTAGCCATATAGAATTTCAAAATGGCGGACAAAATGGCCGCCAAAATGAATCTGTTAATGTCATTTCGATTTTTTCGAAATAGTTACGTGTAATATGTCGATGAATTCGGGTGGCTCTGTATTGGTGTAAACCGAGAACATTCAAAGAAAATCACATCTCAAGGCAGTACGAAAGACTAATAATATAACACTCAGTTGATTTGTTATCACATGTGTATTTACATTGCATCAGGATACTGATCAAACATCGATACATTAATTTCAATCAATGGCAAAGGCATTCTTCAGGAGTGTATCTATGTCACGACATACAGTTTTCTGGCTTCATTACATTCTTGATTGACTGAATTAGTTCGTTCTTACAGAATGTTTCGTATTTAAATCTCCCATTGTCCATTTTTATTCTGCGTTTCTGTCTGATATCATTAGCAATTGTAGCACGAATGTAGGCGATCTCGGAGAGGAGTTCTTTGTCTGTTAGCTGTTTGAGGATGTTCACATTCTCCGGCGTTGTAGGTCGACTGAACTACATTCCACTCTTTCAATGAAAAAGTCGACAAACTGAGAAAACTCAGTGCAGACTCCTCCAGAACATCAACTGGTAAAGGAAAACTGATAGGTGCTGTGTTAGAGGAAGTGCTAGTTACCATCAACAGGCAATTGAGTGAAATGGACTTCTTCGATTGCGAGCTAGAAACTGAATTCGTCGATTTTGATCAATTGAAATACACGCCACTCACGAACTTAGGGTGCGAATCGCAGTTTGCCAAACTTGATAACAAAGTCAAAGCATCAGGAGGTATGACCAGTGTGAACACTTATTCTCGGAAAAACATTGTGTCAACAAACGGTTTCCTGGTACGAGCAGACTTTGTGTAATGTAGTTCAGTCGACCGCCAGTCTAAATGGAAATGGGCCAGAAACTCAAACGAAGTCAAACTAGTAAAACAACTAGAGAGGGACTTTCTTGAAAATGTAAAACTGATGAAAACTTTGGCAATCAAGCGGAAAGAGGAGTTGAAAAAAAAGAAAGTTCTGAAGACCTTACAGCTCCTAAGTACTTGTAAGAAACACGGTGGACCTGCAACGCCGGAGAATGTGAACATCCTCAAACAGCTAACAGACAAAGAACTCCTCTCCGAGATCGCCTACATTTGTGCTACAATTGCTAATGATATCAGACAGAAACGCAGAATAAAAATGGACAATGGGAGATTTAAATACGAAACATTCTGTAAGAACGAACTAATTCAGTCAATCAAGAATGTAATGAAGCCAGAAAACTGTGTATGTCGTGACATAGATACGCTCCTGAAGAATGCTTTTGCCATTGATTGAAATTAATGTATCGATGTTTGATCAGTATCCTGATGCAATGTAAATACACATGTGATAATAAATCAACTGAGTGTTATATTATTATTCTTTCGTACTGCCTTGAGATGTGATTTTCTTTGAATGTTCTCGGTTTACACCAATTCAGAGCCACCCAAATTCATCGACATATTACACGTAACTATTTCGAAAAAATCGAAATGACATTAACAGATTCATTTTGGCGGCCATTTTGTCCGCCATTTTGAAATTCTATATGGCTAAAATTCGATCGGATCGACTAGAAAACCAAATTTTCAGATTCATCGACCCCCAAAACCTATACCTCGACATATTACATGATACTAATCCGGACAAACGCCAATCACAACATAGGCAGTTTAGTGCGGCGGCCATATTGTCAGCCATTTTGAAAATCAAGATGGCGGAACTTTGTCGGATCGAACAGAAAATCACAATTTCGGATTCATCGACCCCCAAAGCCTATAGATCGACATACTACGAGATAATATTCTAGAGAAAGCCAAACAACATTGAAAAAATGCATTTTAGCGTCCATTTTGTCGGCCATTTTGAAAATCAAGATGGCGGAATTATGTCAGATCAAACAAAAAAACACATTTTTGGATTCAGCATCCCAGAAAACCTATAAATGGACATATTACACGACAACATTATAGAATAAATTCAAAAAATTGTATTTTGACGGCCATTTTGTCCGCCATTTTGGAAATGGCCCGGTCCCTGACCGAAAAAGCGGCTTTTTGTTCCAGCCCCGACCGGATTCTCAAAGTACAATGTATTTCGCCTCTGAAAACACCGGTCACTTAAATTCGACATTATTTTCCCAACCCTAGTGAAATCCAACAACCTGTTTGTACGTCAATTTTTAATAATGCCCACATTTTCATGTAGACGTATTATGCCGTCGCCCATGTCCGCCCTGACCTCCGTCCACAATGGACACTCTACAGATCACAATTTTTATTCGATTTTAACGAAATTCAAAATATATAGGTCTATCTCCCAAAAAAAAGATCTCGGTTCCCTTCGATTTATGACTTATGGAATAAGATAAGATTTTATTGTATCAAAACATCCATGACCCCTGATAAATCACGTTTTTAGCTTTTGGACACTCTAGAGAGATCACAATTTTCATCCGATTTTAAAGTCTCAATACCACTCTTGTAACTGAATGTCCCAATCTTTATTCTGGTCAACAAATTGTACTATTTTAGAATATTTCAATTAATTGATGATACAAATTTCATCTTAACACACCTTATTTAAAAATTTTGAAAAATTCAACATAATGGTTTGAAACGTCTAACGTAAACCTTTTCAAATGAAACTTCGATTTAAAAATATTTTCGAACCCTCTGGACAAGTAAAATAGGATGTAATGGATAATTTACACAACAGGTAGGACACTTAAACATCTAGTACTTATTTATTTTCTGGAGCTTTCAAGCCAGCAAGAGTGTTATTGTCCCCTTTAATGAAACTTGAAATGCATGTTTGTCGCAGCTATATGCGGCGCCTAAATAAAAGTTTAGACTCGCTGCTTTACATGCCTAAATAAAAGTTTAGACTCGCTGCTTTACATGTAAGTGTTCGGGATAGGGTGAGAAATGATAACGCGGTCACAAGTTAAAGATGATCGAAGCATCAGAGCATCACATGAAGAACGTCAAATGCCTCGTGGATAAGAACAACGCAACCTCAAATCCAAGATGGCTGCCATGGAGGAGAAATGCGATTTTTCTCAATATTTTGAGTCAAAATGTGGCATTTATGATGCGTATCCTGCAGAGAAAGATCACAAGCGGGTAAAAGACTGTAGGAAAGATATCAAAGATTATCTGGCGAGCATATATCAAATAGAAAAGTAAAAGCCGGTTGGGCTCTGAAACAAATTAAAACCATCAAGAGATTTTCTGACGAGATAAAGGAATTCTTATTGAAGGAATTCATGCGTGGGGTAGACACTGGTAGGAAAGAGGTTCCTAGCAACGTTTCTAAGAAACAGATCTTTGTTTCCGCAAGAAAGCTGGTTATCAGCCAAACAGGTGACCAGTTACTTCAGTAGATTATAGTTAAGTTTAAGTTTAGGGTATTAGCACCAATGAAGTCAAACCAACAGATGACACTGTTGTATTATAATAATACACAATGGCAGCAAGTGACAACAAATCATTAAGATAAAGATGACAATAGTTCTGTAACTATATGAACTACTCAAATTTCACATTGTTCTCTTACTTTAGAACGAAGTCGTCGCCTATTCGTTGTTTCGGAGGCGGCAATTTCATTCTCATCATCAATTTCAGATGGCGCTGATGAGACTGCTAGAGGATGACCAGCTTTTTGATGGGCAGCTAATCTACTGAAGTAACTGGGCCATATCTAAGAGGGGGTTAATATTTGGGGTCGGCCATTTTGGCTTTTTGCATGTTGGGATGGGGTGACCTTATGACCCGAGTAAGAATGAATTTGGCCGACCCCCACCTTATCACTTTTGCAGGGTTTTGCATTGTTTTCTCACGGACTGACTCTTAATTTTAAATGGCGTCGTGAGCGGAGATTAACCGTTACGTTGATGTCATACTCCCGGATCGAGGCTAAATGATAGAGTGTACGAAGCGAGGCCGCTGTTGAGCGATGCCTTAACAAATGACATCTAAACTATTTAAAGTGCAATAAACTAAACACAGATAATGACAAATTATATAATTCCTGGAGACCGTGTGATGACTAATACAGACGGACAGGTCTTCTGTCTTAACCCTTGTCGGTGCACGTGGGGTTTCCGTGGACCCCATGCATATGTTTTATAGTGTTTTGTAATAAGTACTGGGCACTGCTTTCTGAAATTTAGTGACTTTGTCTCCTATAGTCCTATACATTTTACACGTAGCGAAGAGTTCGGTATTCATCTGCTTCTCACATGCAGAGTTCTGTTATGCAAATCAGGCCCAACACTTGAAGGGAACAGGGCCCCTAACTTACAACTCACAGTTGGGATTTTGCTAATGTGTTTGCTGCCTGATACCATATTGTGTATGCCAGAGTATTCTCTCTTTTAACACCTGCATGTTACAAATACGAAATATTAAATGATGAATTCCAAATATTCAATGATTTTTGTATCAAGCGTGAATAGCCATTTGACCTCTTTATCACATAGTACAAAAAGTAGCAATTTTGTGAGAATTATTAAATCTTTTCCAAATATCACTAAAATGTTTTTGTATAATAATTTAGTTGTTTTTCAGTTGTAAAATAAGAATGCAAATAAAAACTAAACCGCTGCCTTTTAATTCAGATATATCTGTACGTAAAAATTATAACTGGGGTCCATATGGACCCCTTGATACCTGATATGTGATTCTCACAGTGTGCACCGACAAGGGTTAATAATATCAATAAAAATATTTTTATTTCCCCAATAGGCACGACGCCACTGGTGTACACTTATAGATTTATCATAATTGTATTATACTATTATGTCCTATATTCAATTGATTTAATGCATGCCCAAAATACAAGTAAGAATGAAAATTTACCCCCTCACTCATTTTGTCCCATTGTTATAAAAATCCAAAAAGGTAAAACAAAAATTCGGATCGGATATGATGACAGCAGATTTAAGACAGCAGAGATTAATATGTAGGTGGAGTTAACGCCTGTCAATCAAACGATCGGCCATACTAAGAATCGGTTGGGATCAATGACCAACCTAGAGTGACCCACTATTTTTATGCGTGGCCTAGCGTGACCCATTACCCACCTAGAGTGTCCACCATATTCATACTTGACCTAGAGTTCCCCACAATTTTTGTGCGTGGCCTAACCTGACCCATGACCCACCTAATTTTTATGTGTGGCCTAGGGTTTTTTTCTCGGTATTTAGTTTTGTTTTTTCGTATTTAGTGATTTTTCGTTACTTCGGGGTTTTCGAATTTTTTCGGTAATTAATATCAAAAAAAGTTTTTTGGGAGGTTTTTTTCCGGTACTTTTCAATTTTTTCAGCATATAGTCCAGTCGTTTAAAAGAACCATTAACACTTGTATATTTAAATTTATGTCCGGGCAAATTTTTTCTCATAGCACACTGCATGGCGTATGCCCGTCTTCAATTCCCGAATGGAGCCCAAAAGTAGGACATTATAAACATAATTTTATTCATTCATCAATCCCACGTTAATGAACCAACGTGGCTTCCTTGCGGGTGTGAGAAATATTCAGAGTCAATATTTAGAAGCGGATGTTCAAGGATTAATCCCGAAAGTGATTATTTAGGTGTTCCTAAATTCACATTGTATTAACCCGTGAAAAATAATTATTTCTGTACAAAAATAAATTAATTCTCTCACAAGATGTTGATACTTAATATACATGTATTATTGTTGATAATAATTGAACCATCTGTTGTTTTAAATGAATTTTCATGGCTTCGGGTTAGACGTTATAATTAAATGGTCTGTTAAGCATATTTTCTACTCCGCATATGTATTCCCTAACTGGGAAGACAGCGTATATAGAATATACGTATTTCCAGTTAAAATTGGCATATGTTTTAATCACGAAAAATGGATCTGCTCTTCTCGAGGATATTTTTGATTTTTTGTTTGGTGTGTATTTTAACTTATTTAAACTTTGTTTATGCAAGTGAGAAAATAGATTTAAAAAAAGAACCAGGCCATCTACAACCATTCGGAACCGGACGACCAATTCACCAAATTGAGGAAGTGTTAGGCTTCCCAACCCCAGAGGACTTTCTTGGAAAATATTGTCTGCCCCTAAAACCCGTAAAGTTTAAAGATGGAGCAAAACTGTCACCCGCATTCCATTTGTGGACCGATGAGTATTTTTTAAATCTTAATATCCCAGAAAAAAGCAAAGTTCTCCTGGAAACTGTGAAAAAAGAAAGCAGACAACAGAAAGTGGTTACCATGGATTTCAAAATGTTTGTGAAGAATTATATGAATACATCTTTTTATATGGTGGACATTGTCCCTATGTTTTTAACGTAAGTTAAACAAACTATCTCAAACTAACGATTCGTCATTTGCATTTTTCGCTAAAATATCAAATTTCTCACGGCTTAATATAGGATAATATACTAAACAGACAAAAAAAAACCAAAAAAAAAACCGTTAGTTTGATTTCAAAATCAGAGAGGCACTTTAATCAAATCATTCTAGAAAACGACTTACTAAATGGATCAAAGCAATTTTTTGTGAACAGTATGTTGACACATTGGTGATTAATTCATCACGATTCTAAGACATTACGAGGAGGTTTAGAGTCTGTACACAGTCTATACATCAGTATCTGGTGTGTCCACCGCAAGTGTCAATAACAGGAGCGCAGCGTCTGTACATGGAGTGGACCAAACGATTGATAAACGCCATTGGCACCTGGAACCACATTCTCAGAAAAACCGGCGCAATTCATCGGTACGACGTTATTAAGTCTTCTCTGAATTTCATCCCAAAGATGTTCAATCGGGTTTAAGTCCGGACTAAGGGTTGGCCAGTGCATAACGTTGACACCGTTCTGCTGTAGAAAGTCCCGAGTAACTCTGGCGGTGTGGTCACGGGCGTTGTCATGCTGGAAAACGTAGCTTGATCGATGTAGCGCACTGCTGTGATGCCGCCTCCTCCCCCTGGATCAAGATTTTGGAACATCACAGGATTCACTCTCTGGTTCAGCCCGATTCCACCCAAACCATTATGCTTGGACATCCCCATGAGTCTCGTTCCATGACACATTGGTCAGAAAAACGCTGGCCAAGTTGACGCCATATTCTGGCCCTGCCATCTGCAGTTGATACGAAACACCGACTCTCATCTGCGAAAAGAACAGTTCTCCATTGCCTGTGTCGCCATTTCTGGTGTTGTTGTAGACGTTCACGTCGATGGCGAAGGGTGAAGATCGGGCCATTTGCCATTCCCACTGAGATATTTTTTAGCACAGTTGATGAGTACTTTATTTTTCTGTCACACGTGTAGATTAAAAAGATGCACCTAAATGTTTTAACAAAATGTAACGAATCTTAGTCCCGCAATGACATAACTTGAGTGGACGTTAAACTCCACGCATTTTGAAGATGTCGCCATCCTGAAAAATTAATACCCTGCAATACGGGCCTTATTCTGTCAGATTATTTAATTTGTTTTAGTCCCGACCTAGTTTTACCCTGTAGTCTTCAGTGTCCAGTTTTATGGAATAACAAGATTGCTGATATTGTAAGTACCTATACATTAATAGAAATTCAACCTCGTGGGCTGTCTCTGACCACCCTCCCCCCACCTGAAGACCCTACACTCAAGCGAATTAATGAAATAAAATGGAACCATATGTTAGTTCCGAAATTACCTAGTATGTGTCGAGTGGACGGGAAACCTCATATAATAGCTTATTATCATTATCTTTAAATGGTTTAGGTATCAAAATGGCATTCATAGTCACTTCTCATATGTTAGTTCCGAAATTACCTAGTATGTGTTGAGTGGACGGGAAACCTCATATAATAGCTTATTATCATTATCTTATGGTTTACATATCAAAATGGCATTTATCATAGTCACTTCTCATCTTTTACACCCCTGTTTAATTTTCTCTTAAAGACAAACAAACTACAGTTCTTTTGATCCTTTTTTCAAATTTTCTAAGGGAATGTTTTGCTGGATTTCTTCATCCATTAATACCCTTTACACGAGGCTTGAGTTCAACCTATTAAAACCCTATTAACATGACGAAGGCCCTGCCTATACAACCCGCCTCATTACTGATGAATGTTGGATGGTACAGTGCTACAATGTTCGTTGAAACTGGTCATGGTCATCCCACCTGTTTGGGTTTTTTTTACGACGTACAATAACCGTCGTCAGGCCAATTTTTCAAAATATTCTCGGAGGTAGACTCCCGTCACCCCTAACCAAATATCATGCAACCATCATTAGGTATCGACACGTTTTGCTGGGTAGCGTGTTGTGATTTAACCTGATCGGTAGCGCCCCTCCCGAGACATGGTCCGGTACAAAGCGTGCAAACGTGATGTAGGCTAATCGGCCCACTCGGACTGATCAAGTCTACATTCACTGCATGTCATTTTTGCGGGTGAAGGACCATGAGACCCTTGCTCCACTAGACCCATTGTCGACCCGGGGCCTGTTTCACGAAGTTTTAACTAAGACAAAATCCAAATTTTAGTAATTTGATTGGATAATATTAGACTGATTTCAGTGCTTAGCCAATCAAAATTGAAGTATCTACTAAAATTTGGATTTTATCTTTAGTTAAAATTTCGAGAAACAGGGCCCAGGCCCTGACCCTATCATTGTATTATATTTGTTGATTTAGCTGATGTGGTTCAGTAGTGGTGGTACAAGTTCTGTCGTCCATTATGACGCTGTTGATAATATCAACTGTGTTTATCGTGGAAGTAAAGATATTGTAATTGTTGATCCTGTCAAATACGAGGGCATGGTATGTACAATCATTCTTATTGAGCAAACTTTTATAGATACTGAACTCGAAGGATTAATTGAAATGAAATGGGGTTTAAAGTCCTAGTTATTTTCCACGAAGTCGGCTATTGGTAAAGGTTCTTCGTGTACACGCCAATACTGGGTCTTATTTTGCGTTCAGACCGAACGACTAAAGGCTTTTACATTTTACGGATTATGAACTCAAATGATTAATAAAGTATCTCTTATTTATATGTGTCAGAAGACGTACAAAAAATAAAGTTATATGCTTTTTGAACTCACAAAAAACTTTAAATCGCATTAGCATAGCATTAGTAAGCGGCAAATCGAGTTGGCATAATAAAGTATTATTAGGAAAGCGAAATTCGCAATAGCGTAGTATTAGTAAACGGCAAATCGCATCTGCATGGTATTAGTAAACGGCAAATCGTATTGGCATAGTATTGGGAAGCAGCAATTCGCTCTAGCATTATAGCATAGTATTAAAGCACGACCATTCGCTTTAACGTCTAACATGATATTAATTATAGTAAATGTCAAATAGTTCTAGTATAGTGTTGGTGATCGGCAAACCATCCTAGCATAGTACTAGAAAGCATCAATCGCACTAACAAAGTACATGTATAATTAAGCAGCAAAATATCGCAAATACTTCTCTGGTGTTTCTCTTGCTCGAATTCCATACGTACATGGTTAAAAAGTAGTCTCATATCCCTAACACTGTCATTTTTAGAATCGATTTTGTTTTCGATTTTTATTATATTAAATTTTGTGGCCCCTTAATACAGGCACCCACTGACCTCCACGCCTCTCGCGATGGAACTTGTATACTACCCACCTGTCATCCAAATGTCTCGTTGGCACAAACATCCACATATTTCTATTTATCTTGGCACTTATCGACAGGCTGGAATGGAAGGATCCTATTGATTTCAGAGCTTCAATTAAATTGTGATCTGATTTTTGAAATTTTTAGGAGTTGCTTAGATGATAGTAATCCATCTCGATATTTCTATTGATATCAGAGCTTTACTCACCTTCAATTATGATATGATCCTTTTGAAATTTTTATGATTTGCCTAGATTATTATTATCTAAATATTTCTATTGTATCTAGACCCTTATTGATAGACCAGACGGATCCTATTCTGATATTGATGTCGATAAGTAAGTATTTATTTGTAATAAAAATTAAAAGTGGTATTGGGTAAAGCGTCTTACTTTCTGCACCATCCGAGATTATGAGTAAGCCTAGGCGTCGGATCACTAACCAGGAAGTCCCAGTTACGATCCTCGGAATTTTTCAGACTGGTTTCCACTCGGTCAGAGGTGTATGACTTTGGTCCAGGGCAACGAACAGAATCTGGTCGTTCGGATGGGACTAAAAGCTCAGACCCCGTGTGTACGTTGACATCGAGTAAATGGACACTTAGCAGTTGGGGGTGGGGGGGATTAGACTGGGCGTTGACGGAAATGCTGCTGTCCGAACAAATATTCACTGATAGCACGCGAACGACTAACTTTCTCGTTCCACCCCTGGATTGAATCCGAAACTCGATGGTTAGTGAACAAGTTTCATACTCACTAAACAACCGTGTCCACAGAGCATTACCTAATGTGTGTGTGTGTGTGTGGGGGGGGGGCGAATGGTTAGCACGTGCATGCTGTATCATAAAGCCTGTCATTGAGTCAACTGGCGTGGTTTCGAATCCCCCGTTGTACGTGACAAGGAGTAGGGTCGCCTGTCCAACCTCGTGGGTTTTCTCCGGGGCCTCCGGTTTCCTCCCACCGCTAAAGACCCCTACGCGCAAGCGAATTATTGAAATAAAATTAAACCATATGTTAGTCCCGAAATGACCTAGTTTGTGTCGAGTGGACGTTACTACACCCTCTCTCTCTCTCTCTCTCACACACACACACATTACCTAATGGCTAGGTCTATCAGTAAACAGTTTGTTATATGATTTTCAGGATGGATTATATAAAATATCCGACATTGGCTAAAGTAGAATATATACACGCCCATTTAGAACCTGGTGATTGTCTATATATACCGCATAAATGGTAAGTACGTTTGCACTTTGTTGTGTCACTATGTTATGATCACTGTCATTGGCTCACACCAATGTGACCCTAAAATTCGTCAAAAGAACCCCAAAAGAAGCCAAAAGAAGACTGTCAATTAGAAACACATCAAGTATGAGTGTATACGAATAATCTAACTATTACAGGATACATCAAGTCAGATTGTATAATAGTAATCTATATATTACAGGATACATCAAGTCAGATCATATAACAGTAGTCTAGCTGTCAATATTTGGTGGAATCATTACGATGCGTTGGATATTGACACTAGTCAGTGCAATAGAGAATGCGATGAAACTGTGACTTTAGACAAGGTTAAACTAGTAGGACTTGACAAATTGATGACATCCAATGGTTTTGTAAAGTAGGTTTATTTTATAATATTACTTATAATATGCTTATTGCTTCGGAATTCATTAAATTATTGGTGATGTGACAGGGACTACACATAGTATATACATTATCTATACAATATCACTGTCTGTACAATATATCACTGTCTTCATTAGCCCAGTTCGGAGCAAAACAGTAGGACGTTAAACCCCATTTCATTTCTATACACACCACCAGTTGACAAGTATCTATTGACGGTCAAATTAACACATGACTTAGAATCATAATCACCGAATTATCGTCTTGCATTGTTATAGATTATACATTTATGATTGGAATATTTTAGAGTGAATTTAAAATACCGTATCATGCCGCAGATCCATTTAATCTGCCTTTTGAAGTATATTGTTATTTTAGTATCAGCGTCTTCTTTTATAGACAAAATTTAGCGGAAGGTTTGATATCAACACCTGGTAATGTTATGACGTATGATAAATATATACAGTCCATTTTTGTGGTAAGTTTCTACTTTCATTGAACATCACTCACTCAGAAAGTTCACATAAGTCTAAGCTTAATCTACGAATATAGACCGTGACACGGCCCCTGGTTTATTTGTGAGATGAATTAAAAACAGTTACCGTGGTTTTCTTACTTTCTCTTTGACATGATATCTTCATCGTCTGATGATGTAAGTGTTATTTAAATGCAGAAAACCTCATTTTATTATATTTCATTTCATTTCACTGCACCTGAAGGGTAGTTTATTCTTCATTCATTTCAACGGACAATTTTACCGTCTATTAAATGTGTAAAGATGCCAACACAGAGAAAACACACGAGTTTAGGCAGCCTTTGTCAGTTTCAGATATCAGGGTTTTTTTCTTGTTTATTTTTAGATGCCAGATGAAGCAGACACAATTGTAAGTAGTTTGATTTTACATAGTTTACGTCCATGCCGTTAAAACCATTCCTGGGTATTTCCGGCATGGTTTCCCATTGTAAGTGATGGAGCAATAAGAGTCTACCAAGGAACAGCTATTAATCTTACGGATGGGACAAAAACCGACGACCCTTTGTACACGTTGACCGGGGGCGGGGGAGGGGGATGATTAACGCGTGCACTGTATCATACGGTCAGCCATTAAGTAAAATGGCGTGGTTTCGATTCCCCGCTTGTACGTGACAAGGAGTAGGATCGCCTGTCTAACTTCGTGGGTTTTCTCGGGATCCTCCCACTGCGAATTATTGAAATAGAATTGGAGCATATGTTAGTCCCGAAATGACTTAGTTTGTGTCGAGTGGACGTTAAACCCCATTCCCCCTCTCTCTCTCTCACACGGTGACGGGCGTGTAAATGACCCCTTGACAGTTGGAATCGAAATAACAGTGGACGCACCCCATTTGGGATAATTCGATTTTCGTTCGCTCGAGATAATCTACCTGTATTGGCGTCTTAAAATTGTAAGAATTTCTACAATCGGTTTCTTCTCGGAAATTTTTTTATTGGTGCAAAATTGGTAACGCGCAAGCCACCCGAAAACACAACCGCATGTGTTATTAATGGTGTGGATACCTTGCTGCATGAGCTCGGACATACAATTTGATGGTGGTTATATACTTTATTTGATCGCATTTATTCTGCCGACCAGCATTTCAAGGTTTAAAACTTAATAATTAACAGGTTAATGATTCGAAATATTATATTGATATTACACGCCCAAAGTTTTAAACAGGAAGGCTCCAACTTGATACAATCTGCCTCCCCATACACCCTAGTGTCTCACCACATATACATTTATACAGTGCTATTCTACACTCATGAAACATCATACTTGACATGCCCGAACTGTCATTAATTGGGCGACAAAGAATATCGTATATTATTTCTAGATTCTAAATGAAATGAAATGGGTTTTAACATCCTACTTTCCTGAACCAATCGGGCTAATGAAGGCAGACACGCGTCATGTATTAAGCTATCCGGTCGGAATAAGTACACGGACATAGGTGTTTCCGCCTCTTCGAGGTTTTTTTATACGTGCACGCCAACGTGTACACGTCGGTTTTGCGTCCAATCTGCACGACTAGACCTGCACCACTGACAAGTAGAACCAGATTTGAAAATCCAGAGGAATTTGTGTCGCCAACAATGGGATGGAACGATTTCTCGGCCTATATACATCGGGATCGAATCAGGTACATTTTGGTTAGTGAGAAATACCGAGCGAGCCCTTTAGACTCAGGACGTGTCGATTGTGAGATCTAGGACTGATTTAACCATAAAGTTGTATTTCTCAGAATCAACTAATTATATAATGTAAAAATGAACATCTTCCATATTCCTCGTTGTCAGAATCTACAGATTAATTTTCGGAAATTTAATTTATTTAGGAATTTATGAATAAGGATACTGTTAAAAAGGTAAGTTTGCAATTTTTTTAAAGTTAAAGGGTGCATGGCTCTATTTTTTGGAACCTTGAAATAGACAAAAATGTTTCTAAAAGTACATAATTATTAATGTAATATGAATGTATGTAAAGTCATTTAAATTCAATTTTGGAAAATAATATTGTAATTTCTAATCAATTATGTTCGGTGAAATACATGAACAGTTCAAATTGAACGGCGGTCGTTGTGCCTGCTTAGTGCATTCTACACGTTTTTTAAATTATTTTAAATTCGTTCAGCGCGGGATAATAAAAGAAAGATAACATTGATGTGTTTTCACCACTAAAGTACCATGCAGTTTTATTGCCAATGACAATGTATGAATTATTGAATAGGTGTAACGAAGATATACTATCAACAAATGATTTTTTTTCTTCTGTCATGTTTTAAACATACTATATTATGGTCATCTTGAAAACCTTCACATTTCTCAAAGACAACGTTTTAAATTATTTGAAACCAAAATAACATTTGTTTACAGCTATAGCAAGGTAAACATGGGCACTATATGAAAGTACCGCCACTTTATTCACTCTTTACTCTTATCGAGAGGGTTGTACAGGGGCGGATTGTGCTCTCCCCCGATAAATTTTTGAAAAATGAACCCCAAATATGCGATTTGGTGGCATATCTGATTATAACCACTGTCAAATAATATATCTCATAAATCGATTAATTTAGGCCAAAACCACGACCTGCAAGTAATTTACAACCATCAACCTGTGAAATTATCATATCGTCATATTATTAATTAACGTATTATCATTGTATCGTCAATAGTCAAGAGTCAAGAGAATTTAACTGGTTAAAAAATGGGACTAGTTGAGAAAATTTTGACCATTTGATTAACCAGTTAGGAATATTGAATAAGTAGGAATATTTTCATTGAAAAATGTCCCGTTTTTGTTGCCGGGAGCGCTAGTTGATTCCTCCTGTGATGGAAGGCCACGAGACACATTGGTACAGAGTGACGAAAGTGAAATTCATGAAGGCTGCTTTTTGAATTTTGGATTTGTTGTTCCAGGTAAATTATTTTACCTTGACTCCGAACTTGAACCCTGGGGTTGTATATATTGTTTTCGAACTTAATTTATCGGAAGTTACAAACATTTGACACTGCCATTTTTAGCATTTCTCATGTTCATGTATGAATAAAGGTTGTCGATTGGTTCTTGGATAATAAGAGTCTCGGATAATTGTACTTATATTTTATTTTACAAGTTCCTGGATTTAGTAGATCAAGATATGGATAAAATGATATCTGTGCATGACGTCACAACACTTACATCAGCTGTAAGTATATTTCAACTATAAAAGAGGTGGGCTGAGAAGGAAACTGCGAATTATGGTTGGCCCAGAGCCCGTAAATACGTTAATGTTTTCACTCTTAGAAACCATCATTTGACGTCAGCTTTTCAATCATTTCCCCAGTCCGAGGGGCAGACCCCCTGCCGTGTTGGGACCCCATTTTAAAATAAAGGAGTTTTCGATCATTTAGACCCCCCCCCCCCAAAAAAAAAACAACAAAAAAAACCCAAAAAAACAAAATATTTTTCTGTAGCTCAAAAATTATTTCTTGGATACATCCAGAAGTTGTTTGGCAGACATTAATTGGGTCATTTGTATTAATTATAACTATTAATTTGCTTTAAATTAAATTGCAAACCATTTAGAACAAGTTAAACTAGGTCTAGAACAACCCCACGGTTTAATTTCTAGCGATATTCGTGAACGGCACAAGAAGAGAAGAGAACGCAAGCGGCAATGTATATTTTTTAACTATTCTAGGTGCAAATCACTTATCTGTACTATTATTTGTGACTGTCGTTTGTTTGTTTGTTTGTCTGTCCATGTTGGCGACTACACTAGAGCTGTTCCGGGCAGAAATTTGGTGTATTGGGGTAACTCAGCCAGGGGAGTAACATATTGACCTGGTGTCGATCGATGTACTACCACCCCCGGGCAAAGCCGGTTTTATATGAATAAAAGAGTGTTTTATATTTACTAAAGACGATATTTTTGTTTACTAGAAATTGGCGGAGGTGTCTGCTATTCTACAAAAGATGGGTGATATACATCAAGAATATGGCGATGAAGAAGGAGAGGGTGGAGACAAGCATCAAGATGACCTTGTAGATGAAGGTCAAATGAAGGATGGATTGAGAGAAGACAAGTCAGAACGTAATGAATTATAATATTGTGTATATTTAAAAATATCCCTTTTATTTCTTGCCCTAATATTGTGGCAATTTCAAGATGTTTATGGATATATTATAATAAAACGAGGTAGCTTGAAAATTACTTTTAAAATTTATATTTTAAGTTAATAATTGTTTATGAAGACAAATCAAACATCTTTGTGACTCTGAATATTTTTGGTTCCTTTGGGAAAGTGTAGATTTTGCATTCTTTATACCAATTTTTATAGGAGGTTAAGATTGGTAAAAAGAAGTTCACTATGTCATGTTCAATGATTTTCTCCAATAAGTTAAGCGGTGGACACACTAGGCGAATGATTCGGCCGAATCAATCGGCGTCGAAATTCGCCTAGTGTGTCCACTGTTATTCGGCCGAATGATTCGCCCGAATCAAACATGTTTGATATATTCGGCCGAATTATATTCGCCTGGAGTGTCCGCTTCGCCGAAGCATTCGGCCGAATATAGAATTCATTAGCCAATCACCACTCATATCGAGAAATCACGTGAAAGATTGAAGACATAGACGCCGCCATGTTTAATCATGTGAAGTGAAAGGTGATGCAATTGACAGGTTGAATCGGGCGAAGCATTCGGCTAGTGTGTCCACCCATTCGGCCGGTAAAATACGGCGCCGATTGATTCGGCCGAACGATTCGGATAATGTGTCCACTGCTTTACATCTCGTGACTAGAAATCTTACTAACCTATCATATTGGACCTGTACGAAACCTGTTTAATATTTTTCAGATATTGATTTTCAATAATATTAATGAAATTAGTACACCAGTTTTATAGACAGTTATCAATTTTGTGTGGCTGAGAGAACAAAATAGCTTTTTGACCTTCCAAATCTAGCAACTTATGCTTAAAATTTAAAATCCATTCTAAGGTTATTAAGGGGGTGGTTAAGACACCTAAAATAGGATGTGGTAGCCTGTGGATGGCTGTTAGGTGGTCTTCAAGACATTTACAACAGCTTAAATGTCTATTTTGAAATGACACTGAATAACAAAATATGGATCGAAATCCAAAATACTGACTGAATTTAGGAGCTTGGAAAATTTGAAGGAGGTATTTTAATCAGCACTGGCTATAGCTACAGGTTAAACAAAACAGAATGGGAAATAAAACAAACTCTTACTTAGATGCCTAGGTATATACACTACAATCAATAAATCTACTAATTTGTAAAACATCTTTGATCATAGGCGTACGGGGAAATTTTTGACTGGGGGGGGGGGGCAGTGGTGGTTGGTGCCCCAAAAATGTAGTTAGGTTCTTAGTATGTTACATAATAATAATAATAATAATATCTCCTTTGCGATGAATAAGTTCTTAATTTCTAAATCATCAATAAAAGAGAACTAAATTTTATTTACTTGTAATATACACAACTAAAAAAGTTGTTTATGTAACTGTAACTCAGGGCTTACTGTACTCCAAACAATAGAGGGTTCGAGTCGTTAAGATTTCTATTTAATTGCCTAACTATAGACACTCTGAATTTAAATTCGCTGTTAAATTGGACACATTCAAGAACACAATATTTTTTTATACAACTTTTACAAAGTACAATTGTGTGCCCAAATTTTCCCAGCATTTGGTGTCCAAAATGGGGGGGCGCAGCTCGTACGCCTATGTCTTTGATCTAGTTCACCAAGTCCATATAATCAAACTATTTCTAATTTTGATCATTAATTTAAAGGAACTACTTTTAAATATTTTTGTATGTAATACCATCACAATCGTAATTTAGATGAAAGTCTAAAGGATGATATACAAAAGAAGAAATACAGCTTGGATTAAATGTAACTACGAGAAAGCAAATCATTGAAAAGAAATTGAATGATATGTTAGTCCAGAAATGACCTAGTTTGTGTCGAGTGGACGTTAAACCCCATTTACCTCCCTCTTAGAAATGAAATAAAATAGGATTTAACATCTTAGTTTTCTGCATCAACTAGTCTTATCAAGAAGGGTATATAACCTTTTTTTCTAAATTTTATCAATCTCATCCTAAACCTTTTCACATACATTGTACACAATATTTCTACATTGTATAAACATTTTTCTACATTTCATAAACATTTTTCTACATTTCATAAACATTATTATACACAGCATAATATCATTTTCTACATATTTATTGTATTGGTACATTCAACAAAAACATGCTATCACACAAAACAATAAAAATACATTCTATCATACAAAACATTAAAAAAACAGGCTATCCCACAAAACAATAAAAAGACATTCTATCATACAAAATATTAAAAAAACAGGCTATCATACAAAACAATAAAAAAACAATATCATTGCTATTAACTGTCAAGTGAGTTGAAGTGACATTAAAGGGACAATCCCGATAATATTTTGGAGAATAAAATTGCTTAATTTTGTGTTAAAATCCCTTTAAATCCCCTACCTAAGGGCCGAGGAACTAACTCAATATATGTGATACGTTTTCAAACTACTTAAACATGTCAGTCTTAATCTGGAAATGGAGACCGGTGTCCCAAGCTGTATTATGCGTTGTCTTGATAAACCAGACTTTTATTTTATAAAAATAATGTGTAGGTGAAATTTACCTTTCTTTATCAAGTACAGCACATTGGTCATTCACTGTATAGACCTCTAAAGGAACGGGAATCGATTACCAGGTCACCCAACGAAAACATTGATCCGAAATCTTAAAAGGGTTACGTGTCCGGATAAGCAGTTTTGACGTTCACGTCCAAACGACTCAATATTTTGAGCTGAAATTTTGGGACAAGGTAAATACACCATCCCTCTATATTTTGGCGCGTAAATTTTATACTTACTCAGACTTTATTTTTGAGACGCTGTTCAAATCAGGATAGTCCCTTTAACATACATTTTTACGTTATGTACACATATTATATCGTGCACATAAGGTTGCAGCGGTGACTGTGATACTAAATCCGAGGTTAATGTCAATATCCACATAATAACAAATATATATATAGTTAATTATAGTATTTATTGACAACATACATAGATTAGAATGAGAGCCTGGGCAACTGACCAGCATGCCTATGCTTTAAGACAACCCTGCTACATTAACCTTTTCTCATACAATTGTTTTCTACATTTTATAAACTTCTTTACTTTAGCTCGTAAAAGTGTGACATGCAATAATAAAAAAGATACAAACTGGCTGTATATCTTCAGAAATAGATTTCTGAATAAATACATGTCATCCGGTTCCAGACATTTTGATATTGTCAGTCTTGTACACACTGCACTATTGTTTACAAATTCCAGCAAACAGAACTTTTACATCAATAGAAGGGAAAATATCAATTTTAACTAATTTTTTTTTACTCAAATTTGCCAAAATGATGCTTGGAAGTTAAAGCTTCATCATATTAAGAGTATCTGACATGATTTGCCTGACATTAATCATTTTCAAACTTTGTTTTTAACTGAGAATTTTCTTAGTTTCTGGCATTCTGTATATCACTTCTTAATTTTGCCATATAAAACAGTAACAAACAGTTTTTACTTTAAATTAATTCAACATCAAATGGAGATTTCCAAACTCGAAGAATTACTTTGGATTTATCTTTCTGTGATTTTTCAGACCATATTTTCAATACTTTGACACGTTTAACTTTTGCTTTACCATCACTTTTCTCGGTTATCACATCAACAAAATCTCCAGCTTTCATCTGCAATATTTACAAATATGTGTGCAGATTTAGATATATATCGTTTTGTTTGTTCCGCGATCCCCATAACAAAAAGAGTATAAATTTGTTTATCTCCTCAAAAAAATTCAAACAATCCTGACATTGCAAAGGAAAGGAAATGGAATTGGGGCTTTGTCAACACAATAATTCCTTCTGTCATTTTGAGACTAACATAAGACCAATTTTATTTCTGTACTTATATGAGTAATGTAAATTTGCCAGAACATGTTAAAGTTCTTCCAATTACAAATGACTATGGATCTTTTATGTGCACAACCAATTTGTACACAGGACCACATTATTTTAGTCGAATTTGCAATGACTAGACAGATCTTCCTTTTCAATCTCACAGATGCCAAGTTGGAAATGAAATGAAATGAAATAGGGTTTAACATCCTACTGTTCTGCTCCGAGTGGATTAAGGAAGACAGGATGGCAAGTTGGACAGGGCTTGAAAAATCCTGAAGATTCTTCCATGGCTAAAACATCCTGATTTTGAGTCAATGTCTTAACTATCTGATAATGTAATGCCATGGACCAGAAATGTCCCGGTCCCCGAGAGATTCTAGTTTAGATTTTAAAATATGAAGACCATTCTCTGAGATCTTATTTGGTCCACAAATAGCGACCGATTTTAACTCCTAGCTGTCAAATCTTAGTACCACACTGCACAATACTGATTTCTCCTGGGCCCCCATTACTTTCAAGGGGGAAAATCATTAAAAGTACATTTATTTATTTGTTTGATTATTTAAATCCAGCTCATATATCAACTCCTTTTTGTATGGAAATAAATATATTTAATTTAATCTGATATAAGCTTATTTACCCGTTTACTTTTCTTTAAAAGTTTTTCGTTGTTTAAACGGAGTGAACTTGACAGAAAGATTTCATCAACTCGACTGAAACAGACATAGTGTAATTAATCTAAAAATAGAATTCTGATCCCAACATCAATGAATGGAATGGCAATTAATGACTCATCAACACAGTACCTAGGTGATTTTGAGACTAACACCTCCTACCCTTATATGAATTTAAACTGATAATGAGCATGATAATGTGTATATAGCTGGAGTTCACTTTTTTTGTCCCATTGAAAATATGAATTTAAACTGCCAAGAGGGTATTTTATGAGCATGATGTATATAGGTGGAGTTCACATTTTTGTCCCATTGAAAATAAACGGGCATTTTTCTTGTCAGACCCGACTGTAAGCATTACACTAGTCTGACAAGGCTGAATCAGACTTAAAATATCATGAAGGTTCTTCTTGCTCCAAGCTGGGATTAGAACCTGGGAAATTTTAGTTGAGAGGTCAGTCAAGCTGGGATTCCAGCCTGGGAGATTTTATGTGAGAGGCCAGTGCTGCTTTACCACCACAGCCCATGATATTGTTAATCCCTGGCTGAGCTGAAGTGCTAGGCTCATGCAGTAATGTATATCTGAGATGTTCTACCAATTTTATATGTCAACAACAGTAGCCAAATAGGTGATATTTAGTGCTGCAATAAGTAGTAGATAATATTATTAAGCAAAAATAAAGTTACTGGTACAATAAATATGATTCCTATTAAAATACATGTTAAGAGCACAAGCAAAATTTCATGTTGTCATTCATGTCATAATGAAAGAAAGTAAGAATATATTTCTACTATCTATTTGCTTTATTGTAAAAATAGGTATAGCATTTCAAAAGTATCAGGTGTGAAAAGACATGAAATGGGGTTTAATGATTAACGTCCTACACCAACCAGGATAATGAAGACAAAGGTATTAGTTGTAAATAGGCCTATAGGCTTACTTTCTAGAAATATCTAAACCAGAACTAACAACTGCATCTGCTCTAAGAGATTGTAGGTGAACAGTTACTTGTTTATAATTCAATGGCGCATCTGCATCATCCTCAATATCTAATTCATCCTCTGAATCGGACTAAAATAAGAAATGAACAATTAGGAAAATAGAACATGAAATAAATGATGTTAAAAGTTGCACTGGGCTATGGTTAGATGTTGGTGTATTATTTACTTGGTTAAAGAAAGGACACATTTTCTGCATCCATAACTGTAGTCAATTTACTAGAAACCAAACATCACAACATGACAATTGGACAAAGCAAAAATACAGGCTATAATTATAGAAAAAACCTATCAGATCCAATGAATCGATACAGTGGTTTGGTCATAAATGTCAACTGTGGCTACTGCAGCCCCAAAGAAATTTTTAATTTTACTTTGAATAATACAGTGTCAACTAAAAATAAAATATTCAAGCCTTGATCTTCTTTAGAGTAACAGTAAGGTCTTTTGAATGATAGTATTAGTAATAGTTCCTGATATCTCCTTCAAAACCAACTACATAATTTCTGCGAATCCTAAACTGAAAGTACGTGACAAGGAGTAGGGTTGCCTGTCCAACCTCGTGGGTTTTCTCCGGGTCCTCTGGTTTCCTCCCACTGCAGCTAAAGACCCGTACGCGCAAGCGAATTATTGAAATAAAATTAAAAACCATATGTTAGTCCCGAAATGACCTAGTCTGTGTGGAATAGATGTTAAACTCCATTTCTCTCTATCTCTCCTTAACTCAAAGTACATCCCTAACAGACTGAAACTGTTATCCCTTAGAAGTTAGATATGTTAATAGTAATAGCTTTCCTAATTATATGACCATTTACTCATTTGTGCCGACGCCACAGCTGTATGTGACAGGGCGGTTTCAGACTGTCTAAGGATAGTTATGGCACTTCATGGCGATCTTCATGTAAGTGCTAAAAGGGTAAAATAAATTATTGAGTACTGTACCAGATCAGATGTAACCTATATTGTGATGTAGCCCTACTTGAGGCCTAATTCTTTGCTAACAACTTAAACCAAAATGATTTGGAGTTTTCTTTGGCTGACAATTTAAGCTTTTTGCCAATGAAACAGCAGCATTATTAAAACATTTTATTGTTTAAATTTTCACAAAGAATAAGGTCTAGGGCCTGGTATTGTGATGAATGAAAGCAAACCTCATCTGAATCAGATTCTTCTTCATCTTCAACTTTACTTTGATTTCCGTGTCTTTTTTTAAATCTTTTTTGTATCCAGACATTTTGTTCTAATTTCCTTGAATTGCTTAATACACAAGACTGAGTTCTCTGCAAATTCATTTGATTGCCAAAAAGATTTGAAGTCACATCAAAAGAATTTGAAAAAGAGTTATACTTTCTTAATTGAAATAATTTATGCCCTAGAAGTGTCACACAATTTTTCCCTCCTATTGTATAACGACAAACAGATAAGTAATTTGATCTTCCGATCTCTAATTTTATTGACAAGTTTGAAAAATTTCTTGAGGATTTGTTCAAATTATTCCCATCGACAAGAGAACGCCTATTCAATATTAATTGTCCGGCTGCTTCGGGGAAGTTTCGGCGCATCAGTGTTAGGGCACACTGGTTTGTCAGACATCTAAATATAGTACATCGGCTACCAGAACAATTCATCTTTAGAATTAACAGTAATAATCTGTATAATATTAATACGGCTTGCAATAAATCGCTCTAAAGCAGACGAGAAGTCAAATTCGGATAGTTTGGGTGGCCATGTTGCCATGAAACGGAAGTGGATATTGTTACGTCTAATATTTGGCCTTGGACATAACTACATGTCACTTTTCTCTGTCCCGTAGAAATGGTTCCACTACTGATGTCTTACTCTGCGTCCACAGTAGTGGATCGTTCTAAGGACTTTCCTTGAGCAAGTTTTTTTTAGTCAAATGACTACAAAAAATTTACTGGCCTACAGTTCCTCTAATTTCCACATAAACTGACCCCAAACTGTACTGTGCATAACTTAACTGAAATGAAATGGGGTTTAACGTCCTACTGTTCTGCTCCGACTGAGCTAACCAAGACGGGCATACGCCATACAGTGTGCTATGAAGGAAATTTTGCCCGGCCAGCGACACTATAGCCTACTCTTATATCGAATTTCAAATGCCAAGGGATCTTTTACGTGCACGCCAATGTATACACAGGACCTCGGTTTTTCGTCACACTCGAACGACTAGACAACTGTCCTTGTCAGACCCTCCGTTCTGTACCACTGACAAGGGGAAACCACGTCGGAAAATCCCGATGAACTTTCTAGGCCAATGCTGGGATCGAACACGCGACATCCAGGCTAGCGAGCTATCGTCTTACCCATATATGGCTCCCACATATCTTAAAATATAATAAAGGTGGAGCCTTACCTCATAATTATATGATTTAATAACCCAACTGCTACTCGAAATTTCTCTCCTACCCAACTTAAAATATCCGCCCAGCCAGAAATACCATGCGCACTCCGTCTCACATGGTCATATGTCATTTTCCATATATGGATTTCATGTCCATATGACCTTTAAGTGTAGTACCTTGCTTGCTACTTGTGAATAATTTGCCACAGTTGCAGCATTCTCATCCATTTTGGAAAAAGTGTAATTTTAGTTTCGATTTCAAAGACGAAAGACACGTGATTCCTGTCGTTGATTGCAGTGACTTCCGATATTCTCTCGTAGTAGTCTAGCGTAGTAACACTTCCTTATAAGGGAAGCAATGAGCGGAGTTAACTCGAAACGATGTTTGGAGAGATTTCACCTAGGTGGTGTCATGGCGTCTGGTACATCATAAGAAATATATCGCTTCGAAAATGTAGAACGCATTACCACCACAACGACAAACTGTTCGGTAACTATTTTAGTGGTCCAGACTTAATACAATTATTTATTTCAATACAAACTTTAATGATATGTGTTGGAAATTGTGTGTTTGAACCTATTTTTATTTGCGCAAAGCCTCTAAGACTATATTAATTGTAGAAGTGAACACAGTTTCACCGCTACAATATTATGGCTATCTGCCCTGGTGTGGTTCATCCGCCGGGTTTAGCTCGTGTATTTGTGCAGATGTATGTCAAAATGCAGTCTTATGATAAAATGCCTTTTATATTGGCGAATGACGTATTCGTACTCTTACCAAGAAAATAGCAGTGTGCTATTTGCCCGGACCTACGGCCTACGTTTATTTGGAATTATACAACTCTCGAGGGTTCTTATAAGGGCATATAGGCTACGTACGGGACCTGAATGACAAGAAGATTTACCAATTGCCAGACGCTGATCCGTCCACAACCCTGGCAAGTGGAAACCACGCCGTAAAATCCCGAGGAACTTTCTCGGCCAACACCGAGAGCGAACCCGAGACCTGGTTACGGAGCTTGCGTCTTAAGACTGAGCCACCATGGCTTCCCATACACAAAGCAAGGAGATAATTTGCTAATATATTTGATCAAAAAAGACAACCCAAACCCAACTATCATGCGCTCTTTATTTATTCAGATAAAATCAAATCAAGGAATTGTTAAGCATACATAAATGAAAGCTAAACATCTTAGAACGTTTAATATGCAATTAAATTTATTGACTCCGCGCTTACATTTACCCACGTGACCCTCGATTCACCCAATCACATACCCAGAACAGAATGTCCCTTTGAATTCTTGACAAAAATTAATATGATTAGAATGAATTTCTTATTTATGCCATATGACGTTATACAAATACACATTTTTAATAAGCTAAATTATTAATATTTCATAGACACACAGATTTTACATCTTACGCAGTATTATAAGTTTGGATGTTATCAAGGCAAGTAAATTCCGGCTATTTATTTATTCATTGTTTTTTTTACCGTTACATATTAATACTTCCTCCGATACAATTATCGAAGACCAAGAAATTTGGCACCAATGTAAAATCCAACTGCTGCTAGAGTACCCAATACCATATTGGCCTGGAAAAACATATTAATCAATAAAGAAGAAAAACAATGGTATTCGCTGGGAACTTTGTGAAGAGAACATAAAAATGACACATGGATCACTCACAAAATATATCAAAGATATCCAATTAGTTATAATGGTTATTTAAAGATTTAAATAATCTGATTATGGACAACTTAATGGAAGTAGGTGTTATTTTTTTTTTTTTTTTTTTGCCTTTTCCATTCTGACTGCAGTGTGAATGTAGTGGAGTAAATAACGAAAAATAAAAACTTTAAAACAGCTAAATGTCGGCACAGTTTTAAAATATTGTACCCCAACTTCAGACAAGACCCAATTAGACTGAAGGATAAGAATATCCTAAGAATAAGAATATGAAAGTTGTGGTTGACTAACCTGGAAACTGTCCTCGATGTCATAACGACACCAATTTGCAAAATGTTCACAGTTTTTAAAGATGACGTGGTAATCAGTATTATAACCAAGCCTTGACATCGCCCTGTTCACAATTGTCTTTCTATCCAATGGTCTGTAAAATAAATTAGTTTCTGGTGTATTTATTAGTGAGTAAAGGCACTGACTTGCTAACTTGGAGATCCCTGGTTTGATCTCGGTGTTGGCCGAGAAAACACCTCGAGATATTCCGGCATGGTTTTCCCTTGTCGGTGGCACAGGGCGGAATGGCCAAGGCCTGACAAGGAACGGTGTCTAGTCATTCGGATGGTATGAAACAAACATTAGTCTGCACGTAAAAGAAGCCTTCAACGTTGGAATTGGAAATAAAAGTAATCCGTTGCGCCGCTGCCAGGGCAAAATGTAAATTAAGTTGCGTCTGGAGTAGCCCGGATGGAGCAGAAAAGTATGACGTTAAACTCCATTTTACCCCATGCACTGCTTCAAACAAATGCGCCCAAACAAATTGTTGAAATCAAAATATAAACTATATAAACTTTCTCAAAAATGTCGTGAAGATCTACACATTTATAACACAAATCAACGTTTTACCTGAAGTTCCCACCATCTTTGTTGTGTTTAGAAGCCTTTGATTTATTTGCTACGTTCCAGAAATTCTCTATTTTAACAGAAGTCATGCCCTGTGCAGTACCGAATAGTTCATTTTGCGACTCCCCCGTTAGATGAACTATATCTGTTTTACCTAAAATTATAAACAGGCAAAAATATCAATAAAAAAAATCCCCCAATCGGATAACCATCGGCATGTGCGTAGCGTCCATTGCGTAAAGTACTCGCCCCAAACAATTTAACGTGTCAATTTTAATGCAGAAATCTCCAAAATGTATCGGTAATTAAAACGTGCCTTTATTATGTATCTCAAATTCGTACAAGGCGTATTACTTTCAGTCCATTGAGTATATTAAGATGATGAGATTGGCAGGGGCGGATCTAGGAATTTTAAAAAGGGGGGGGGGGGCGCCGAAAAATGAGGGCACTGACCGCGGAGACGGGGCACGCCGCTGAGAAGGGGGGGGGGACAAGAAAATTATCCGTCATTTCCTTGCATCTGTAGCCATTCCAAAAGCTATTTGGCTGATAATTTCGTCTAAGTAAACGTTCGGAAATCGTTGAAAAAGAGCCTGAAAATCGAGCAAAAAAGCCAGTTCAACATGCGAATCGAGGCATTATGATGGGAAAAAAGACGAATCTATTCCCTAGACACTTCACTATTTAAGCCTTGTAACTTGTACTGTGTACTGTCCACACATGAAACAATGCTACATCAAGTTGCATTCATGCGCGTCGGTGATGGGCATGAGTGTATACGCCGCCGATTCCACAAGATGCTATCATTGATGTCTGTCTATAGTCACTCTATAGGATTAGGGCACCGTCAGCTAAACAACAAGAATTCGTTTGAAAGTGGAAGCATTAATTAGACCAGACTGGTGTGTTTGAGTCGATGGTTTGAGTCATTTATTGGGATCCCTGCAACGGATTGGGAACGGACATATTTGGGTCTGAGAAAAGGCATTTTCAGCAGTAAAAAAGGGCACTGTCGAAAATTAGGGCGAGAGGCGCCCCCCCCCCCCCTGGATCCGCCTCTGATTGGTTCCAGAAGCTAACGCTTAATGCTTAATGACATACGGGGCGTCAATGTGATGAGTCGGGAATAAGGCACTATAGGCCGACAGATAAGCTAGCAGAAGTTGGGAAATGGCATTTCAGTAAGTAGTGTGGCAAATGCCCCCACTGCTGAGAAATATGCCCCATTGCTATGTGAAAATGGATAAAGAAGCAGCTATGCAAAACCGATGAATACTATTTGAGTGATGGAAAGTATAAGTAAATGTTACACTTGTCACACAAAACACATCCCAAACTCCACTATTGTTTGCCGAAATTCAAAAGTTTTCTCGCGCCGGGGGAGACAATCTTAGTGCTTCAGATCCCCAAATAAATACCTGCGGGATGGGGATGTGGGGCTTTACATGCCTTTACGCCCATGCCCAGGCAGTACTTCATAAAATTCAATTTGTGCTGTCTTAAATAATTTCTAGACCTATTTCAATTTCATCTCATGAAATCTCAAAAAGTATATGATACTAACCAATCTTTTGATATTATCACGAAGTTGGCGATGACCACCTTTAAGGCAGTACCATATCAAGTTACATAGTCCCTTTTACAACTTACCAACATAAACACCATAATGTGAAAACAACCCTCTCTCGAATTTCACAATATCCCCTTCTTCTAATTGGTCTAAAACCCGTATATTGTGTAATCCAAGTTCTGTCGACATGTCGTATTTTCAGAATATACTAATTCAAATACAGAGTTGACACCCTTTCAAACGAACGGACCACCTAATATCTACTTTCACTTTAGCCAATTCTTTGTAATTTATTTTATCAAAGTTCCAAATTCTTATGATATCGCTCAATGGTGATAACATACTTAATGTTATCTGTAATAATTTGTCGACAAATGTGCTCTTTTTTTAAAAAAAATAGATACTGTAATCAAACACAAAAACAAAACAATCATCAATAATGTTTTATATTCGAGTTAAACTCCTTAATATAAACATATAAATAGGGACCGATATGCGGCACCAGTCCGTATATACAATTTTGTACGGGTAAGATTGAATGGATGAGAGGAGACTAATTCAGACGTTTGAAGGCTGACATGATTTATCTGAATCCAAAGTAGTCCTTGCTGGTGTTTCACGGCTTCTTCTTCTCGGAGCATTTTTTATTTAGTTTACTACGGCATGAATCTGATTCTAATTAACCTAGCGTGATCTAAATGTACGCGTTACTGTCCTAAATGATCTGTAAATGTTAAACATATGAGAAAACCCGTGGTTGGTGTCCATCAACCAACTGAAAGCTCAAAACTGTCGAGCCAAACTACGGGAATACCAGTTACGTCATGATACAGCAGGCTACTAATTTGTTATGATGTTATTTATTCCTTTAACATTGCAGATTGTACTTGAATTGACGGAACCTTGGACTTTTTTCGAAGAGCGTCGCCCCCTTGACCAAGATGAATTAGAGGTGACTATCGTTTGGGGTCCAGTTCCTGGTCCAAATAATATGATACAATTTTTTTGGATTTGACCTACACGAATGATCGTTTATTATACAAAAGTAAAGGAATAATTTTATTTAAAATAATATAATTTACATCAAGATTTTATTATGTCGGTAAAAACAAAATAAAAACAATTATCGAGGTCCAAGGAAATTGGTATCAATATAGTATCCAATGTTAGCTATAGCTTCTGCTATAAAACCAGCAGATTCAAACTGAAAAAAAAGAAGACGAAAAAAACTCAATGGTTTGGACTTTTGCGACTAAGAATTTGATGGAGGAAATAACAGGACAGGAGGTTTGATATGATATGAAGGCCATTTTGCCATACTCTTATTTTGAAATCCAATTGAATGTTGCAATTGACCCACCTGAGAGCCTACAGCCGTTCCATAACGACACCAATTAGTAAATTGTTTATTGTGGAGGCGGTAATCGAATCCCGAATCAATTGCTGACATTGCCCTTTCCACAACTGTCTGACTATCCAACGGTCTGTAAAGTAAATAGCCAAGTAAATTATGGGAATAGCATAATACTTGCTGTCATATCGAGAGAAAAAGTAAACGCCTTACTGAATAGGATGGTAAATGTCCAATACATTGAAATGAAATGGGGATTATATAGTTTCCCACATCTCCGCATTAACTGAGCAAAGGAATATGCGCGTGCTATGGAGAAATTTGCCTTTTCAAATAGCGACGCCTACTTTTTATCGAATTCCAACTGCCAAGGGTTCTTTTACATGCACGTCAAAATGTACATGGAATTAGACGCATTTTCCTTGCCAGCCTCCCCCCCCCCCCGCTCTGCAACACTGACAGAGGGAAACCAGTTTAGAAGTCCCTAGGGACTTTCTAGGCTAATTCCGGAATTGAACTAGTGACCTCCAGCTTAGAGAGCTTACGTCATATTCACCGACCCACAACTATACAATGGGCGTTTTACCTTAGTTTTTCACCATCACTGTTTTGTTTATAAGCTTTTGATGTTCCGGCGACAATCCAAAAGTTTTCTTTTTTCGCAATACCAAAGCATGACGGGGCAATATCGAAGAGTGGTTCTCCGTGGGACAAGGGCCTTACATGAACGATGTCTGAATGACCTGAAATTATAAACATCGGCAACGAATTAAACAGATCAAGAAATAAACGCCTATTAGCAATCCCGTCATCCAGCTACATTAGCCATGGCCATATAATTATGTCCATGAACGTACGCGTTTTGGAAAGGTATACACATGCACGTACTGGGTCTCGTCTCTCTCACCCTTTGTCGGTTTCGACTTGATCTTGTCGGCTTCAAAGAGCTTTCTTCATTACAAAGGGCATTAGAGCTAGAAACCTGGCATCATCAAGTTACTAATGTTCTTTTGACTACGTACCAACATAAACACCATAATGGGAAGAAAACCACCATTTCTGAAATTCCACAATATCCCCCTCTTCTAACTGATCTAAAACCCGTAAATTGTGTAATCCAAGTTCTGTCGACATGTCGTATTTTCAGAATATACCACGGAATATCTACTTTCACTTTAACAAATTCTTTGTAATCTACACAACATATTTTATCAGTAAAGGACTTTCAACCATTCCCAGTAACCTGCTGCGAACTTTGACAATATCGCTCAATGGTGATAGCATGCAATAACTTATCTACGAGCTTAAATATTTAAACAGGCATTATTCAAGAGCTAAATCTGCCTATTTCAGGTCTTTCTTTGGGCCTTAAATGTTATATAAATTATTAATTGGACATTAATTAACTTACCAGGACCATAATCAACTCTCGGTGACATCGAATGGCTCCGTTATTAAGTCAATTTAAATACGTTTTGCTGTTGATGATTTACCGTAAAAATGGATAATCGAGACTTTGTTTATTATCGTAACAACGGTAGTATTGGCAATCGAGGCTACATGGTTATTTTATCGTCGATATCTCGGTTCAGAAAGTAGTAATTCAACATATTCCCTTTTCATTATCTATTTTTTTTAACTATTATTGCGAGAACTGTTAGTTCTAATCTTACTGTCTAATCTTACCCATTCCCCTTTAATAAGAAATATATCTTAAAACTAATGGTTGAAGTTTGTTCTTGTAGTCTGGAGTGTCAGTATGGAGGGGTGTCTGTCAAAAAGACAAAACATCGGGCCCAAATTTTTTAGATCAATTCTTTTACATGCAGGGTTGTAAATAGTCCGTCGCTGAAGAGTTTTCGATATATTCGAGGTCAAAGGTCAAATGGAATAATTTACCCTGAAGTGAATACGCGGTTATTGCATGGCTATAACTATAACTATCCAATATGGTTCATCACTCTTTCAATTAAAATGTAAAATTCTAAGATTCGCCTACGTTAAATAAACACGTTAAAACTATTAAATCGAAATATCTCCGATTTAGTTTGTACGACGATTGCTATATTCAGGGAATAAAAAGTTGGTTGAAAACCAATTGTCTGCAGGCGTGATCACGAAATCCGCATCTGACGACGTGTTCAAATTTTTGAAGACTTGCTTATTATGAGTTTTTATTTATATATATGCAACAGACGACAACATTCTTAAAAAATGGGTGTAATTAAAAACTATGTTAATTATGTGTAAACGTTTACACCACAAAAGCTTTTTTTAAAATGTAATACTTTCGCAAGGGTAACCAACTAACAAGAGCTACACCTAACAAGTGTAACCGATATTCATGACTACTGAACACCTGAATAGGTGTAATTGTGGGGTGTTTTGGATAAGCTACACCACTACAGTGTTATACTATTAATGGGGAATAAATCCTAGAACAGTGTTAATTTTACGGCGTTTATTGGATTGCAAAAGTGTAATTAATATTCATGAGTAATGAACACCAGGATAGGTGTAATTGTAGTTGCTAAAGGGTGTTTGGGATGCTACACCTCTACAAGCGTTTTATTGCATTTACACCAACATGTATAATATGTACAATATTTCGCTTGCGCGTAGGGGTCTTTAGCAGTGGGAGGAAACCGGAGAGTCCGGAGAAAACCCACGCGGTTGGACAGGCGACCCTACTCCTTGTCACGTACAACCGGAGAAAAGAAACCACGCTAGTAGACTCAATGACAGACCTCGTGGCATGCTCCTAATCAAACGTCCAATCACGATTTGGCTGACCCACTTCTCTGGCAGTACCACGTTGACGTCGACGAACACGTCTCCCAATCAAATTAAACGAAACACACTAAAGCAAAGATACGCTAAACCAGTGATTCTCAACCAGTGTGACGCGAGATCTTCCTAAGTGTGCCGCGAAATTTTGAACGGCACACTAAGAAAATGCGAAAAACCACGTGATCCCAATTGAGTACTCACTAGTGTCTACAGCTAAGTTCATAGCTGTGTTCTACTTTTTTCAGTTTGAGTCATTCTATGTGTCTATGACTAGTCTGTATCTACGGTTGTATGCCGTCTATAACTTGCCATGTTTTTATTTTGTAAAATTCAAATATTTTTCATAAATTATTTAGCCAGGATTGCTGCTATGTTTTCATGTGTTCCAAGGTGTGCCGTTGGCAAAAAAATGTTGAGAACCACTGCGCTAAACAGTAAACCTTATGCAAGAACCGATAGGAAAGCAAACATGGATAGATAAACCAGCACGCGGCAGTTTTCATCAACCCTTCCTTGAAGTGTCAACAGTTACTGTGAAGCCAGGAATTTCATATGACGTCACGCAAATATGACGTCAAGTGTACAAAGACGCCATCTTGGGTCCCAAGTAACTCTACCAACCGAAGAAATATAATAATATACTTATCTATTTATATGCCCTGTTATATTGTTGGATGTCCCGACAAACAGGGATGTGGATAGATATGTCATAGATTTCAGCGAATAAGTGTCTATAGGAGATAAAACATACATCTTTTAAACGAGAAGTAGGCCTATAGCTGAACATACATTATTAGTATTATACAACAAAAAGCGCACATAATTGCTATATAGGCCTAGCCATTCTATAAGAAAAATCAAAATAAAAGATACACAAGATAAAAGCGATATTAAACATATTTAAACTTGCATTCGCTTTTAAAGGAGCTAAATCACTAATATTTGGGACCTAGAAATTGTCACAAATGGGTCGCAATAACCGCGACATGTATTTCGGGCATATTTGTTTCATCAGTGACACGTCTAGTGTCATGTGAATGCAACGACAACAGCCTGGATGATTGATTTGTTGATTGGAGTTCAGATGTCTTCATTAAAATGGACCACTTTTAGGTTGCCGTATTCACGGCATTGCAAGACAACGCTTTTTCCGGCTTGAAATTTCCATAAATTTGCTGGGGGAGACAGGCCCCAACCGATCCCCCGACGGTGCGTTTCACGACTTCGGCACTCGACGGCGACCTTTAAGAGACGCCGAAAACCATTTAAAAGACATAGTAAAAGTCATATCTTACTAGATTATCGCTGGTCTTGTCGGAAAAATGCCATTTTAAATTTGACAGAAAGAAATGCCCGGCGCCATACATGTGACAAATATATTTTTTGATTTTTGTCAAAATCGGTTTTCGGCACATTTCGCCTCTATGACAAATTTGTGTTTGAAAAATTTAAAAAGAAATTATTTATTCCCGCACCACTAAAAAAACACACTCCGAAACTTCCTGGTTTCTTTTGCAATTTGTTTGGGGTAAAAATTTAAAAAGAAATTATTTATTCCCGCACCACTAAAAAAACACACTCCGAAACTTCCTGGTTTCTATTGCAATTTGTTTGGGGTAAAACGTTATCACTCCCCGCCTATGTATAAATAATATCAATCGGTCTACCACACAAATTTAACAGATACAAATGCATGTTATTCCACAGGTAGACAGACAGGGCCCCTCTTTTGAAGGGATTCGGTGAAGGGGACGCAGTTGGTTTAGAGTTTGTCTGACCCCTTTGAATATTTGCGCCACATCTTCAATGAAAAGAATCATGTTGATCTAATGCTGTTCTCAACTAGAATCAAACATATATCGTACCTGAGATTTGTTAGCATGTTCCACACAACCCAACTTATATCGGCACCGGGATTAAGGGGATATATCTTTGTTTCTAACGCTTATTAGGAATACGTAACCAAAACTACAATAAAAACCTGTTTACAAAAACATTCTAAAGGGTGAAAACTGACATATTTCAAGCTTTACTGTATTTAAAGAAATAATTTAGGTCAGCCGGCGGAAACCCCGTCTCCGCTATTTGTTCATTCTTTAGGTATAGTGCCAGTTTCCACCGAAAATGATATCGCAAACAAGTGTTCAATCTATAAAAGCATACATTCCTACAAAGTGAAACAAGAAAATTCATAACTGTGCGAGGGTGGGGTGAGTAAAAGTCTATCGCATCCAGATATTTAAAGCGCGTTTACAATATATTCATTTAAGACAAAACTTTGTTATTTCGATATTGATATAATGTAAAATTCATCTTCATTTGACGAACTACATCCAAACTACAGTGTAAACACGGTTTGGAGACTGTATCAGAACTACAGGGTACATCATGATTTAGAGACACTATCTAATATCCAACAGGAAAAATGACGATTAATTTAATATCCGCCGATTTATGTTGCTGCCATTTTGTATTTTCAAATTCAGAGACATCGAAAACCATATAAAAGACATAGCAAAAGTCATATCTTACGAGATGCCCTTTTATTACCAAATTTATGGGATGTTTGTTAAATGGCATTATATTACTCAATTCGGCAGCCATTTAAATAGAAATGCCCGGAACCATATGAAAAATACTTTTCTTTAATTGATGTTTGTCAAATTCGATTTTTCCGCACTTTTCGCGTGCATAACCACGATATAATAGCCGAACATTACGTACACCAGATAAACTACTTTTAAAGCCCAAAACTGTTCAACTAGTCTCTTACGGTCAACGCCTTTTTAGTTATCATACACCTGCTTTATGGAATAATCTACTATTCTTTTAAAAAAAACAACTTAAAACAGATTTATTTAATCAGGCTTTTAACTGACTCTTTATACAATCGTTAACATGTCCATAATCTTGTTGTCTATATGATTACATTGTCACTTTGTAAAGTGCCTCTGAACATGTTATATGAAAGGGCGCACTATAATATACTGTAATAATAAAAAAAACGTTTTGGTATGTAAAATGTATGACGCCATGACGTTGTAGCTTTTATGGCGTCATTAATTGGGACCCAAAATGGCGCATGTAAATGAGTTGTCGTAACTTTCCATATATAGGGCTTTGACTCACACCACCTCCGTTGTCGGGGCTGCCAGAACTGAATTCTGCGTTACTCGATTGCAATTCTGTCAATTCGTGACGTTCTGGACTGCGAATAGCAGAATATTGCTGAAAACTAATTGCGTGACAAACGAAGATATAAACAGGAATACAAAGTAAACAATACTGTATGGAGACGAAGAATACTTTCACCGTTTTAATAGCCTACCTTAAATCACTGTCCAATGTTTCAGGGAAGACGCCAGATTAAAAGAAGGGCTGCCATGTTGCTGTATTTGGGATAGATTTGATTGAACGGGAAGAATACAAACACTACCCCAAAAGTTCAAGGATCAGAAGCCAATCCAGCAATTGGCAGAGAGGGATTTCTTATACCATTGCTTCAGGAATATGCTGTATTGTGACTTGTAATCACTGTCGGGGTCAGTGTGTAGCCGTTACTACCCTCTGCTTCAGTCGGTAAAGAAATAGCTACATTCGGAATCTTCGTAGATCTTCACTATATAAGATTTCGACAAAGAGCTGATCGTTATTGCTATAATAGTTCAAAAATAGACCATGAGAAATGGATATATTGCAAATTACTTTATTCGAAGTTTTGAAATGATAGTCTCGATTGTCAAGTACAATTGCTGCGATTATAAACAAAGTGTCGGTTATTCATTTTGTCGTTAAATTATTAAATGATGAACGTGTTCTAATCCATTCAAAATCTAAGCCACTCGAATAAAGTAATAGTCATATTAATAAATGTCTATGAATTACAATTTAGGCAACAATTAAAGCTAGAAAAGAGACTTGCTATAATCAGATTTAACTCTAAAAAATTATATTTGGGATGCGTGTAGCCAGTTCTTTCACATATGAAAATTGGTGGACACAAACATTGTCCATAAGATGGAATTTATCGCCATACCTTTCTATACCAATGAAACCGAGCCGAAGGGCAAATTGTAAACTTGAAAGCCTTGGTGAATAACCTGTTAACGATTTAATACCCATTGATCTTTTAGATCAATAATATGTAAATCGTGTTTGCAAATAAACAGAAACTGTGTGAGCCGTTCATATTTCGACATGGTGATTTCGTAATTTTTATATATCTTAAATCTTTCAAAATACTTGTTACCAAACTGAAGACAAAATTTGGTTACATAGGCAAAGCAATAGCCGTGTGTCGTAATATGTTGGCATTGTAAAGATGTGGCCTACGCTACCTGTAAAATGTACATTTTGAATTCGACCCGATATCTTCTTTCAATTTGTGTAACGAAAAAAGAAAAAAAAATGGTTCAACGTGCTACTTTTCTGCACCAACCAGGTTAATGAAGACGGACATACACCACATGTAGTTTCCGCCTATACTTTTATACAATTCCAACTGTCAAGGTTTATTTTACTTGCATAGCCTACCAACGTGTACATGAAACCTCGGTTTTTTTCGTACGATACGTACCACTAGGCGCCCCTTTCTTTGACAGCCCCTACCCGGGTTTAAATCACGATCAACAGAGGGGGAAACCAAGCTAAAACATCCCGGACAGCATTCTAGGTCAAAACCGGGATCGAACCTCGGAACTGCTGGTTAAACCAGAAAGCCAGTTTTTATAAGAATAATAAAAAAAACCCGAACACTTTCAACCAATATATGTATGTACAACATATCTTGCCTCAGAGACAGATTAAATGTCAAACTATCAATTGAAATAAAATTTTGACGTTCCCATGGGATTTTGATTTTGCTAACTAAAGTTATCGAGATTTAGGCCAACTATATGATCCCATGTTGATTTCAGTCTGGATTAAAGCAGGATTAACAAGTCGGATTTTTATTTTTATTAATCTCAATTGTACATTACTCCTCTCGAATTAGTAAATATATACCCAGAAACTAAACCGGAACTATTTTGGAGATATCGTTATGACGTCAGTTGTGTGTGCATAAGCCAGCTATGCCCCAGAAATTTGATATCGTAATCTTTGAATAAACGAAGTTTGTTTTTGACAATAAGAAAATCGTGTTTGCTTATTTCTTGAAAAGGATTATGTAAATACATCGAAATTCAATTAAAAGAAGGCAGAAATAAAATCTGAGTCATTCCATCACCGGTTTTCGACGAATGCGCGTCCAGGCAGAAATGTAAGTAGACGTTTTTAAAGACTTATATATTTTACCAGATAAATTGTGCTGCAATGTATCCCGGTTGGTGCTGACGTACCATTAAATATCATTTTCATTTCATTTACAATCAAAATGTACTATTTATCCAACTTTGTATTTATATTTACTTCCCATGCAACATAATGAATATGAAAAATGACCACCCAGAATGTTTAAGAGATGGATGGAAGTGGATATACAGCCTTAAAGTAAAATCAAAATTTAGAGCTCTACAGGAAAATCAATGTTTATATTTGTATTACAGTTTTAAAGTAAAATTAAATTTTGCTAGGCATAGGTTTTCACTTTTAAAGGACTATATCACTCCATATACACCTTGTACATTGCGGCCAAATGCCAGAAGATGACGGGGGCAAACACGAAGATGTTAAAGATGCATTATGTAAGAGCTAAATCTACCTATTGCGGATCTCTATTTTGGTTTCAATTCCTTTTTAAAAAGATATTTTTTTCGCTATAAATGATGGGAGATCGGGGAACTGACAAAAAGTCTTTGCCAAACCCCTATCTATATTTACAATACAAATTATATGCTAATAACTTCATGGATTATGGCCCCTGAGTGTACGAAAAATCGCATTCTTAGCTTGTGGACACTCTACAGGTCACAATTGTCATTTGATTTTGATGAAACTTGAAACTTGCATGTTTATAACCCAAATATCGCGGTTCCTTTCGATATTTGCGCATATCGGACCGTAAATTCCTGGATTGTGACCCCCGATTGTAAGGAAAATCGGGGGACACGGTGGCTAAGTGAGAGAGAGAGAGAGAGAAATGGGGTTTAACGTCCACTCGACACAAACTAGGTCATTTCGGGACTAACATATGGTTTAATTTTATTTCAATAATTCGCTTGCGCGTAGGGGTCTTTAGCAGTGGGAGGAAACCGGAGGACCCGGAGAAAACCCACGAGGTTGGACAGGCGACCCTACTCCTTGTCACGTACAACCGGGGATTCGAAACCACGCCAGTCGACTCAATGACAGACTTTATGATACAGCGCGCGCACGCTAACCATTCCGCCATCCTTCCCCCCCCCCCCCCCGGTGGCTAAGTGTTAAGACGCTGGCTCGCTAGCCTGGAGGTCGGGTGTTCGATCCCTGCATTGGTCGAGATAGTTCATCCAAATTTTCCTGCGTGCCCCCCCCCCACCCCATTGACAGTGATGCAGGACGGAGGGTGTCTAGTCTTCATTAGCCCAGTTCGGAGCAGAACAGTAGAACGTTAAACCCCATTTCATTAAAAAAAAATATGTAAGAAAAATCACGTTTTTAGCTTGTGGGCCCTCTTGAGGTTAGAATTTTTATCCGATTTTAAAAAACGTTTAAATGTATCACCGTTACACTTTAATCACGTTTGAGTTCGAATTTCGTGAAGATCGGACCGAAACTGCCTGACAAAATGGCCGGTCCTTGTACGCAAATAGTGTAAAAGTACTAATAGTGTAAATCGCTAATATTTGGGACCTAGAAATGGACACAAATGGGTCGCGACGCATATAAAAATATAATATGAATGTATATAAACTTATTTACATTCAGTCTTTTCTGTTTTTACTGTAATTTCTAATCAGTCATGTTCGGCGAAATACGCCAAAAGTCTCAATTGAATGGCAATCTCTCGCGTTTGGTTATTTTAGTCTACACCGATAATATTTTTATTGCGCGGAAACGCAATATGGTACACGATTCGTGTGCCAATGGTAAAATGTTTTTTTTGTCTTAAATGTTGATTTAAATTGACAAATAATTCGTGTTTTCAATGTCGAGGACTTTGGGTGATATTGAGTTTGAGACTTAACTACTTTAACGTTGTGGACCCTGTAGAGGTCACAATTTTTATACGCCCACATTTTCATGTGGACGTATATTGTCGTCGACCCTGTCCGTTCGTCCACAATTTGTTTGCGGACACTCTACAGGTCACAATTCTTATCCGATTTTGACAAAACTTGAAATGTAGGTTTATCTCCAAAAAATCCCGGTTGATTTCGATATTGGCATGTATCGGATCGAAACTTCATGGATTATGGCCCCTAAAGAGGTCACAATTTTAATCCTATTTTGACGAAACTTGAAATGTAAGTTTATTACCCAAAGATCTCGGTTCCTTTCGATATTCGCGCATATCAGACCATAACTTCCTGAATTATGGCCCCTGATTGTACGAAAAATCGCCTTTTTAGCTTTGAACCCTATAGAGGTCATAATTTTTATCCAATTTAAAAAAAACGTTTTAGTATTTCACCGTTACACCCTATAAATAGTTGAGTTCGAATTTCGTGAAAATCGGTCCAAAACTGACAGACAAAATGGCCGCCCCTCGTTCTCAAATAGCGTAAAAATATAGTATATCAAGGTTGTGGGCCCTCTAGAGGTCACAATTTTCTTCTGATTTTGATGGAACTTGAAATGTAAGTTTATAACCCAAAGATCTCGGTTCCTTCCGATATTCGTGCATATCGAATCGTAACTTCCTGAATTATGGCCCATGATTGTACGAAAAATGTTGTGAACCCTGTAGAGGTCACAATTTTAATCCGATTTTGATGAAACTTGAAATGCATGTTTATAACCCAAAGATCTTGGTTGCTTTCGATATTCGTGCATATCGGTCTTATCGGATCGTAACTTACTGAATTATGGCCCCTGATTGTACGAAAAATGGCGTTTTTTGCTTGGGGTCGCTCTAGTGGTCACAATTATTTTCCGATCTAAAACAGCGTTTGTATATATCACCGTTACACAGTAATGAAGGTTGAGTTCGAATTTCGTGAAAATATGACCAAAACTGCCAGACAAAATGGCCGCCCCGTGTACGCAAATTGTGTAAACATCTGGTTGTGGATCCTCTAGAGGCCACAATTTTGATCCGATTTTGATGAAACTTGAAATACATATTTATAACCCAAAGATCATGATCCCTGTCGATATTCGCGCATATTGGATCATGCCTTCCTGAATTATGGCCCCTGATTGTACGAAAAATCGTGTTTTTAGCCCGTGGTCCCTCTAGAGGTCACAATTATTAACCTATTTAAAAAAACGTTCGAATATATCACCGTTACTCCATTATGATGGCTGAGAACGAATTTCGTGGAAATCGGGCCAAAACTGCATGCCGGACAAAATGGCCGCCTCTTGCACGCAAATAGTGTAAATATATTGTATATCAAGGTTGTGGATCCTCCAGAGGCCATAATTTTGATCCGATTTTGATGAAACTTGAAATACATATTTATAACCCAAGGATCTTGGTTCCTGTCGATATTCGCGCATATTGGATCGTAACTTTCTGAATTATGGCCCTTGATTGTACGAACAGTCGCGTTTTTAGCTTGTTATCCCTCTAGATGTCACACTTTTTATCCGATTTAAAAGAAACCGTTTGAATATATCACTGTTACACCCTTATGATGGTTGAGTCTGAATTCCGTACAAATCGGACCAAAACTGTCGGATATGGTATATCAAGGTTTTGGACCCTCTAGAGAGAGGACACAATTTTGATCCGATTTTGATGTAACTTGAAATACATGTTTATAACCCAAAGATCATGGTTCCTTTCAATATTCATGCATATCGGATCGTAACTTCCTGAATTATGGCCCTTGATTGTACGAAAAATCACTTCTTTTTTTGAGCTTGTTCTCTGTCCATCTTCTGCAAAATGTTACCGTATCTTGCATGGCAACCGCTTGTTTATAAGTGGTGGTGTGGGTGGGGGTAACGTCCACCTGACACAAACTTCAATTTTAGTTCAATAATTGGCGCATGCGTAGGGGGCTCTTGGTGTGGGAGGATACCGGAGGTTCCGGAGATTGGACTCAATGACAGACCTTGTGGTCTAGCGCGTACGCAGTAAACCATTCGACCACCCAACTCGCAGTTCCTCAAGCGAACAAGGGCAGTTTTCTACATATTGACTGGCTAGCCCACTAGTCCACGCATTCTTCCAAAACTGGTGGGCCAAGAAGTTAAGAACCATTCGTACCCTGTGACATCAAGGCTTCACTGGGAAATCAGTTACCAAACTATACATCATAACTGCCCCTCAAAAACTTCTTCGATTTCAGCGAAATCATGAATGGTATGTTCTAAACAACTACGGCACGTTCTGACAGAAAACGGCAGATTCTAGGCTACAGCGTTGGTTCTCTATCGTTATTGAATAGAAGAACATCAGCCATAAGGGTGTCAAAAACTTTCGTGGCCGGTCTGCGAATTTCGGAATGTGGTGTAGATGTATCGTAAACCCGTCGTAACCCTTTCGTGTCGTTCGTAACAGCTTCCTATTCAATTCATTGGCATTCGTGGTCATTCGTGGCTTCCTAAAATTTTTGAAACCGACCTGAACAATCCCAAATCGATTACTAATCTGCTATGATTTTCTTGGCTGTATAAATGCCTTGCGTTCGCGTAAGCTACTAATGCCGGTCGTAACCCTTTCGTATCGTCCGTAACAGCTTCCTATTCGATTCCTTGACATTTATGATCATTCGTGGCTCCCTAAATTTCGTGACACCGACTCGAACTATCCCAAATCGACTACGAATCAGCTACGATATTCTCGGCTATATAAATGACCTGCTTTCACGTGGGTTACGAATGCCCCGAATAGTGCGGAATCGAAATTAATCGGAATTTCTGGCGATTCCGCAGACACAAATCGTTGAGAGTCGGCAGTAACTATACAAAGCAGTTACGAATGATTTACAAATGAGTTACGACAATTCGTGGGCAATTGAGAGAAAACTATGCCGAATGTCAAGATAGGGTTACGATAAAGGTACGAATTGTAGCGATTCGGTTATAAATGAGTTCCGAATATGCCGAATGAGTTACGAATATGCCGAAATCAGTTACGAATAAGCCGAATTCAGTTACGAATACACTACGTTGGGCGCATGAGATTTTGAATAAGCGGACGATTCGTAATTTGTTTGGCACATTCGGCAACAATTCGTGGGGCGTTCGGGGTATTCGTAGCTGATTCGTGGCGGATTCGGAATATTCGTGCAACGAATTTTAGGGAGTCACGAATGACCTCGAATGTCACAGAATCGAACAGGACGATAAGAAAAGACTACGACATGTTTACGAATAGTGCGATTCGGCAAAAGAAAAATAAAAATTCGCGAAAAATCGGGAGTAGCTACGAAGCAGTTACAAATAGTGCACGGGAGTGTTATTTGGTCCCGCTATCACGCGGGCTACGAATGCAACGAATCGTACTGAATCCAAACTTTTTCGGATTCGTAGCAGTTCGTAGCTCGGACAATACGAATGTGTTAGAACCAAACAAGAATCATTTACGAGCTTCACGAAACGTCTACGATTTATCTACGACTTGTCTACGAATCCGAAAAAGTCAGTTGTATCAATCGTGTTGATCGTATCGAAACGTATCCGAACGTATCTGCACGTACCAGGTCGTGAACTCAACAAGGACAATGTCATCGTAACGCATCGCATGGCAGTGGGAACCTAACTTGGAGCTTTTGGTGGCCATTTTGAATTTATTCACTACCCGTTTTTAAAAGAATGTGAACCAGGTCCCAATGCGGCCGTTATTAGCTTCCCCATAACCTCTAAAAGACAAAAGGGGCGTTATTTATTGTATAATAAAGGCTTAATGTATGTATGGAATGCTAAAAATCCCATCCTATATCGGTCTAAATCAGTAAGCAGAGGCGTACGGGCCCCATGGATGTTTTGGGTAGCAGACCTGAAATGCCCGAAAAAAAAAATTCAGTTCACAGGCGGCGCCGGTCGTCCGCTTACTGTAAAGGTTCCTCCTCAAGAACGTTTAGAAAACTTGACGGCCGCAAACGCGTTTTTCTACTATTCCAGCCAGTGGATGCAACAACTTCAATGTGGTCCAATAACTTAGGTGGCTGACTTGAATTCTAAACAATCAATCAATCGTTTAGTCCACGGAGCCGCGTCACGGGCAGTATTGAACTCGCCATCTCAGAGAACATTTTGTAAAATTTAACCGCCACAAATGCGTTTTTCTGCTTTTCTAGCCCGTGAATCAAGCAACTTCAAAGTCATTCAATGGTTTCGCAACCTAAATCCCACTCTATGCCGACCTGAATTCCACTCATGCAATCAGACTGCTGCGTTCACAAATAATAATCAACCTGAAAAATGTCACACAAAGCAGTGTGGCTCAAGACAAAATGTTTTAAACTATTCTCAGTTCAGTATAAATTGGCGGTATTCAATTAGAATAAAAGTAAAATAAGTGTTTAGTTAGGTTTTGGGCACTTTAATTTGCCAACTAGATGATATTTTGCAAAGCAGAGTGGCGACGCCAGACAAAATGTTTTAATACATAGTCAATTCAGTGCAAATTCATGGTATTCAATAAACAGAAAAGTAAAATTTGTGTTTTATTAGACCTCAGGCACATTAATTTGCCAACTAGATTATATCAAAAAAGATTTCCCGACTCTAGCCGTCTGCCCGAAAAGTCCGAGTGGAATGTCGGGAGGGTTTGGACTAGTCAAGTGTTTAGTCCGGACCGGATTAGAAATGTATGATAATTTTCAAAAGAGTAGATGGAAACTTAAACCAGAAAGAATGATCAATTCCTAACAGCGGTAGCTAGCTCAGAAAACCGAGGAAAAGATCACGACAGATATGTGCACACCGTACGTTTTTTGTTTGTTTTTTGGTAGAAAAAGGATTTTTATCGGATTGCATGCTTTAGGATCAGATTACAGTTGAAGATATAATATCTTGTACATAAACAAACTTTATGTAATCAAATATTAATTTTTATATTAACCAAGTAAAAGCAAATATTTACCAACTTTAAAGTATTTATTTTGGATTGGTTGTTCAATTGACCCTCATCTTTTTTAACCCGTAAAAAACAAACTTCGCGTTTACTGAGGAGTATTAAATTTCATATCTAATCATATGTAAACCATCACCTGAAAAATGATGTCGTTGCATATTGTACAATAAATCGAAACTATATTGCCAGTTTTTTCGATTCACTTAATCTCTGCCTTTTGAGCTCAGGGATGTTAATGGTGTCATGCAGGAATCACATTATTTGAAACACACATGAATATTTATTACGATTTTAAATTTATACAATTGAAGACTTGTGGTATATTGTCCCATAGTAACATTAACATAGTGGGTTTAGAGAAAGGTCATCGTAGGCGGCGGTGGAAACATGCACAAGTTTTACGAAAACAAAGTCGACATCTTGGTTTATCTTAAACCATCTGACATTTTCGCCGTGGCAAGTGTGTATACGGAGATGAACCTCAAATGATAATAAAAACACTGGGGGATGTTTATTCAAACCATTCAATATTTTTTGGCAGATGCTTTTCTGAACAAAAACTCATCAATATTTTTGTTCGAAAAGAGTCGTTTTGATCCATATAGATAATTCTGACTGTTAATATGTTCCCCCACTCCCTGGAAACACACACATGGATTCACCCAAAACTCATTCAGGTGTGCTAGATCATACTTCGCCAATTAAAACACTACACAGATACTTTGGACCGAACAATGTGCATATTACACATATATTAGATAATAAGTTTATTTCTTACTTTATGATTGTCCAAACACAATGGTTCTAAGAAATCGCACGGCAAAGTAAGCACACCAATACGTCCCATATTCATTCTTTTATTTGGGGGAGAGGTAATAAGGCTAAATCTGTTTCACAATCTTCAATTTGTGGATATAAAAACAAACATATCTTGCCACGTTCACAACACCCTTAACTATTATATATATTTCAATTTTAATAGATTATATTGTTTCATTTAAGACGACGAAAATGAAGGTGATGTCATTCATTTTGCTCCTGGTGATAATTGGTGGTGTTACCGTGGAAGGTCGGGACTTGACGCGAGTAGAAAATCAAAAAGGACATTTGGTTGTTCAAGGTGTGATTGATGCCATCAGATCAAATTGTATCTTTGCTGGTGACCGTTTGTTTCTAAGACGTCTCGCTAAGGTACAGTCGAACGATGGCGAGGATAGCAATACCTATAAAGCAGATTATCACGGTGGAATATGGCAGGTAAAGTAAGAGAAAAAGCACAATTATTAAATATGCTATTTGTCCTTATGACGGAACAAACGGGACAAATGGACAGATTGACATGATTATTTTGAGACGGGTTTTGGTTTTATTTCCATGGTTACGTGAGCAATGGAAGAGGGTAATTATACCCAGACAGCAACAGCGAATTGATCATTTACGTGCTCCACCATTAAGGGTCTCCCGTGTATCACTATGCACAGGGTCAGTTGACAAATCACTGCCGATCTCTTGTTTATTCGTTGGAGGTGGATATTTTCCCCTATAGTTCAAATAATTCGACGTGCTAACTGACTATTTAGGCTCACCCCCACGAAAGGTTTCATATGTATCAATACGACTTTAATTACGTACCGGTTCAACAGACAGATCACTGCCGAGCCTTTGTTCTCTTTGCATACGTTGGACATGTGGTCATAAGGGTTATCTTAGGGTTTAGCCGCAGGTCCATCAGCTTCACGCTGGGTTTTTATGGGACAAATTATCCATATGCTAGTACCTAAATAATATAGTAAGCAGGAATATTTTCCAACCAGATATTCAAATTGCATTTCTGCATCCAAAGAACTTCCAAACATTGTCCAAGATCGACCTGTCTGTAATATAAATGTATCGTTCTATTTATTTAAGATTGACGAAGGCAAATATAATCACACAAAGCGGTGTCCTGGACATTTAGAGGATGTCTGTGATAAGATCCAAACTAAGCTGAATATAAGCTGGCCTTCAACGACATGGCGAGATCTTCGTAAACCCCTCTATTCTGGCCTGTCAGCCTCTCTGTACATCATGTCGAAACAAAACATATCATCGAACATAACAGACGGCTTACCTGGTGGTCGGGGTAATCAATCTATGATCTGGAAGAAACTGTTTGCTCCAAATAGAGCCGCTTCATCCTTTCTCAATTCTATCCGTTCATCTGATGAAGGTATGTAATGCAATATTGCATGTATGTAATGCAATATTGCATGTATGTAATGCAATATTGCATGTATGTAATGTAATAATGAATGTATGTAAAATGGTAATGAATGTGTGTAATGTAATAAAGAATGTATGTATTGTAATAAAGAAGTAAGTATGTAATAATAATTGTATCTAATGTAATAATGAATGTTTAGACAGACGCCTTAGTGCTATATAAAATCAGCTGTGGGTGAAGGTATGTAAATCGTTGAGAAAATATGTCGCCCTTACGTTAAGTAAAACTACGACTGACTAGAGTAGTTCGCAATTAGTCTCAGGTAGTTTTACCTTGCCTTTTTTTTAGTGAGTCGTACATTTTTTACGTAGGGAATCTACTAGCCCGCGGATTAGAGTTATGGGGTTTAATCGTCTTTTGACATTTTCACCTTGACCGTTGACCTTCAGTAGGTCCTGCTGGTTCTGCCTTGTCTGGAAGCGGACGTTAAGCTCGAAAAGAAGAACAACAAAAACAACACAATAGCGTGTTCTTGTGATACCCATGTTTGATCTCTTGTACAGCGGCTGACTAGTATACCCTTTTATAAAGCGCCGTAGATTTGGAAATAGCCATCAAAGTCTCGATTCACCATGTTAGCGCTATAGAAATCACTACAGTATTAACAAAGATATATGGAAATGGATTTCATTGATCTATGTAATAAGGTCGTCGCCATTTTGGTTGCTAGTCCTGTTTTCATTCCGATTGTATCCAAGCCGGGAGATTGTCTAGCGTTGGTCTTTTGATTTGTTTTCTTAATTAAATTTTAATTAATCAATCTGGGTACATATTGGCGTGGATTAAGCCAGAAAAGATTTGATATTTTAGCAAAACCTGCAAAAAAGACATTACTTTAATTGATTACAACCATCATAGACTTCATCGACTGAGACCTTAGAATGTACTCGGCAATCCTTCTCAGTTAATCAGTTTAAGAATAGACTTGCATACGATCTGCCCCCCTCCACATTGTACACACCTTAAAATGTGTGCATTTATTAGTATAACGCTTCTTTCAATATTTTATTTCAGACAAAATGTGTACCCGAGCCATAGATTTAGCCTTTATTATTGACAGTTCTGGCAGTATTGGATCCAGCAACTTCATCAAGATGAAGCATTTTATGACCAATGTAACGAACGGTTTGGCCATTGCCAGTGATAAAACGCAGATAGCTGTTGTGAAGTTTAGCACGTATGCTCGACTAGAATTCGGATTGAATAGATATTCGGATCGAGCGAGTGTAGATCGAGCGATAAACAGAATATACTATGATAGAGGGTGGACCAATACAGCTAGAGGTATAGATTATGCATCTAATTACGTCTTTTCTGCTGGAAGAGGCATGCGAAACAACTCAGTGAAGGTTGCTGTAGTGGTAACCGATGGGCGATCTAATAACCCAATGTTAACTGCGGCCCAAGCACCAAAACTAAGGGCTAAAGGCGTCATTATATTTTCTATTGGTATTGGAAGAGCTTTAGTTGAAGAATTGGAAGCTATATCATCGGAGCCCAATTGCACCCATGTCTTTGTTTTAAAAGATTTCACAGAAATTGAAAGCATCATAAATGAAATACAGAAACGAGCCTGTCGAGGTAAATATTATGTTTAATGTTAGTTGTATTTACTACAACTCTTTTATGCGCAAAGAACTTAACCCAAGCGAACCGGTAACGGCGACATCAGCGACCGGACCAATTCACCAACAGCTACGTTGGCACAGTCAGAAAGTAATACTTATCACGATTCAGATACTATTGCGCCTTTCAAAGCAGCCAAAAATAATCATTTTTTAAATTACTACGGTTTGCATGGTTCGGGCCATTTTCGTGATTCGAATATATAGTAAATGTAATTAAACTTAATATTTTTACAGCTCAGATGGTTTTTGAAAACACTCCAACAAGCAAACGAACCAACATTAAAGAAAAGGTTATTCCATTCACTGGCAATGAAACTGAGGTCAACATTGTTGTCCCTGCATTGGAAACGTCCAATTTACCGCCCAATTCAACCAACTCCACTACAGTTGTTGTAAGTTATTACAATAGATTTATAAAGCAACTCATCTATGTCAATGGTTACAAGCATTAACTGCTCATTGACCCATTGTTAGTCTTACAGTGGCAGAGTTATCTTCTCCTGGGTTCGGTTCCCGCTTTACTTAGTGGTAAGCCAAATTCGAAACCAGTCGGGAAGTTGATTGGTCGAATGGTTGAACTCTTGCACTTTAGATCATAAGGTCTGTAATTGAGTCAAGTGGCGTGGCTTTGACCCCTTGTACGTGACAAGGAGTAGGATCGCCTGCCTAATCGTGTGAGGTTTTTCTGGGTCGTCCGGTTTCCTTCCACTGCCAAAACCCCTACGCTTTAGCGAATTATCTAGACAAAATGTATCATATTTTAATCCCGAAATGACCTAGTTTGCGCTCTCTCTCTGAATGCAGTAGAACAAAGAAAAACATAACCCCCCCCCCCCCACCAAAAAACAAAACAAAACAAAAAACCCTCGGTCATAGCCCACTTGTGACAATGGATAGGCTCCCAGGGAGGGATATTGAAATAGAATCCGTCCGTCCACCCGTCCGTCCGTCCCGATTTTGTTTCCGGAGCATATCTCATAAACCGTTCAAGATATCTTTCTGAAAATTTGTACACACATCAGCCTATTCCAATAGTTGTGCCTTTTGCTATTTAGAAATTTTTGGGATTTATATTGTTTGCGTTTCCATGGAAACAAACTTGACTTAGTTTTTGGTGTACAAGCATTAACCTATTATAGTAGTTGTTCCTATTGCTATTTAGGAGTTTCTGGGGTTTATATCTTTTGTGTTTCCATGGAAACAAATGTGACTTAGCTTTTGGTGTTCAATTTCGTTTCCGTGTTTCCGGGGCATATCTCATAAACTATCAAAATATCTTCATGTTTGTGTTTCCATGGAAAAAAATTTGACTTAATTTTTATGTACAATTTTTGTTTCCGGAGCATATCTCATAAACCGTTCAAAATATCCTTTGAAACTTTTCACACACACCATCTTATTACAGTAGTTGTGCCTTTTGTTAATTAGACATTTGTCGGATTTAATAAATTTTTAAATAATTTTTGAATTTTTACTACATATATGAATTAGTTTTTGGTATATAATCATCATTCTAAAGCATATTTTAGAAACTGTTTAAGATACCTTTATAACACTTTTACATTTATTAACCTATTATTTTGTTTTCGGATGACCACCCTTCCGTCCCGATTTCATTTCCGGAGCATATTTCATTATCCGTTCAAGAAATCATTTTGAAACTTTGTACAAACTTCGAACTATTATAGTATTTTATTATCTGATGTATAAGCTTGTTGTTTAACATACAGCAGCTGATTGAGGTAGCCAAAGCTACAGTGAGTAGCGACCGTGTCTTGCCGAGCTACTGTGATCAGAGTATGAATCTTCTGACTAGTCCCATAGATATTCCAAGATGTTGTTTTTCCTTATGCCTTCCAAACAAGTGCAAGGGCGCGGGATGGGGATGACTTGTCATCTTGTTCACACCGAACTTGAGATGGGATTGTTGGCTAATCAAACATGATCTAGGGACCGTTATCAATTCGAAATTTATTGGTGTAATGTAACGCTAATGAAGACGGGCATACGCCATACAGTGTGCTATGAGAGGGAAATTTTGCCCGGGAAGCGGCGCTACGGCCTACTCTTATATCGAATTCCAACTGCCAAAGGATCTTTTACGTGCACGCCAATGTGTAACGGGACCTCGGTTTTTCGTCCCATCCGAACGACTAGACAGCTGTCCTTGTCAGGGTTGTGACTGGTCTGCTGATAAGTTAACACCAGTTGTTGAACCTTTATAGATCAACACACACGGTAGGTTTGTCTTTTGTACCGAAAGATGTGTGGTTCCAGGACCGGTGGTGGTTGGTTTTGTTGGATGATGATGATGATATTTCATTATTAGTTTGTTGTTTTTCTTTTATAGACAGATGTATCTTGTGGTGTGGTGTATATCTATGCGTCATATGATTCAACTCACCCAAGTGATGCTCTATATACCTATAGTGATGTAGCCGAGGAAGGGTCAAGGTCGGTTATGACAGTAAGAGATGATTCTGGTCGACCTCTGTATATCAGCTACCATGGTAAAAAATACAACATCACCGCCACTAGGAGAAATGTAGACTGTGAACATCCTACTATAAACAGTACAGTCATGCAGGGCAAAGAACCCGGTAGGACGATCTTTTTTAGAACAACTCAGCAAATGAAAATAGGCAATGATGACAATATTTGTATTCTCTTCATCAAATTCCAAATTTTATGTTCATACCAAAGACTACCTCGTTGGCCTCCCTTCCTTCACCACGGACAACGAGAACACCTGGCCGTAAAATCCCAAGGAACTTTCTCGGCAAGCTCCGGGATCAAAGGCGGGACCTCCTGATTAGACCTCACTTAGCCATTGCCCCCTCTTCCCCACCCGTAAGCATTTATGTGTCCATTTTTACACGTTGGCTATTGCTACATCAGGGGAAACCCCTGTGTTATATATTACTCGGTTCCTTCGGCTTCTGTCATCAAAGTATAAAAAGCCAGAACTTTCTTCTTGGTCCATAATTACAAACTGAGGCGTGGACAGATACTGTAAAATCGTATTTACCACATTAGGTATACACTCTTTCTACGTCAAATTATGACGTCACATCTATCAAATTACAGTTAATGGTGGATGGACAGAATATCAGGAAATCGGATTTAGAACTGAGTGCTCGGCTACTTGCGGATCAGGAACACAGACTCGAAACATAACCAGAAGGTGTACTAATCCAGCTCCCTCTAAATGGGGTAAAGACTGTTCAGGACTCTCAACTACAACAGAGGCTGTTGAATGTAATATACAGCCATGCCCAGGTATGGACAAATGTACAGGTTTCATCGCGAAAGTAGTGAAATGAAATTAAATGGGGTTTAACGGTCTTCATTTCTGCACCAGCAGAAATTTGAGTAGGCGGTTTGTACTCACCGCTTCAATACGTAGCTTACAAGCAATGTTTTGTGCAAATCGCGAAAGCCGGAACAACATTATTAGACCGGCCACAGCATAACCAGCACACCTTTTTTTTATTTGAAACCTTTTATTGTTTCTTTTTGAACTCGTATACATAAATACTAAAGAACAGTTTATTGAAAGACGAGTCGATAATTGAACAATTGCAAGTAGTTCGAATTTCATACTCCATAGACAATCACACTCGCGCAGACAGCGACGTTTTCTCCTATTCTTTTTAGAATAATGCTTGGACCGTATTTTTTATAAATGAGTTGTTGCACTCAATGGCGTGCAGAAGTTTATTGATGCCTGGGTGCATATCCTTGGTCGTAAGGCTTAGTACTCAGACGTGCGAAATGGATACATTTAAAATATGGATGAAAGTCGATATTCAAATGAAGTATGGCATCTTTTTCAACAACAAATTTTTACATTAAAATTTTTTTTTAAATTCGCTCGTTGATTTGATCTCCCCACCCCTTCAAATGGATGCCCGGTATCATCGCCTTCTTTTCCCGCTCTCCAATGCACTGGTTGTTTAATTTATTATTTAATTCTTACAATATTAGAATCTGTATCTTTTTTTTATAGTTGATGGTGGATGGTCCAGTTACGCGGAACCCAGAAGGAGAACTCTGTGTTCGGCTACTTGTGGCACCGGAAGTCGAACTCGAACTTTGATCCGAAACTGCACCAGGCCAGCTCCCTCTAACGGCGGTCTTGACTGCCAAGGCAATTCCACGAAAACCGACGTTATAAATTGTAATACACAACCATGTCCAGGTACGGATAACTATTTTCGTCATTCAAATTGTATTCATTTCAGGGGCCAGCAGAGCATATTTTTCCTCTTAGATTCATGGAAATAACGTCGAACAAAGAAACGTGGGAAACATTGTCGCCATTTTGGCTCACTATAATGCTATACGTAAATGCACCTAAATGAGCAGAAATGTCCCCGAGCTTCTGATTTAATAGCATTTCCGGGTAATTCCCCAGACCTCTCGCCAAACGTGACGTTGTCTCCATCACGGACCCCTCTGCTCATATTCCTGAACATGCCCCTGGATTTTAGTATCAAAGGACGGTGTCGAGGGTTCCATTTCTGTTTTGGTCGAGAAAGCTCCCCATGATTTCCTAGTTCGCTAACCAGAAGGTCTCGGGTTCACTGCCGGTATTGGCCGAGCAAGTTCCTCGGGTACTTGGTCACTAACCAGGAGGTTCAGGTTTTGATTATGAATAGACGTTATATTTGCCTTATTTTGATTAATTTAAAGTACTTTATATTATTTATCATAACCCTCCACGGATTTTTATATAGCCTTGTCTAATGCCTCAACTGAATTCAATTAATCACAATATATGAACCGAACATCTCACTTTTTACAGTTAACGGCGGATGGTCGGAATTTGAGGAATTCGGAAGTAGAACTACGTGTTCGGCTTCTTGCGGAACCGGATCTCAAACCCGAACTTTGAATCGAACATGTACCAACCCAGCTCCAGCTAATGGTGGTCTAGATTGTGACGGAGATTCAACTAAATCAGAAGTTGTTAATTGTAACACACATCTTTGTCCAGGTATGTGTATTAAATTGTTCGTTACTTTTATGTTTTCTTGGATGCTGTTGACTCTGCTTGTCTAGTTCCAGGCTTGTTCTTTATTTCTTTTTTTTGAGAGTTACCCTATTTATCGCGGTGTTTGGGAATTTCCGACCTCCCCAACCGATTTTTAAATAGACTATCTGTGTTGGTTCTGGTGGCCATTATTCCACTATTACCTTTCATTGAGTATTCAAACCTATTAGTTTATGTTTCTGTGTACGATCGTAAAGTTATAAGCGACCCTATTGGAATAAAATATCTGTTCTTGTCAGTTTTACGTAACAGAACCAAGTACCATGTCGTATAGGTCATAGTTTCTTTTATCTCGAACTTCTGGGGTTACAGGAACCTCAAACCGCTAACATTAGCGCTGTTGTATACAGATATGCCATTTAAAATTTACAATATTTTTCTTGGTAAGACCATGGAGATTTTGAGTAAGAATAACGACAAGCGTGGTAGAGAAGCGCAGTTCTGAACCACAGGAATATTAATTACTTTTGTTGAAATACCAATTATTTGCTAAATTATTTTACACACGAAATCTAGCTACATGTTGTCACTTTAGAATTGTTATTATTTTACAGTTAATGGAGGATGGTCAGAATATGAGGAAACCGGAAGTAGAAGTATGTGTTCGGCTTCTTGCGGAACCGGATCTCAAACCCGAACTTTGACTCGAACATGTACCAACCCAGCACCAGCTTATGATGGTCTCGACTGTGACGGAGATTCAACTAAATCAGAAGTTGTTCATTGTAACACCCATCTTTGTCCAGGTGTGTGTATTAAATTGTTCATTACATTCTTGTTTACGGGGTTGTGATTGGCTTTGGTTGGGGGCGTCGGTGTCATCCCTCTACTACCAAGCATGCAGTCAAACTTATTAGTCATTTTCAATCTATGGCGGACAGTACATGCTGACCCTTTCTAGGACTTCACACGTTGTTACGTATTTCCTTTTGTATAAACCAGATTAACTACAGTGCAGTTTATACTCCTTGGACTTCCTAAATAAACTGTGCATTGGGTGTGACACGCGCCACCACTATGAAAACAAATGAAATGGGGTTTCTGCACTCACTGAGCTAATGAAGACAGATGCACGTCATACAGTATGCTATGAGGGGAATTTTGTCCTGATAGCTGCGTTACATCCTACTCTTATTGCAAATTCCAACTATCACGGGACCTCGGTTTTCGTCCCTCTTGAACTACTGAAAAGGGGAAACCACACTGGAAAGTCCAGGGGGACTTTCTCGGCCATACACCTCAATGGATCTCCTGGCCAGTGAGGCAGCGCCTTAATCACTGAGCCACCAAGACTCCAACTATGAAACATAAATTGTGAAGTATCAAAAAAAGGATCTGCCACATTCCATTTTATCATAATGCATAGCTGACGAACGTAATATGTCCGGAAAGCAACGACCTGTTTAGTGGAAAATATTCTTGCCTCAGTAGTTTTGATGTTCACGATTTTTTCAATATCAAAGTCATAATTGTGTACAAGCTTTGGCATAACCGTTCAACCGAGAAGTGTTAAATTAAAGTTGATGTTATTATTATGATTGGAAAGTTAAAATGCTCCCGGCTGGAATAAAGTTTTTATTAACAGAGACGAGCAGCACGTTGTGTTTTCGCTAAAGTTAGATTCTTTATTCTGAAACTCCTGGTGAAGATGAAATACAAAGGCAAAGAATCACTTATTGTAGGCAAGGGTGTGGATATCTGTCTTGAATAAATTTGGTTGTCACTTTAGAATTGTTACCATTTTACAGTTAATGGTGGATGGTCAGAATATGAGGAAGCCGGAAGTAGAACTGTGTGTTCGGCTTCTTGTGGAACCGGATCTCAAACCCGTACTTTGACTCGAACATGTACCAACCCAGCTCCAGCTAATGGTGGTCTAGATTGTGACGGAGATTCAACTAAATCAGAAGTTGTTAATTGTAACACACATCTTTGTCCAGGTATGTATAGTCAAAACTATTGGTTCATTTTTCATAATCTATGGCGGGTGTCTTCTACGTGGCAAGACCAAGACTTGCGGACATGCTATAATATAAGAATTCTAATCATTTTACAGTTAACGGTGGGTGGTCCGAATTTGAAGAATCCGGAAGTAGAACTGCATGTTCGGCTTCTTGCGGAACCGGATCTCAAACCCGAACTTTGACTCGAACATGTACCAACCCAGCTCCAGCTAATGATGGACTAGACTGTGAAGGAGATTCAACTAAATCAGAAGTTGTTGATTGTAACACACAAATATGTCCAGGTACGTACAGACGTCATGTTTTGACCTGGTTGGGGTTCATTAATATTTTCGTCGTTGGTTCATATAATTCTCCATTGCCGTCAACTACTTGAGAACTTGGGTCGCCTGCATATCACGTGGGGTTTCTCGTGTTTTTCTCGTGTTTTGTACGTGACAAGGAGTACGGTCGCCTGTCCAACCTCGTGGGTTTTCTCCGGGTCCTCCAGTTTCCTTCCACTGCTAAAGACCCCTACGCGCAAGCGAATTATGTAAATAAAATTAAACCATATGTTAGTCCCGAAATGACCTAGTTTGTGTCGAGTGGACGTTAAACCCCATTTCTCTCTCTCTCTCTCTCTCTCTCTCTCTCTCTCTCTCTCTCTCGTGTTTTTCGATTATCTCCCAATACTAATTGTTCCAACGTAAAAAAACAAGTTCGTCTAGAAATGACCTACGTTTATTGAATGGACGTTGAATCCCATAGCTTTACTGACAATTCACCATATGCATTTTTAATCTTGTATCACATGATCTTGTTTACTTCAAAATGGAAACCGAGTAACCCGATGTTTTAATTTGTTTTGGTTTATATTTTATATGTTTATGTAGGACGATTTCGGTGAGTATGGGTGTTGAAGCAGAGGTCAGAAAAGAAAAGTTTGCCTGTTCCGGTACATTTTGGGCGTTCGTCGGAGCGATTTCAGAATCACCTGAACTCTAATCCGGGCCGGATGTTCAATGTACATGTAATATAGCCCGTTATTTTAAACCGTGACTTTTTAGTAAAATGCATTTCCTTTCTCTCTCCAAATATCACAGGTTGGTCTGAATTCTCGGAATGGTCAGATAATGATGAATGCAACGTCCTCTGTGGCTCCGGCACAATAGAGCAAAGGAGATCAAGAACGTGTCGAGGGGGTGTAGGCTGCATTGGAAGTAGTCAGGAAACCAGAACGGTTGATTGTAATACACATGCTTGTGTCGGTAAGAAATCTTCTAGAACACAAAACAATTAAAATCATGGGAAAAATAAAATTACGTCTTCCGTAGAATTAATGGCTTCGCAATCTTATGCATTCGCGGCAATATTCGGTCATAGCGGCCAAAAATAAAATTATGGCATCCGTAGAATATTCGAGCATGAAGAAAGAAACTCCAAATTAATTCAACGGACAGCGCTATCATAAACATGGAAGTTATGCTAAATCAGCAAAATCGTTTGTTTCGTAGCAATCAACAACATTCGGGGTAGTATTCGGGCGCGACAAATATAAACCCTTAGACGGAATCAGTGGGTTTGATAACCATGTCTACCCAACTTCTATAAAACTGAAAGTAGAGAATATATAGTGAACGTATTATAACAGCCTCAATGCGACAGAAGGCAAATAAACGTGTATTTCCTTATCAATCTAACAGATCTGTGCATAGAGGAAATATTGTTCAAACTTGTTCCTTTGTTTTGTTGAAAAAAGGCATTGATGTACATGTCATTTTACTTTTGTTTATGTTTATTTAGTCAAAGTTACATATTTTAAGATGGGCAAATATATATGAAATATAATATAGTGAATGTGTGTGTACACTATATGTAGAATAGCCGAATTTGTTACCCTCAAAACAGAGCATCATTATTTATGAGGTTATCTATTTTTAAAACAAATCGTTTTTTTTTTTTTAGTTTTCCTGAGTTATGTATTTCTAAAATGAAATCGTTTTTTTTAGGTGTACATGCATGTCCAAGGAACGTCGTAAGATATTTCTCGCATGCCAGAAACGCCAAGAGATTTTACCAATGTGATAACGGGATTGCCAAACTTCGCAAATGCGCACCAACAACCGTCTGGAGTCAAGATGCCCTGACCTGTATTTTTGAGAACGTTCCTGTTCCACCACAGCCCACTACCCAGGCACCGGACACCGAATGTGCCAACAACAGGCTGTTTGTGGCTCATCCAACTGACTGTTCAAAATATTACAGATGCGTTTTCGGAAGGCGAAGTGCAACTCCAATGTCATGTGCACCTGGTCTCGCCTTTAACCAAGCCATTAGCAATTGCGATTTTATCGCCAACGTCCCCGGATGCTAGAAAGCACGAAGGTTGTTTCAGTAGAATATTTCTTTTTGAAAATTTATTTTAATTAAAGGAATAAAGAGGCACAATATTTAACTATTATTTAAATTTATACTTATATTTCGGAGGAAAGATGTCTAGTCCTGGCGCGCACAGATGTCTTTGGCGCGCACATAAAGAACCTTTGTCAGTTGGGATTTCAATAGCTCTCAGACACACTTAGCACACTCAATCATTCATTCATTGGTAATATTTCTACTCTCGATCGACCCGTGCATATACGACAGCGGGGTATCTTCAGCCGAGAGAGTACCGTGGAATACAATTATTTTTTTTACTGTGCTCTTTAGCAAGCAATACGTTATTAACAGTAACTGTATTCCATATTGTGTCCTGTGGATTTCCAGTTCGATTACTAAGTGCCATTGGAACAATTTATGAGAGAGTACCGGGTTGCATTATATTATATTCATACCCCAAATTGATTGGACATCAGAGGACTTAAAATAACTCAATCTGGAGAACGTGGGCTAAAATAGTTTATAGCGTCAAAAGAGTTTGCTAATAGCATTAAACCGTTTACTAATAACTTTAAAACAGCTTACTATAATAGTTTTAAAACAATTTACTAACACATTAAGATAGGACATGACACAATTATATGTATTCCATATAATTATGTCATGTGTTATTCACATCCAGTTATTAAATGCCGCGTAAACAATTTACATTAAAATAGCTAACTAACATAGTTTACTAACATTAAAATAGTTTACTAACGTTAAAATAGTTTACTGACATATTACAAGAGTTTATTAAAATCTCTAAAACAGTTGATTAAAAGCGTTAAAACAGATTATTAAACAGATTATTAAAAGCGTTAAAAAGATTATAAAGCGTTAAAATAGATTATTAACAGCGTTAAAACAGATTATTAAAAGCGTTAAAACAAATTATTCAAATAAATTTATAGAATGTGGCTTTTACCCATGCATGAATTCCAATTACCGTCAGTTTAGAAGAACATATATAATCTATAGAATGCTTCTTCTACCCATGTATGAACTGACATGACCACCAATTACCGCCAGTTTAAAAGAACATAATCTATAGAATGCGTCCTTTACCCATGCATGAACACCAATTACCGTCAGTTTAAAAGTACATAATCTATAGAATGCTACTTTTACCATGGATGAAAGTGATTACTAACAACAGCAATTACTGTCAGTATAAAGGCATATAATCTATAGAATGCCACTTTTACTCTGCCTTCAGTTTCACCTCGCAAACTCAATTTCTTTATTAATACATGTAACATCTTAAAAATAAAATAATTTTATACTTTTATGACTAATTAAACTCACAGAGGCCAATGTAGTGACACAACTATCGCCTAACTCCAAATATTCACGTTTAAATTAATGAAGCGTCGTTTTTATCCGACTTGAAAACGCCATCGAAATCTACTGTACGGTGACTGTACACGCCTCTTTTCATTCGGAAAACCTCGAAATTGGCACTTTACATCTAACCTCGGCTGTACGACGGTAAGTGATATCATGGACCGTATATACGGTAAATGATGATATGCAGCTACACTCGTACAATTGTGATGCGGCTACCGGTTTATTTATTATTAAAACTTAGAAAGAAATTCTCAAAATGGCATCGTTCGAAGAGTGTGTGGGGCTTTCATTGCAAGGTTGTTGGGAACCGGAATGACCTTTTATAATAACAAGCAGCGTTTCAACGTAACTTCCTAGGGACGTCTGACAACGCTTCGATTTAATATACGATGATGTGTACCCATTTCAGGTAGGATTATATGCTTAATTGTATTTGGATGTGGCAGAAATGTTATAAATAACAAGAATCAATCGTTGTTTTGGTGAAAAATGTTGTTAATTGCGCTTAATGAAGTCCGATGTTATCCGGGTTTGCAGGTAAAACTATATAGCACCATCTCCTATCTCACGGAGGGTTAAGAGATAACGTATCTTACCTACTTCTACCCATGCATTAATGTGATTACTAATACAAGCAATTACCATCAATATAAAAGCATATAATTTATAGAATGCGGGTTTTAGCCATGGATGAACGTGATTACTAATAAAAGCAATTGCCGTCAGTATAAACGCATATATATGAAATGCGGGTTTTGCCAATGCATGGCCGTGATTATCTAAGTAAGGCAATTACCATCAATATAAACGCATAATATGATATATAAAAGCAAATTAAAGTCAAATTTCGCTCAATTTTCGATATAACGTCACGAAATTTGTTTAATGTGTCAGTAAACCTGTTGTGGGTGCATAATATTATTATTATAAAAATGTTGGGTTGGGCGGTCATATCGTGAATTGTTATACATGTAGCATACCAAATTGAACAACCGGTTAATACTGTTAAAACTGTTGTAATATAAACGAACAAAAAACAAGGGGTTGGGGTTGTAATCATCCATTTATTCATACTAACTTTAGAGGAGCATTAGGTAAGATTAGATAATTTCGCGTTTCAGGTCACTCATAAAATTCTGTCACGTAGTAAATTTTGCCGGACAACGACGTTTCTAACACTCTCCCAATCGAATTCAAAATGTCACTTATTATTTTACGTGCACATTAAAGTATACACGGTTCCTCGGGTTTTGCGTCCCACCCGAACGACAAATCGTTGTTCCGTGCCAAGGGAAACAATGGTGAAAAAATCTGCTAAATTAGGCCAATTATTATGTATTTTTAGTAACTGTACAGTTGGATTCTGTCCCTGGGCTCATTTCAAGCATCTAACTCAGAGTTATACTACTACCGGTACAACACCAGGTCAACCGCCCGTGATTATTATCAAATATCTCTTGTCGCATACCTGGAAAACACAGGAAGTTCCCCTGTAACTGTGGTATGTTAATAAATGTTAGCAATAATAAAACATAACCCGCAGAGATACGAGTGAACGAATCCAGGAATTTCTTCAAAAAGGCCAGGGGGGGGGGGGGAGTTCTTTCGACATCTTTTAGTCTCTCGTTCTGAAAACAATAATGATTACTGACTAATTAATAATTTAGATAACATTTCAGGCCTAAGGAAAGATCTGCAATAGGCAGATTTAGCACTTGCATAATGTATGTTTAATATTTCAAATATACTATTCAAAAAAAGTAGGGGATATTCAGAAATAATACAAAACTGCGGAAATGCACTGCTGTTTTTATTAGAGGTAACCAGTGTATGTTAATAACAGGCCAATTGCCTACACATGAACATAAACAGTTCATATGGGCGGCTTTTGATTTTTGTCTTAGTAATGAGTAATTGCTCCACCAATCCTCAGACATTCAGCAATTCGTCGTAGCATGCTCTTAATCAACCGTCCAATCACGATTTGGGGCAATCTGACCCACTCCTCTTGCAGTGCCACGGCCAATTCTTGCAGTGTTGTCGGTTAACGTTGACGTCAACAAACACGTCTTCCGATCAAATTAAACGTAACACACTAAAGCAAAGATACGCTAAACAGTAAATCTTATGCAAGAACCGATAAGAAAGCAAACATGGATAGGATATTATAAACCAGCAAGCGGTAGTTTTCATCAACTCTTCCTTGAAGTGTCAAATTTGACAATGAACCCCTCCTACGTGTATGGCGCTATTGCGTGTCGCACATGCAGCTCAGTGGTTCTGTTGGGGTGATAGAGAGAGAGAGAAATGGGGTTTAACGTCCACTCGACACAAACTAGGTCATTTCGGGACTAACATATGGTTTAATTTTATTTCAATAATTGGCTTGCGCATAGGGGTCTTTAGCAGTGGGATGAAACCGGAGAAAACCCACGAGGTTGGACAGGCGACCCTACTCCTTGTCACGTACAACCGGGGATTCGAAACCACGCCAGTCGACTCAATGACAGACTTTATGATACAGCGCGCGCACGCTAACCATTCAGCCCCCCCTTCCCTGTTGGGGTGATAAGTTCTTCATCTGTGAACATACTCTCAAAGCATGTCAAGTGTCAATGACTATTTATCATATCACAACCTGCATAGGTATTTGCATTTCAATATCCCCTACTTTTTTTTTTGAAGAGTATAGATTGCGATCAACCATCAGCGCGGTACCTATCGGCTTCCATAGAAAGCAGCGTGTGTCGTATTGTTTTCTAATTAGAGACTTTTGGCAAGCGGAGTTTTCCCCCATCCGTATCACGTATCCGTATCGTCACGTGATACGATGCGTTAATGTAGTTTTGGCTGATTTTCGCACCGGGTATAACGTATGAAATGAAATGAAATGGAGTTTAACGTCCTATATAACGTAAGAGTAGCTGAGCTGAGCTTAGTTCTATTAACAGCATGATCACATCAGTACTAGTCAAGTGCTTAGCCAACAAATTTTACTGGAGGGAGTGAAGTCGCTCGACATTCTCTGAGCTATTAAAAAAAAAATAATGTCGAATCTTATTAAAAATCTTCGACTTTGACTCGACAGCATTTTTTGGTTTCACTAATGTATCATTTCAGAAAGTTTATACCCCTTTACCGTAGAATCACATCATTTACAGATTTGCATGGTGCACTCCCTAAATTTAGCACGTAGATCAACCAGCATGCAGACACAACATTTCAGCGTCTAACAGTAGCAAAAAGACGGTAAAAAGACGACGATGTCATACGGACCTTTTCCGTATGAAAGCTGTTCGATACGTGTGGCCGTATCCGTGTGCCGTGACACGTAGGCCTATGAGAAATACACACACACATTGATGACGTCAGACGCAAAATCGATACGGATACGCGATACGGACCAGGAGTTTACGCTTGCCAAAGTCTCTTTTGTATCACCACAGGAATCTGACCTTCTAATCGTATATATATGCATACACCATACTCAACTAGACAATATAGAAGGAATGCAATGCCTGTTGAAGTCTCGATTTTACCTGCTCTCGCTTCGGAACGTTTTTTTTCAACAATTCATAATGTCAGGCAATCAAACCTTTGTCGATTCATTCAGATATGTTTTTCCTTCAATCTAGCCGTTTGATTTGCATAAATACTACCCCAAGATACCATAGCCACTTGTTTCCAATATTTACATTATTTTAGTTCGTTGGCGTTTATCATTGAATCCATGCGCTGACGTCACACAAAAACCTAACCAAACTCTGAAGTCCCGTATATACTTCCGCCTCAAGATCATGAATATTCACCAAAACCTGGCAGAAAATGTATATTCAAACCCTCTTCTTCGATTCTACACCCAAAAGTCAACAAAAATCGCCATGCAAAAGGGGGAAATGGAAAGGGAGAGAAAAACTAAAAATATCTTTGGCCCTTGTTTCAATGGTCTAGTCACTGTGGATTGATTTTGTGTGAAGTCAGCGCATGGATTCAATGACAGGCATTGCATTCCTGTTCTTTTTTTATTATATTGTGTAGTTCGGTATGGTGTATGCATATATACGGATAGAAGGTCAGATTCCTGTGGTATCACATAGTTACCCGTGTTGGAGTGCGTAGCGGGCGCTCTATTTTTCATAACACAATAGATAACGGCTTTAATAAATACTCGAAATAGATAGCTGATTGTGACATTCGAACTGAAACAGAAATGAAATGGGGTTTAAGGTTCCTGCACTGTTCTGCTCAGATTTGTCTAACGCCTACTCTTTCGAATTTGAACTGTCAAGGGTTCAGTTACATGGACGCTAATGTGTACACGAGAATTCGACTTTTAGTGACCATCCGATTGACTAGACAATGATCCTTTCTCGGCCAAAAGCGGGATAGAATCCGTAACACCGCTGCATACTATGATAAATGCAGCTATACAAAAGACAATTCCTAGAAACAGGCAAAATGTTACCACTAATTTACTATCAAGCTATTAATATTTTACCTGAATTCGTTCAGTTATTCTTGGGAAACGGTTGATGTGTCATTTTGTTAAACAATGATTAGAAAGAAAAAGTACGAAAGAACACGCACTTGACACCGTAAATACTTACCGCCAAAATCTCCACCCCTCTACTATGAAAGCCCGTGGTGGCCATTATATAATCTCTAGCCTACTTCTCGCCGGTGAAAAAGTGGAGAAGTCGAGGGAGTAGCGTTATACTGAGAGACTGAGAAGTCCAGGATACATTTTAGCACAGATATCTTTTTAATTTGTGATCTTCTGCTCATTTAAACCCCGAATTGTTTGAAAACGTTTACCTGACGGCGTCCACTCCATTAAATCAGAACTTCTTTCAAATTGATAATAAGTAATGTACTGTTATGTCATCGTTGGTCCTTCATATTTAGATATCAATGGCATTGGCGTGTTTATCCAGTCTTAAACAGATTATTAAAAAACCTGTGAAAATCTAGAACTTTATTCGCAGTTTGCTTATATTAAAAATTACCAAAAAATATTTTGGCATAAATTCTATAGATTATGTATATTTCAAAACACTTTCTTATAGTTTTATCAGCGCAATTAATTAATCTCATTGTATGATCCGGACTATAGATGGATATAATATGTCGTTTTTTCCAGCTTTTTTATGACCATGCTTTGGCCTTTTTGTAATTTCACAGTTTTTGTACCAGATTCTCAATAATATAGACCCAACAGCTATTTTTCTTGTGTTATAACATTAGTAAGAACGCTATCAAAATTCAGAATATTTTGACTGTAAACAGTTGAGATGTAGGGCAGGTAGTTACATATTTATAATTAATAGTTTGTGTACCTAAAATATCCCTTGGCTACCCCCATAACTTAATTCACCAACTAACTAACTGAAAATCATAACAAATGACACATTAACATGTCGTGGAAAACATTAGCATGGCGTGGTAAGCACCAGAATGTCGTGGTAAACATCAGCATGTTGTGGTACGGTAAGCATAAACATGGTGTGATGAACATTAGCATGTCGTGATAAGCATAAGCATGTGGTGGTAAACATTAGCATGTTATGGTAAGCATTAGCTAGTAAGCATTAGCATGTCGTGGTAAGCATAAACATGTCGTGGTAAACATTAGCATGTTATGGTAAGCATTAGCTGGTAAGCAGTAGCATTTCATGGTAAGCATTAGCATGTATCACTCTTGGGAGGTAAGATTTAGAATTTATTTCAATTTATGTCGGGGCTAATCAAGGTTGAAAGCCAAGGGGATTTCAATGGCTGCATTGATGACACTCTATCAGGGATTCTCCATTAGTGAATTGGTATGGTTTGAGCCATACTCCTCGCAGTGTTTCGTTTGATTAGAGCTAATCCCACTACTCACTGTTGTAAAGAAGGCAAATTCTTGTTCTAAATTACGACTGGTCAATAGTCCGATTAACAACCAATATCTAACTGCGTAACAATACCAAACAGAGCTCCAAATTAGACCAAATATGTTTACATAACGTTATGTCATGACTCACGATTTTATTATGCCCAAGTAACCAATGCATAGCAGAATATTGCAGAAAAACTAATTGTGTGACAAACAAGGCTATCAGTGTGTATATAATGTAAACAATACTGTTTTGAGTCGAACAACACTTTCGCCATTTTTAATACCTTATATCACTGCAAAATTTTAGGGGAGGCCCCTGATTAAAAGAAGGGCTGTCATGTTGCTGTGCTTGGGGATAGATTTGATTGAACGGGAAGAATAGAAACACTCCCTCAAAGGGCAAGTATCAGAAGCTAATCCAGCAATGACCAGAGAGGGATTTCTCGGGACATTGCTTCGGGAATATGGGCGTGAGCATGCTTTATAAAGGTAAGTATATAAGACACGAATTGTGCTCGTTTCAAATCCGTAAGTGTGGCAGTGTTGCCGACAATTTCCGGACGTTAAGCTGGGTAGCCATTCACCGTATCCCGTCCATCCTTTAAATTCTCATTCACAAAAACAAGATGGACAAGTTCCACTATTAAAATTTTTGTTTATTAAAGATTTTTATAAAAATAAATTTGGTGGATATTTCTCTTGGTGAACACATTACATGTATATACAAATAAAAATTGTTTAGTATTTACAATCATAATATTATCATGGTACATGTAAGTATAACCTGGGGTATAACATCTAAATACATTATGTTATAAATTGTGTTAACATGTTATAAACGGTTTTATCAAGGTATAACATCCGGTATATCATGTGGTATAACATGTAATATGTTATGGTATAACATGATCTATGTATGATATAAAATGTGGTATAACAGGATATATCATTGAAAACTTGACATTTCGTGGTATAAAATGTGATATATCATGATATATGGGGTATAAAAGAATATATCATGATATATGTGGTATAGCAGTATATACTATCATGGGATATAAGATGTGTATATATGGTATAATATTACGTATATCAGTAAGAAATATTTGTATCTTAGCATAATTTTAAAAAGCTCTGGAATGAATGCATTTTTCTGTTTACTAGTTCTGTGGGTTTTTGTTTCTTGTAAAAAAATGTGTAATCACAGAATAAAAACTTATAAGCACCATTTATTAAATAAAGATTATCTATGTGGTTGTTGTTACCAGTGCTAGTAGGTTCCGAAACATTTTTTTCTTCTTAAGAATTTAATTTGAAGAAGGAAAAAAATGTTAATATTAAGGGCTAACTGACTCGCCCCGGTGTCATTCTTGTAAATGGTTTTAGTGGCCAAGCGAATATTCACTGCTGGCAGTTCAGTCTTCAATGCAGAGAATCGGATACATTTGTCAGAATGATTATCAAATATAATCGAATTTGTATTTTTATACCTTACTAAATTTATTCTGACTTATCAGGGATGCTAAATAATATTGTTAGATTTTGTAAGATTGAGTACAAGAGGAAATTGTAAAGCTAAATATGTACTATACAAAGCCAAGCCCCTATATAATTAAAAACTTAAAATGCTACTAATTTTGTTATACTGCTTAACAAGGCTGGATAGAGAAATAAACTGCATCACATACTTGTGGAAAACAGCTAATAATATATTTGGCGACGTTTTGATGAATATCACAGAGTAAATTTTCTCTGTGTGAGTATTCTCTCTTCAAGCCAAAGGTCGCCCAAATATATTAGTACCGGCAAGTCCAAATATATTAGTAGTTCTTTTCCATGCGTTATGCTCTACTACAATTATCTGTTAATAGCATTTAATTATGATTACGTACACACAGTCAGAGATTTCATAATTATTTAAAATATTATCCATTCATTATCATATCAAACAACATTCTATATAAATGTATTTAATAAAATGGTCACTAATCTGTTAAGCATAAATAATTCCCTACGCATTATATTGACTAGAAATATGGTGCTATGACACCCTTGTAACGATCCGCTATAATGATCAATCGGCATTCCTCGGATTTCTTGCCTAACCCAGAAAAAATCACTAAGATTAAGTAACAAAAGTTAGATTGGGTGTCTTTATTTAGTTACTACTTTAGAGTTTGCCTGAAATAAATTATAATGGGAAAACAGTGGTTTTATGTATTTAATGGTCATAGCTTTATTTATATCCTAATGAGCTAATCCATTCATTTTTATAGTACCGTAACCCATGTCAAATTATGAGGTATGCACACAGTAGTATAAGCTATTATGTTTGTTCAGGTATTGTATAGATGATATGTCCCAGTATTTATATTTAATAAAATAAATACGTATATGCACAGTAAACTGAATAATAACCAAAATGTATAAAAGTTAAAGTATGATGCTCGCTGTCCAGTCTAATTGGATTTGATACAATCTTTGGAAATACCCACTTGATCATCATATGCGACCATTTAACCCAGAAAATGGGTTGAAGCCATCTAATGGCCTGAAAAAGATTAAAATAAATTCAAATTACAACCAATCGTGTTTCACCAATACCGACCAAGCTTTACCATAGCATTTTAAAACTGATAGAGAGGCTGAAATCGGATTAATCACGAATACTCCTCTTGCGATTCGATGGGTGTCCGGGAAAACTTTAAGGCCTAAAACCTAAACAACAGGACCACACCGATTAAACAGAAGTATAAAAACAATTTTGTAAAATTTTAACAAAAAGACAAAATTTTTCTAAATAGTGATGTATAATAAGGCACGTTATTTCCTGTAAACTATATTTATATACAAAAATATCTTTAGGAAGCTGATTTATATAAGCCAGTGGCTTGTTTCTGTATCCCGTTTTATAGTTTAAATAAAATAGTCTATCTATAAAAGCAGTTGTCTCCCCTGAACTAATATCTTACAGATTAACCCTGGGAGTAGAAACGAATTCTCCCTCCCAGATTAAACTGAATTATGAACACAATCTGTGTGTATAATTATCAATGGTGGTATTCACGAACGCTGCTTAAAACTAATAAATGTTTAATTAAGTGTGATTTAAACTAATTCCTCATAGATAAATTGTTTCAATGGCAATTAGTAATTGAAATGGAATATACAGGTCACAATTATATGGAATACAATTACACGTACTGTTTAATTACTGAGCGACTTTTCGACCAGGCGCCTGTTTTAAGTAGTAATTGTATTCCATAAAATTGTGACCTTTATGTATACTCATAGATAAACTCTGTTTAGTCAGAATCAGCATTCAAAAATTCGAGGTTAATATATTATATATACGCATATATCTCCCTGATTATCTTTTGGCCACTTTTAAACATTACGTACAATGATATTAAAAAGTCATTCTAATTTCAATAAAATAAAAAGATACATTTTATTCCACTGAGTCTTCCATTATACGGTCTAAATACTAAATACAAGATACCTTAATGTTATAAATATAATATTGCAATTCATGCCCAGACAAAGGGTTGCTATAAATCTAGTACATTTAGTATTTAACTGGTTAATAATTTATTCCCGTTCTATCATCTTAAATATCACAATCTCAGATTTAGCCAAAAGTTTGATTAATGCAAGTGTGTCTGATCCCGTCTACATGAGATTTTAAACCTGGGTTTTAAAGCTGATTTAAGCACATATCTCTTAACAATTCAACAAGAATATAAAACAAATTATTGTAACAATAAATGTTATGAATCCGCAAACCAGAACACAGTCGATAATCCCACAATTAATACTAATATAGAACCTTGATATCTAGGACTACCACCACGACTACCACTACGTCTACTGGACGTTAAACGAGTTGACGAACATGTAATTTCGCTTAGATCTTCCAGTTCACATGAAATCTGGTAACTTCCACCGTGTGCATCAAATAATTTTTTCTCTGAAAAAAAAAATAATAATAACATAAGTGTGTGCTTTCATAGATTCGAGCAACGAAACATGTCAACATCAGCTAAGTCGTCCGCAACTCCTTCAACGAGTAACCAACCAACCCCAAACCAAAAATAAACCAAATGAATAAATGGCACTATACTAATAATAAAACCAATCTCCCGACAATCTTCCTCTATTTTGTTTGTCTAACCTTTCGACCAAACCCTCTCGTGACACTATCCTGTGTCGCGGTACCAAATAAAACGACTGTGGCACTACGGGGTCGATGTGACTGTCCTGGTCACGGACTCCAAATAAGAGATAGGCTGTGACACACCTGTGTGCCGCGAGATCTTCCTAAGTGTACCGCGAAATTTTGAACGGCACACTAAGAAAATGCGAAAAACCGCGTGATCCCTATTGAGTATTCACTAGTGTCTACTGGTAAGGTTCATAGCTGTGTTCTACTTTTTTCAGTTTGAGTCATTCTATGTGTCTATGACTAGTCTGTGTCTACGGTTGTATGCCGTCTATAACTTGCCATGTTTTTATTTTGCAAAATTCAAATATTTTTCATATATTATTTAGCCAAGTGTGCTGCTATTTTTTCATGTGTTCCAAGGTGTGTCGTTGGCAAAAAAAAAAGGTTGAGAACCATTGCTATAGGTAGAGTTACGTTGCGACTATCCTTCGTCACGGCACTGAAAAGGAATTAGCTGTGACATTTATCCTGTGTCTCGGTACCAAAAAGCGAAGACTGGGACACTATGGATGTGACATTTACGTCTAGGACTTTCTTTGACTTCACGCTGTGATAACTATTTCCAATAATCAATTAAGTCGGAAACACTGTTTATGTTGTTACTATATCGAATACAGAAAACTACAAAGGTTAAATACGGGAAAACTACAACATCGAGTTATCAAAATATCCACTGTCTGGGTTTGAAATCCTTTATAACTCTGACCTAATGGCTTAAACATCACATTTTGTCTATCGTATGCTCTCAGCCGTGGCGGTTGTGTGTATGACGTTCCACTAGGAACTCATGGATTATGCCTTCTCTACGGTCTCATCATAGCCGGGGAGGCTATGATGTTCCCCTCTCGGGTCGCTCTATGATGTCTGTATCCCTGGCCTCTAAGCCGAGGAGTCTGTGAGTATGACGTTCCCCTGATGTTCCCCTATCGGGCCGCTCTATGATGTCTAAAGGGAAATTTAACCTCACTCGTTCTTATAGTATAGATGTGTCAGCTATTAGGGCGGGACAATTAGCATTTTTCGGTAAGTGTTTCGTATGGGCACCGTTTTACGTCAACCTTATCCTAGATTGTACTAATCCGTGCACGAGATATCTGGAAGATAGTAACCCCCTTCCAGAAATGGATACTGGCATAACTGTCGGTGAGTTAGTTTAAGAAAGTCATAGAATAATGCAAGCTACTTCATTACCCTAGTTTTTGTCACACATCATGTAGGTAACGAATTTATATATTAAACAGAACACCTTTCTTAGAACTAAAATAACCCCTATAGTATTACATCTCTGCCAAACCCAAACTCTACCAGACAATCACCAGAAAAGTGTTAATTTATTTTGCCGACGTTTCGAAGAGTACTCTCGCAGCGTTTTCAAGGGCAAAACGTTGAGAGAATACTCTTCGAAGCATCGCCAAAATAAATCAGTTCTTCCATAATCATGCGTTACAGATATTGGTCTCTATCTAGTCACTAAATGTCGCTCTATCCAGTTACTAAATGTCGCTCTATCTAGATACTAAATGTCTCTCAACCTGATTAAAGTACAGATCTATATTGCGTTCCGTTTTTTATACTTTCGATGGCCTACACTACATGAAGATCTGACCAGTTGTTTTGGGGGGTCGCGTCAGAGGTCATACGAGCGGCTTTTGACCCTATGACGTCATATATTTGATTAACCAATCAGCATTGATGTTTCTAGTGGATTACCCACAGTTCCGTGCAGCTCATACCAAAAGCTCGCCGTAACAGACCGTTTCATTGGATAATCCCTCACATCACCCAGAACACGTCAATGATAACAACTCTTCCAGTAAAGACAAGTAAAATGAAATTTTGAACTATAAGAAATGAAACGAAATAGAATCTGTGTTTTAATCAGATTGAAATATCTCTCTCTGTCTAGTTACTAAATGTCTCTCTATCTAGTTACTAAATGTCGCTCTAAATATCTCTCTATTTCTAGTTATTAAATGTCGCTCTATCTAGTTACTAGCGGTCGCTCTATCTAGTTTCTAGCTGTCGCTCTATCTAGTTACTAGCTACATCTAAAGGATTAAGTTACCTTCAACTTTACTTTGTCGTATCTTGATACAGACACTGTCATCTATAGGATATGGTGGTATATATTCAACTACACAATCCACTCTAGGTAAACCCTTTTTACATACATTACAGCTAGCACTGGATGCTGTAAATACACCAAATAATATCCTTAATTAATACAATATAATATCCTTATTTTTTACCAATTAGTATCCTAAATTCCTGGAAAATAATATCCTTAATCCTTGCAAAATAATATTCTTAACTCAATACAAACTATATACTGGTAATATTGTCTTAAAGATAATATGTTCTTGTGAGCAGATAAACGAATGGCACTTCGGTTGTTATTCAGTGTAAAATTATATTTGAGTTTGAGAATGTAAATAAAATACATATTTAAAGGGTGCAAAGCTCTATTCTTGGGAATTATATTACTCCCACCAAGAAAACAAATATAATCAATTTCAAATAATCTCATATTCAATATAACGTCTAATTGCGTCGGTCTGTTCTAGTACTCATTGTAGTGCTCGTAAAAGAACTCTTATTGGCAGTTAGAATGCGATAAAGAAAAATCGGAAAATCCGCCTATGCCCATGCTATATTTTCCCCATAACATGTTTGCATTACCTCCAAAAAACATTTCATTTCATTTCTTTTACAATCTCATTTACAATGGAATATCATTACTGTGTATTAAGGGAGAAAGGATTCTCTTTGTCGAACAATGCTAATAGCGATATTGACATTTAACGTGTATATGGTATTTAATATTATCTCTATTGATAGGATGTCGGGCATCATAATGTCCGGTTATTGGCCTATCAATTAAACACACAGGTCGCTATAATGTCACCCGTATGTTACAATTATAAAAGTTATACGAAATGTGATGAAATGAATGACAAGAAAGGGGGGGGGGGTTAACGTCTTACGTTTATGTACCAACCGGGCTAAAGAACATAGTTACATGCACTAAAAAGCGGTGTTTCGGTCTATTGTTTTTCGTCCCATCCCAACGTATAGATGCTCTTTCCAGGCCCTATAAATGGGGCAGTTGTGTTATTGTCCCAACAAAATGGGGTGTGGCAACGGGTGTTCTAGGGCGAATATTATGTGTACTGGGCATTATAGTCTAGGTATATCACTCCGGGTGGAAGGAAGCTGGCGTTAATCTCACTTGTGAAATAAAATGAGGTGTCACGTCCTAGTCTTCTGTAATGAAGGCGGGGAGCTGTTTTTTTTTTATTTATTTAATATTTTATTTTATTTTATTTTATTGTATTTTTTTCGACATCGCATAATAATCCTTTTTTTAAAAATCGTCATAGTTTTAAAAAGAATGTGTAGCCGGAACAATTGCTGTCCGGGCAATAATTCTCATCCCTTGCGATTAAGAATAGCTTAATTTAACTTCATCCTATTCAATAGCGGATGTAACGCGGGTTCCAAATTGTATCCCGTTATGATGTCACATTAACCTCGAAAATTCTTCAAATTATTGTTCTATTTATGGAAAACAGGCAGAAGTGCGTGACCTCATTCTTTCGATATGTGAGGCTGTTTCGCACGTGACCCCTTTCTTCTTGAAGAACCCAGAACAGTTGTTCGTTATAAGATATGCCCTACACTCTCGCGTTGACAGTTGAAGCTCTTCCTTTGTCCGTCCAGGGACAGCAAATAACAAACACTGCGATCGGGTGAAAGGACGTGGGGAGAATACATAAAAAGACACGTCTTAGTTATAAAATAGAAAACTGAATTATTTTTTTTCTGTTGTGATATATTATCTGTTTATTGTATCATTTTCTAGGCTAATACTTGTACACAAATTTATGCGTTTCAATAACATGAAAATCCAATGAGTTACTGTTATATTATAAATTTATTATTTTTCCATGTTTACCAGAATTTCAATAATTTAGGCTTAAACTTAAACAGTATTTCACAAATATCGTATGAATTTAAAGGCATAAAGATAGGATACAAAAACAAGCCAAAGGATGCTTATATTGTATAGATTAACGGTATAGGAATAGTATACAATGTCATCTTTTGCGTTTATTTATTACAGTACCTAAAAAATAGAATTAAACAGCGGGGCAAATTATTAATTATCTATATTCGTGTGAATATTAATTGAACATGACTATTGTATTCGATTTAATGAAACCGATAACTTTCAGATTAACGAACTATAAGGGATCAAGATAAAATCACTGTAGCTACTTAACGACGAGTATATAGGTCTATATTGACATAAGAGGGTTTAATAAAATATTTTGTCTGCTTAGAGTGTTCCTTAACTTTTCTACACTTGAATATGGCTAAAGTGTAGCTGGTGTGTTCTATATAGTATTCCTGATCAAGGGTGTTTTATGGTTATATTCTAGATGAACTTCACGAGCCCATGAGGGGTTGGGTCATCTGACGTTTTAATTTCACTGATGCAATAAATAGGCGTATTTTCACAATAGATAAGGAGATGCAGTGTTTGATCGTAAATAGTAAATACAGATGGGAGTGCCAAATATCCGTTTACGATTGAAATTCAGGGGCTTGTTTCACGAAATTTTAACTAAGATAAAATCCAAATTTTAGTAATTTGATTGGATAATATTAAGATTGATTTTAGTGCTTAGCCAATCAAAATTGAAGTATCTACTAAAATCTGGATTTTATCTTTAGTTAGAATTTCGTGAAATAGGGCCCTGAGGCCTGTTTCACGAAATTTTAACTAAGATAAAATCCAAATTTTAGTAATTTGATTGGATAATATTAGATTGATTTTAGTGCTTAGCCAATCAAAATTGAAATATCTACTAAAATTTAAATTTTATCTTTAGTTAAGATTTCAAGAAACAGGGCCCAGGTTATTAATTTATTTCTATCTCGGAACTGAAATAATATGATCCGGGTCCTGTTTCATGAAATTTTAACTAAAGATAAAATCCAAATTTTAGTAGATACTTCAATTTTGATTGAATGGTAGAAGCGGACGTTAAATAAAGCTATTCACACGCACACGCAATAATCAACCGCATTGCATACGTAACAATAGAAATAAATGTCATATGAAAGTTTCAAAATGACTAATGCATTCACGTGTTGGGAGACAAATACAGAAAAATTTGTGATTAATAATGTAGAAACCGTACGTGTTGACTCTAATTTCAAGAACTCCGGAAGTGATATCATTTCCTTGATATAATGTTCTATACGAGATTCTAAAGTCCGAATTATAATTGCGGTCTGTATCCCAGTTTATTTAGGTTAATTTTAGTAACCGTATAGATTATTATATACTTTAATTTTAATAAAGTTCGTGATTATTATATTATCATTATTTTAAAATAATATTTAGTACAAACGAGTCTGTTTGTCAGGGAGTCCACGGTTGCCAGGGGAGTCAAGTTCCCCGGGCTTTCTGGTGTCAATGGTGTGGGTCTAGAGGGTCTCACGAGGAAAGGGGTTTAGTTGTCTGGATGGTACCAAAAATCATATTTCCCGTGAAGTGGAAGCCCGTTATGTCGTAGCACACTCTATGGTGTATATGCCAGTATTAAACCCCATTTCATTTCTAGGTTCAAATCGTTTTGTAAGAATAATTTCATGTATTAGTGTAATAATTCTTGAATTTATATACATTTGTATAAAACACCGTTTTCATTAGCACAGTGCGAGCAGAAAAGTAGGTCCTTAAACCCCATTTCATTTTATTTGTATAAATTGTTATTAATCCAAATTTTAAAAATAAATCTTAAATACCGGTACGTTTGACTAACCACTGTAATGTGAGAGGAGTTTCATAAATTAAATAATTCTGGCTGCAGTAGGAGCTGCAACAAAAAATAACTAATCATAAATAATATTAGCTTTTAAGTACTGGTTAAAAACTATTTATATTATATAGCTGATGTCTGTTCTTGTGTGGGTGAAAGTTTCTAGAATAGGGCTATGTTTATTTTCAACACACAGTGCTTTTTTAAAATACCGATTCTTCCGTATTAATTTTCTTTATACGCCATTTTTAAATGTCACTTTAACATGAGCTACAGAAGAAATCTTTCTATAGAACATGTGTTCACAATCATGGCATCGGTCACGTGACATCTAAATATTCCTTGACTCTCTAGAAAATGACAAAACTAAACAAAGGACTTTTAGAACATCTGAGTTCCTTATAATTGATAATAATTAAAACATTGATTGAAATAATAGTCTTACCTCTATCGATTGTATATACAATTGATATAACACAGAATAATAGCAACTTATCCATTGCTTTTACGAAGTGTGTTATATCTAAGCCTCGCCTCTTATTCGGCAACCACTGTTCAAATAACAGTCTAACTGAACCACACGCCTTAAATATTCATCCAACTAACACTAACTTCACAGTCGCAATATATATAGCACATATTATCCAGACCTGTACAATGCACGACTATTATAATAGTATGACCCTTAATTAAACTTATTTGTAAATTAATTATTTTTATCTCGTTGGTTAATTGCTTTGTTTTGGATGGTTTCATTGTAATTATAAGTTGGGACAAAATATATATTTACAAAGGGGCCTCATGAGTGGTGTTTGGACATGCGTGTTTATTTTAAAGTGCTATCCTAATCTACCAATAAAAGTCACTTAACCTTAATCCCTAGGTGTGGATTATAGTAATCGGTGGTTATCAAAGTTTTAGATACACAGAATAAACTAATTGGTATCGATATTCTCCATAATTGTGTTGTATCCTATTATGCGAATTATATAATTATACTTTGGCCAAGGCAGTGTATGCTATATTTAAGATGGTTTTAACTTTGTGGGTCATATGCTTACATTACTATACTTTATATCATTTATTGGATATTACTAAATATTTGGGATTTTCCCCGTTAAAATCCATTAAATATATGAGATTTTTCCCGTTAAATATAATTGAGATTGTTTTCCGTAAAATAAAATTGAGATTTGTTCCGTTAAATAAAATTGAGATTTTTTCCGTTAAATATAATTGAGATTTTTTCCGTTAAATATATTTGCTCTGAGTGTGTATACTTTTATCAAGGCAGTGTATTGTATAATATAATTCTAACAGTTCCTGTAGGGCACAAACAACAATGCACCAAAACTCTTAGGATATTGTTTAATAGCGTTGCCAAAGGGTTTTTAAATACACAAAATGTCTCTAATATGATTATTGCACTGCAAGCGTCAACTATTTAGATTCAATAATCTGAAAGAATTTTGAAAAAATATTGAAAATTAAAAAAGTTATGGCATTTTGAAGACCGCGAATTGGAGGCACCAAAATACGGCTTTTTTTTAAAAACGTAAAAAACCTGACCGAAGCTAATATCTCAGACACTATAATAGGTAGATCCACGAAACTTGCAGAATTTGAAGTTCAAGATGTACTGGATTGAATCAAATTATCGGGAGACTCTTCGGTTATATAGTGTGTGTGCTACAGACTCTCAAACTTACGACCGAGACAATTTTCGTTCAAGGTCACAGCAAAAAAATGACGTGATAGTTAATAACAAACCATGTATAAGTCCCAGGGCTTTGAAATATTTACCCAACCCGTTTTTTGATGTGATAGATACACAAATAATGTTTTCACATTGTTATCGTGTTTTTTTTATTAGGCATCAGCTACTCGAATTGCATTTTTTGACTATACCATGTCAAGGTCATACAGAAAGTGTAAGGTCACGGGTCAACTGTAGGTCTAGAGAGAGAGAGAGAAATGGGGTTTAACGTCCACTCGACACAAACTAGGTCATTTCGGAACTAACATAGGGTTTAATTTTATTTCAATAATTCGCTTGCGCGTAGGGGTCTTTAGCAGTGGGAGGAAACCGGAGGACCCGGAGAAAACCCACGAGGTTGGACAGGCGACCCTACTCCTTGTCACGTACAACCGGGGATTCGAAACCACGCCAGTCGACTCAATGACAGACTTTCTGATACAGCACGCGCACGCTAACCATTCAGCCATCCAACCCCCCTGTAGGTCTAGAGGCTATTAAAATATTCACAGTCTTTTCCTGGATACATACACATGCAAAACACACAGACAAAAATAGTTGTTTCAGGAATGGAAAATCACAAGTATTATGATCAATAAAAATATCTTTATTTCAATTAACAAAATCAATAAAACTTAAAATCAACAAAAATAAATAAATAACAGAATTTTTCTGGGTGAAAACTTATGACCTAAATCTAAAAATAACAGAAAACAAAACTGTGTATCATGATCAACATCAATCATATGAAAACTACCAACTACAAAACCAAAAATATAAAACTTAAAAAAATTAACAATATATGATATAATCACAGGGATTACACATGACAAAATAATTTCTTTTTTGGCATGACTGGACGTCATCAAAGTCATATGCAAATACAAAAAGTTACATGTATAAGTAATCGAATGTTATGACATTATTAAAGAAAGAATCACCCCTTCTCTATAAATAACAAATATCTCTGGTTATAAAATTTTAAAAAAAAAGATGTACAACAATGAGTAAAAAATTGCATACAGTGATAAAAAATATCAATGCTGTATTCTCAGAACTAAAGCGTGGAGTGAAAAGTGGCATGAATCTTGGAGCTTGCGTCTGTGCCTGGAAAATAAAATTGATTTGGTACAGAGCAATATAATCCCTGGCCTCTTCCGATTATGTTTTTTAAAGTTATAATAAAAGAGTGCTGCATCAAATAAACATAGTATAATAATTGTCCTAAAGTACAGATTGAAATGCCTTACTTGAGATTCACTTGCTCCAATTTCTTTTTCACTCTCCTCAGAATCTGTTATGAATAATGGTTGTGAATACTCTTCTTCCATAGTAAATATAAGCTTTAAAATAAATGAGATACACATTTTCATTTTGCCTATGCCAAGTCAGTCTTATTTCAATATTTGGGGATATATTTTTCTCAAAAGTCCATTTTTTTTTACAAGTAATGTTATTAAATTTGCAAAAACATCTAAATAGTTCACACTTAAGTCTCCTACATCCAGGCGCAAATTAAGTCAACTAAAACAATGACAGGCCTAAATAATCTAGACTACCTTCTCGCTTAAAGTTGATCAAAATTTATGCATTCTTAGACCAAAATATTGTGGAACGAAATTAATATTAAAGAAATATATAAAAAGATAATAAGTGATAATTTGCATCTTACAGTTCCCAAAATATATTTTTTTAATTTTCAGGCTATGATTTCATTATGGGCCTACTGTACATTTAATTGAATATCACTAAATGTTTGAGACCACACTGATCCGCAGTGAATATTTGCTTGGCCGCGACAATTACTGATAAGGATGACATTGATGCGGCTTAATGAGCTAGAAATATTAACTTTTTTCCTGCGACAAATTAAATTCTAAAACATTTTTTGTATATATTGGAAAAATAAATAAAGGCGTTTGACGTATTTGTAGGTAAAAATTATTTCCGACTTAGTGTAAATTGGTATTAAATTGACTAAAATGCAGCATTCTCTCCGAAGCAGTTATGTCTTATGTAAACAATGCACGCGCCATTCAGCCAATGATTCACACCGCGTGCTGTGACAGCACGTGTTAAGGCAGTCATCTATGACAGAGATATTATACGAGACTCGTAATTCTCTGTGAAACAGATTGGTTTGAGATGCAATCCAGGGTACATGTACATCGGGGGTAGCGCCTGTGGGGCTGGCAGGGAAAACGTTGCAAAGTCGTTTAGATGGTACAAAAAATCGTGGTGAAAAGTAAAATTATCGCCGCTCTGTTCTTTTCAGTAATTTGAGTTTACACGTCTACCACTATACAGCAACCGGCAAATGGGAAAATAAAAAAAAATACTGTTTTTAACATTATCATTATAACTTCGAATATCAATAATAATTATTTCATTTATCTTATCCTCATTTTTTAAAAAAATTATAAGTATGTATAAGTCCAGAATAAGGAAATTCGTTTACTGGGTAGACGAAATTACTACAATTTGGAAAGCCTTATTGCTTTAATTGGTTTTCCAAAGCTTTATGTTCATTCCCGTCGTCTTAATCCCGCCATTATCTCGGTTTGTGCAAAACAGTAGGACGTTAAACCTAAATTCCCTTATGTCTTCTTAATATTATGATTATCGGTGTTCATGAAAGTTATAAATAGGTGAAATCCGCAGCAGGATATGTTACTTGTTGATAAGGTTGAAGTACCCGAAAACTTTTCATTGCGACATATGTTCACATATATCACACGCCATTATCCCCCGTGGTGGATGCGGTGGGCGTTTCTCTTACATGGTTGTTATTTTTTCTGGGATAAAAACCTCTTATCTCACTTTTATCAATGATTTGTTTCTCTCACAAGAACTTAGATTTATAACTATATATACGGGTCCTGAGAAGCTTGATATTATAATAATATATCAATAAATGTAGAAACTCTGTCAAAATTCGACCTAGTCGGTAAAGAAAACCCGCTAAGTCTTCCTACTAATTCAATAAGATTTCCGAATTGAAACATAAAATTATAAAAAAATAAAGCAGGGACTTCAAAGATAGCTACATGATTATATTATGAGAAAATGCGCGCAATATTTGTAAACGGTGAAATCATTCTTTTAAAATAGTATCTGGTAATTTACTAATTTTCAAACGATAACCCCTCCCTTTGTTGTTATCGTTTATGTGTTTGAATGGATTAAAGGTGCATATGTGATATCGTTGCGTCAGGAAGTATTAAATATCTAAATGACTAACAGACCGCTGCATACAACACGTGATACATCTTGACTTTGCACAATTCTTTATTATATTCTTAGTATCAATAAGATATTTGTAACGGAATGGGAAACACATGTCATTCACCAGGGACGGATGCTAAATAATTTAACACATTCCTTATTAGGAGTTATTTGGTTTCTCAATCTGACCAATTAGGTGTAATTGTTTATCGCCCGAAAACACAAAGTTTCATTTTCAACGTTAGTCTTGCTTTTGATAGTCAACTGAGGAAAGCAAAATTGGTCATGGCTCAACTTTCGCCTAATACTGTCTTTAGAATCATATTCCCCCCCCCCCCCAAAAAAAAAACCCCACAAACTGGAAAAACACAAACTCAATAAAATCATAAAATCGACTGAAATATACCTTCAAAAGCAGTTATCGGTAAAATACATGTTTCTACTAAAAAGTCCTTCAATTATTTATAAGAGGACAATGACAAATTGAGAAAATCTTTTAAATGAAAATGCGATCCTCAAAGTTTAAAATAGAATATCGTCGCGCTACGCCCAGCACTCATAAAATTGTGGCCCGTACTTAAATTAAATACAATGGCCCTTTCAAATAAGATATCTAAATTTGAACTACAGGAAACCATGATAACATAAAGAAATATGATAATATTATTCAGTTCATTCTTCCGGTGTATTGTCAGTTTTCTAAGTCTTGAAACAGTTTAATGCCGTGGACCAGTCGATACATGTAGTGACTGAAGATTACAATTGGTGACACGACAATTAAATGATAAAAGTGAAGAAAGATCGTATAACAAAGTTTATTTTCGTAGCAATGACAATGGAGACCACGGTATTATTGTCAAAACTTCAATATTCATAACTTCGCACAGAATAGCAGAAGTAATTTGACCTAAATATTCAACATGTTCATTTTCATTATCTATTTTTAAGCAGGGGCGCTGAAGCCGCCACATTTTTTTTATTAACTATGCAATGATAAATATTTGGTTCCTTAGGTTCCTATATCCAGGCAAGGGGCACTAAAGATAAGAAATATGAGTGACCAGTCGGTAATAAAACTCTTTGAGTATAATGCGCCCCCAAGCGGCTCGAATATATGCCCCGAGTGGATGCTTCTACAAAGAAATATATAGAGATATAATTGTAAAAAATTTCAGGGGCGGATCTAGGAATTTTTGCAGGGGGAGGTTTGTCAGGTTCCTGAGACAATGTATCTTATGTGGGGGAGAACTTTCTCTGTCAATGTCGTGACTGGATTACACACACCGCTTACGTTTAACGTCCACTCGACTCAAACTAGGTAATTTCGGGACTAATGGTTTAATTTTATTTCAATAATTCGCTTGAGCGTAGGGGGTTTAGCAGTGGGAGGAAACCGGAGGACCCGGAGAAAACCCACGAGATTGGACAGGCACCCCTACTCCTTGTCACGCTCTTATATAGGAAATCCTTTGTTAGGAAATTTAACAGTTGACGTTAAACCCCATTTCTTTCCTTTTTAATGCGTTCCACAATCCTATCCGGATTAAGATTTCATCGGCCCCAGGACTAGAGGTAATATTTTCAAAAATGATGATTAAAATTTAAACATTTGCTTTAAGTAATTTCTTTCAAACAATTTTCTCCAAATACTTTAGTTCAGCATTTACAATTGAATTACATACTTTCCACCTCGTCAATTTTGGCTCCGTGGGGTGGGTGGTTAACCATTGCAGAACCACTGGCCAATTATCTATCATTATTGAAAATAGTTTTTTTGGCGCAAAACTTACTTAAAAATCCGTATCAATAATGAGTTCAGGAAAGTCGTGACAATTAAATTCATGGTTTGAATAAGCTTCCCATAATCTTTTTAAAATGTGAGTTTCTTCTCTGCTTTGCCACATAGAAATGTCAGATGCTTATAGTACTATCAAGATGTCCATAACATGGGGGTTAATGTCCTACTGTTCTCCACCAACATTGTAGGCCTAAATGAAGTGTGATACAGGAAATTTTACGCGGGCACCGGCGCTACGGCCAATTCCGCGTGCACGTCTCGGTTTACGTACCATCCAAACGACTAGACGCTTGCCAGGTCCTCCTTCCTCTTTCCCCCAGTGACAACTGGAAACCTCACCGGATAATTAGGCTACGAGGAGCGTCCAAGCCTAACATTGGGATCTCGAAGACGAGTAGGCGGAAATGACGCTGTTCGGGCAAAATGAGCCGTCATAGCATGACATTGCCCTTGTTCATTAATCCATTTGTTGCAAAAGGGCAGAATGTTAAACCCAATTTCATGTGTTTTTCACTAGGTATGGAGAACGAAATGATCGGTTCCAGTATGTATCTAAATCGACAAGAAAGTACTCCGGCGATATAATTTTAAAAATTTTCTTTGAGAGGACCCCCGAACCCTCGTGATTAGGGCTCTTCGGAAAGTGCCGCTTCCGACGGACGTTCCTTTAAACCACCCCTGGGTCGGAGGAGCGCAATTGCACAATCTTGCTCCCTCCCACGCCCTACCACACCCTTCCCCTCCGCCACACACACTTTGCTACCACAACCCACTGTTTAATGAAGAAGGGTTTCGCGTCATCTTATCTGAACTAAAAACTAAGTGGGTTAGGCGCTGGCTCGCTAGCCTGGAGGTCGGGTGTTCGATCCCTGCATTGGCCGAGAAAGTTCATCCAGATTTTTCGGCGTGGTTTCCTCTTGTCAGTGATGCAGGGCGGAGGGCCTGACAAGGACAGCTATCTAGTCCTTCGGATGAGACGAAAAACCGAGGTCTCGTGTATATATTGGAATGCACGTAAAAGATCCCCCTGGCAGTTGGAATTCGATATAAGAGTAGGCGATAGTGCCGCTGCCCGGGCAAAATTTCCCTCTTAGCACACTGTATGGCGTATGCCCGTCTTCATTAGCCCAGTATTGGAGCAGAACAGTAGGACGTTAAACCCCATTTCATTTCATTCATTCTGAACTAAAAATGGCTGAATCCAAACCCAAATTTTAGTCGAAACCTTATTTTAAAGCGAGATAACTCTCACAAGTGTAAATAAAAAATGGAGTCTCAAGAAGAAAACGTGGAAATGGAACAAGATAATATTAAAGAAATAAAATCATTACCACCAAAGCCCAAGAAAAAAACGGTCGAACCAGGAGTTATATATTTAAGCAGAATACCGAATGGAATGACCGTGAGGTCGTTTAAAGAAATTTTAGGACGATATGGAACCATAACTCACTGCTATTTACAGCCTGACGGTACCCTCTTAATCTTATATTTTTTATTTTTTATTTTATACTTCACAATAAATCACAATTCGCTCAAACAATTGACTCAGCTAGTGTGAAATCTATGCTTTCTAATCAACTGAACTCGGTATAAGACCGTAGTCTGCCATTCTTTTTGTCTAGTGCTTTCAGGCTTTGGGTCTAAAATGACATGCATATCCGGACACTAAAGACAAAATTGCAGATTTTTCTCCAGAATTATGTAATGACTCAAATAGTTTGGACAGTTCATCTGCAGATGGTTCTGAAACGTTGGGTAGTTTCTTTACTTCATTTTGAGCTGGAGTCGTACCTGGACCGTTGTCAAATTTCTTCTTCTTTGTTTTAGCCGATGTAAAGTCAATATCTTGAATAGTTTTATATTGAATCTGAAATATCAACAAAGATAGGTTTTATTTAAATAGGGTTAAATCTTTGTATTTATAAAAGTTTGTTGTTGGTCTGGTTGATTTACATCAATACATAAAGAAACTCTGACCCACATGAATCCACATTAAAATATATAGATAGGCCTACATACCTTTTGAACTGAAGCAGGCAACCAATAAGCTTTCTTTCCGGTCACTGTCTGAGAATTACACATCTTCACTGCAGCTTCTATGTAAAATAGCAGGGCCCCCACATGTGAACAAACTTCACCTACACCAGCCATACATGTACAGTTTCCTGATATGACATTACCATCATTTTCACATATAATCCATGGCTGGAGACATGCATCATTCATCCTTTGAGAATGTTTTACTTTGGCTGTCAAAATAAACTTCCCATTTAAAATAACTCGACTGACAGTCTGCACCTAGCCACTAATGAAATAGTTGTATGACTCCAGGGACTTGTAGGCCTTTAATTCCTGTAATGTATAAGCACTCTGTGTATACACTAAATAATTGACAATGTCTGGATAAGTTATATCAGGCCAGTTATCACACGATGAACTGCTGTCAGGAAATTGCATTTCATAAGGGTCCACACTGCCTATCACTTTAATTTTATCATCATACCGCTCCCTACATACTGCAGACAAATTCTCTCTGTATTTCAACTTGGAAGATTCGCCAGATTTTGCCATAATGAATAACCAACAAAAAACATCTGATAGTGATCAATTGCATTAAATTATCCCTATTATATACCACTAAGCAATTAGTTTCATAAACCCATAGGTCTAATTAAACTTCAGTACAATATTGCTAGAACAACAATTTTAATATTATTTTTCCTCTATGGGGGGGGGGGGGGGGGGCTTTGTTATCAATTTTGACCGTCACGTAAATCATGAGGTGCTAAAATGTGATTATAGGCAATAAAGAGTAAATTATCACGATGTGTTAAAATACGATTAGGCCTATACAGAAAATGATAAAGAAAGAGAGTGTTGTTCTAACAATATGGTATTTAACGTTAATTATATCTTATTAATGTTTACAAATAAAATAAATACCTCAGTTATGTTTTCATAAACGCATTTTACTCTCGGACCCATATATCTTTATATAAACGTTCAAAATATCGGCAAAATAATACAAGATAGCGTACATAGTTACCGCGAGTTGCCATACAAGATGGTGTCCTCGCAATGAATTATGGGTAATTCCTTTCTACGCGGAACCATCTATTGAGTCAAGTAGCATGGTTTTGATTCCCAGCTTGTACGTGACAAGGCGTAGGGGCACCTGTTCAATCTATTGGGTTTTTTCAGGGTCTTCATGTTTCCTCCCACTACTAAAGCCTCCTATGTGCAAGAAAATTATTGAACTAATACTGAACCATATGTTAGTCCCAAAATGACATAGTTTGTGTTGAGTGAATATTATACCCCATTTCTCTTCCTCTCTGTGTTTTACTACTACAGTAAGAAATATCAAGATAATTATTATAATTAATTATTTTATCTTCTTTCAGAGAAGACAGTTACTAAAAAAGGAAGAAAATATTCTGAAGGATGGATAGAATATTCAGACAAAAAAATTTCAAAACGTGTAGCATTATCATTGAACTGTCAAAGGGTTGGAATCAAAAAAAGAAGTAAATGGTACGATGAACTTTGGAATATGAAATACTTGTCAAATTTTAAATGGTTTCATTTAACAGAACGATTAGAATACGAACGTGCACTTCGTGAACAGAAACTACGCAAGGAAGTGACTCAAGCCAAAAAAGAGACAAGCTTTCATATACAAAATATTGGAAAAAGTAAAAAGATGAGAAAAATGGAAAAAAAGAAAAAAGAAAAACCTGAAGAATTTAAAGATGACCAGAAACCTGATAGAATATTTTCCTATAAACTTAAAGATACCGAGAATGAAATTTTAGCCCGGAAAACATCAGGAAACATAAATAAAAACAGTGATTCTCTTAAATCTTTCAACCCCGATAATTATGTGAATCCTAAATCGGTGAAAGCAAACACTTCATTCTTAAAAAATATATTTTCTGGTGGTTTGTGAAGTGAATCATGTATGTGTATAACTACACAGAAATTTTTCAAAAACAAAGTTGTTCTATATTAAAGGAGCTAAATCGCTATTCTTTGGCACCTAGAAATGGACAGAAATGGGTCGCAACGCATATAATAATGTAATATTATATAAATGTATATGAACTGATTTACATTCAATTGTTTCTCTTTTTACTGAAATTTCTAATTTGTTATGTTTGGCAAAATATGCGAAGAGTGCAAATTGAATGGCAGTCTTTGGTGTCTGGTTATTCCAGTCTACAACGGTAGTATTCTCCTGCATGAGATATATTTAGCCTTGTTCATCGAGTCGCTTCATTACAAATGGCACTGAAAAGCTTTCTCTCGAACGATCTGTGTGCTAATTTTAAAATTTTCATTTTGTCTTAAATTGAACAATAAGTCATGTTTGCTATCGAAGACTGTGGATGATATTGAGTTTAAAGTCGGGTAATAACTACCAGAAGTTGTTCTACATATATGTTAAAGTACGAGTTTATACATGTAATTACACAAAAGATTTTCTGTGTTAAAGTATGAGTATAATTAACTGGGATTGGGAAAATGTGGTGAACATCTTGCAGTGGGTTTTATTGGGTTCGTTTCTGAGCTGATCTTGGATACTTTTGGGGGACGGCCAATTCAGGATACCTGGGGTGATGCTGTACATTTTGCAATGGGTTTTATTGGGTTCGCTTCTGAGCTGATCTGGGTTACCAGTACTTGTTCTGCACCAATTACATCCATCTGGTGGGGAGTACTCTACCATTAAATATTTCTGGCTGGAGGTACTCCACCACTAAAAATGTATGGTGTTAACCATACATGTATGCCGTGTCTTTGATACTTACTGTATATGTATACTATCTTGGAAAATATGAGCTGCATGACAGGATGTACTAAGATGTACTGCGCTATTACAGAGGGAGATTGGGTAACCAAATGGTCTAACACATGTTCTTTAAATGGCATTTAGTAATTGGAACATAATCGAATAACACACTATTTATGGATAACAATTACTATGGTTTATTTCACTGCGACGTTTCAACAAGATTTCACAAGTCGTTATCAAGCATATAACAAAAAAAAAACAAATGCTTGATAACGACTTGTGAAATCTTGTTGAAACGTCGCAGTGAAATAAACCATAGTAATTGTTATCCATAAATAGTGTGTTATTCGGTCTAACACATGCTTTAGAATAAGGTAAGTCACCGAGTCAAGTGGTGGGGGTCAAGGTGGTTAAGTGGGTAAGACGCTGGCTCGCTAACCTGGAGGTCAGGTGTTCAATCCCTGCATTGGCTGAGAAAGTTCATCCAGATTTTCCGGCATGGTTCTCCTTTGTCAGTGATGCAGGATGAAGGGCCTGACAATGACAGTTTTCTAGTCATTTGGATGGGACGAAAAACCGAGGTCCCATGTACACATTTGTGTGCATGTAAAGGATCCCTTGACAGTTGGAATTTGATATAAAAGTAGACCGTAGTGCCGCTGTCCCGGCAAAATTTCCCTCAGCACACTGTATGGGGTATGTCCGTTTTCATTAGCCCAGTTTGGAGCAGAACAGTAGGACGTTAAACCCCATTTCATTTCATTTAATTTTGAGTCAAGTGGCTTGATTTCAATTCGATACATGGTAGGGCCACCTTGTGGGCTTTCTCCAGGTCCTCCCACTGCTAAACGCCCGATGGGAAAGAGAATTATTGAAATGAAATTTAACATGCTAGTCCAGAAATGACCTAGTTTGTGTTGAGTGGATATTAAACCCCATTCTTGTTCTTTCTCTGTTACTCTACTGACTGTTAAATGCCTTTACTAGAGTTAAAAGAAGACTTTTGCATTACCGCTGTGAAACAGATCTGCAGAAAGAGTCCTATATTTAGGACTAGTTAGGCTTACATATCTTAAACGGTTGAGCCCTATTTTTCATGCAGCAATATCATTTGTCCAAAAAATCAACAGTGAACCTTGACTCATCTGCAAACATCACATTGCTCCAGCGTCGATTATCCCAGTGTTGACGATCCCTACACCAACGATGTCTTGCCTGAATGTGATGATCTCTCAAACAAGGGATCACGCGAGGACGTCGGGCGCGAAGGTGACCCCTATGCAGTCGATTCCGAATCGTCTGGCCACTCACTCTCACACCAGTGTCTGTTTGAAGACGAGCGCTGATCTGATTTGCTGTGATGACACGATTTCTCAAGGCCAAGGTACGGATAAATCGATCCTGGGCTTGAGTTGTCGCCCTTGGTCGACCTGAGCGTGGTCTGTCCTGTACAGATTGTGTATCACGGTATCTGGACCATAGCCTGCTTATGACAGACTGAGAAACATTCATCGTGCGCGCCACAACCGCCTGTGTTGTGCCGATCTGTAGCATGCCAAGGGCACGTAACCTTTCATTTTGGGTAAGCCGACGCATATCAAAATTTGTTTTCTGGTCACTAAAACAATTAAACTGATGTTTCCACCCTGGAATTCAATGCCACCATAGATAATACCGTATTATCTATGATGCCACAATGACTGTAACGTTCAAAGTCAGAGTCGTGCAAATCTTGGGTTGGACCCCCATGATGATCCCAAGCATCACCTGCATTCCATGTGGTAGCTATTGGTGCGTTTGGGCGTCACATGCAACTGGAAATGTTTCTTCTGTTAGGTTCTATAGTGACTTTTTTCGTAGTCATTTGCATATTTTAGTATTATGCCCCCAAAATCAAATATCCCCTACTTTTTTGAATAGTATATATTGGTTCTGAGTCCGAGTCAACTATTTTGACGTATCTGCTCGGCCAGAGTTATCTGTCAGTTGATGAAATAGCTTCCGGTAAAATGACAGTCGTGTAAAAATGTGTTAAAACCCATAATTTCATTAACATTCAACATCTACTAAAAAAGAAGGAATGAAAAATGGCCGACGACACGGAAAGAGAATGTATAGAAAATTATGAACCGCTAAAAATCGAGGCGGATCAAGTGGTAAAAGAGGTCGCTTTTGCTGTCAAATCTGTTGATATTTCGTCCAAAATTGCAAGCAGGGAAAATGAAGTTTATCTGAATTTACGAACTATGGAAGGTTCCGTGTATTGTGTTGAACTTTCGGTTCAAGGATTTCGTGTGGTTGGTTTATGTTTTGATACTATTGATGATAATGAACATTCACGACATTTTGAGACAATATATTCCCTTTTAGACAATGTTAGTCCAGGATATAGACAGACATTTGGTGATGCTTTAATGAAGAAACTCGCCATGTTGGAACCGAACAGTGATGAAGATGAAGCCATGTCACAAGATTGATATGATTTTTTTTATTGACCTACATCATCACTTTCATATGGTAGTTTTACCCAGTGACTTTTCTTTATATTTGCCTTAAGTTGAACCTGTCTGTAGCTTATTATGTGCGAAATATTTTATATTTTTAATGATTGGGAAAAAAGTCTGTTGGTGATTTTTGCAAAAAGATACCAATAATAACCAAGTACAAATATTTGTAATATATTCCCAAAGAAAGGGAATGGGGGGGATAATTTAAGCTTAAAGGCTCAATACCACTCTTGTTGTAACTGAATAATATGTCCCAATCTTTATTCTGGTCAACAAATTGTACTACATTGTATTTTACAATATTTCAATTAATTGATGATACAAATCTCATCTTAACACACCTACTATAAAAAATTGGAAAAATTCAACTAAATGATTTAAAATCACAAAATTAGAATTCAATATTGATCGGTTTCAATCAATATTGATGTTGTTATCTTGCAGTGAAACTTTAGGATCCTAATATCCAATATTTAAGACATAATTAACATTTTATAATCAGTACACAGTCGTGTACCCTATGGTTTTGTGTGCCATGTTGTTATGAACAAATAAAAACATATCCTACAACACAATGTGGAAGTAATTAGTAAAGGCTGATTCACGATAGTAATTTAAAATACGTGTAGAATGCATTAAGCAAGCGTAAATGACTGCCATTCAATTTGAACTGTTCACATATTTCAACATCCTCAGTATCCCCAGTGGTTTCATTCCATTCTACTCCACTAACCCCTGGGTTAATCTATGGGGGAGATGGTTGTGCTATTTTTATCGACCAATCCCATAAATCGTTAATTGCAAAGGAAGTTGGCAAAGGGAAGTAACTATCAACAGACAAGGTTAGGAGTTAGCCTAAATGAGATAAGTCCAAATTATTCTAAATGCATATTTATTAAAAACAATTTATATAATATTATATTAATGAAGACTGTGCGTTTATGTTGGTTCAAGAGTTTTATTGAGAATCGTTCATTCATTCGCGGAGTTTTACGACCACCTGATATAAGTATAAGTTCAATAATAATAAACATAACAGAATGAAACATTTCAGACAAAGAACGAATTGTAATAAAAATAACAAAAGTCAAACATATAGATGTTATACATATTTGAAATCAGCGAAACATACCACAGATTTTATTAATGCAATTAAATATAAATGAATTAAAAATATGTACATTACTTACATAAATCATTCAGTAAATGGACATCAATATGGTTATCTACCCTTATAAAAACAAGGCGAAACGACAGGTTTGTAAACTGTTTGTTGATTGGTTCATAGACTATAGCTACAATCAAGGCTAGGGCAGATAATTTGAAATCTTGGAAATCCTATGAATTAACCCAGGGTATAGTGGAGTAGAACGGAATGAGTACACTGCCCAGGGATACCAAGGATGATATTTCACTAAACATAATTCATTAGAAATTACAATAATTTTTTCAAAAATTGAATATGAATCACTTTACATACATTCATATTACATGTGCTTTTAGCACCATTTTTGTCTATTTCAAGGTTCCAAAAAATAGAGCCATATGCCCTTTAATGAGTAGGCCTACTCTATTTCGTGAATATTCTTAGTATTTGGCTTATTACCATGCCAGTCATAATGTATACCTGGAGCCTTAGCCACGGAAACTTAAATAGAATAATGATTGTTCATTGACTGATCATGAGCACTAAAATCATAGCACAAAAGACTGTATTCTGAAAATATTTTCTTTTTAAGTTTTCTTGATTAAGACTCTAGTACCATTACTATTTAACATGTAGGCTATGGGTTATTTGAAAACTTTTAAAGTACAAA